CGTATAGACGCACATACACAGACTCCACAGCTGTTGTTGTGAAGTTACTGCCCTGAATCAGGTATAGTAATATAAGTCTCCCTAGATATGAATCTAAATTTTGTTTTCAGCATTTTTACTAATATTTGTGGGGAACACACTTAAGATGCTAGATTTTTGGCATGGGTGCTCTTATGGCTGTTTTTCTTTCCTTTTTTCCTTTTTTCTTCCTTCAGTCTTAGGAATTGGTGATGGGCTAGATATTTCCTGGAGAGTTTGCAAGCTCTTTGAGATAAAGGAAATGGGTGGAATCTGAGCTGCCTCTGGAGCTGCATTTCCAGTCTTGCAAGGATAAAAGAGGTTGACCCACTGTTCCAGCTACAGTTTTTCAATTTAGAAGTTTTTCCAATTTAAGGATCCATCCTCTGACCTTTGACAAGTAGAATCTTAATAGCTACTCAAACCAATAAGCATTTATGGCTTAACTGTGGATGCAAGAGGTGTCCTAAAAAGGGAGTGCGAAAGAAGCACCTCTCGTAAGATCCAGGAAGTTCACTCCCAAAACTAGTCCAGGAAAGCAAAGACTTCTGCACAGGTGGTAGTGCACTAGCAAGCAGTGAAGATTGAGGCGACAAAGCCCCCCAGTGGACTGGGATCCCCCTCTCATGACAAACTCCCCTGAGGGCTGATAAGCTGGACAAAGAGAGTATGGTACACGCATCCTCTAGATGGCAGAGACCAAAGAGGTCACAAAGCCAAGCTCTCAAGACATAGAACAAGACAAAAAACCCTCATCTAATATGCACAGTAACAGCTTTAGCTAAGCCTTGAGTCTCTCAGAGCCAAATTTATACCTAGGAGGGAGGTGCTGTGGAGTTGTGGATTGCGTATGCTTTGCAGAGTACCTCGCTGCACAGACATTTTCTTGAGGTTGGTGGGGGTGAACCCTTGACTCTTTAAAGATTTCTTTGTTTCTCGGTTCGAAAGCTCAAAAGGAGCCCAAAGTGGCCATTGTAATTTTAAATTATCTGGGGTTATCTTGCCAGCTGTTTATAGTGAGCCCCATTTTAGGGGGCTTTTCCCAAGGTGGCCACAACAAACGAGGTGATTTCTAAAGAGAGTTTGTTACAATCACCGAGAAACTCAGTCCCCAAACAGCCAACTTTAGCAAATAAAACAGTCAGACATAGACAAATATCAACAGACACTGAAATCCAATACTCTGGGACTCTAACCCGATCCTTTGAGTGCCCTGCAGCTGTAACCCTTTTGTATTGTCTCCATTGAACCCGCAATCCCAGCCTTGGGACTTTAACCCAGCAAAAATCTCTCCAGTGGGGCCTCTAACCCACAGTCCTGATGAGATATTAGACACTTTTAGGCACAGGTGCATTTTAATGAGCACACTCACCAAAAAGACTTCTGATCCTGGAACTGTTTACTTCTCCCAAAGGAAAAGAAAATGCCTTGGGGCTTGGAGTGCCACAGTGGAAGTGGGAATCCAGTCAGTTGAGCCTCTAGACCAAATTGTCTAGGCGGCCGCTTAGGGTCCATGAAAAGACCCCACACCCTGCCTGGGGCTCCAGAGCCTTGGGCCGGCCATGTCAGGACCTCATCCTTTCCTGGTTGCCAATTGTTACCATGCGAAATTGGGGTTCACTTGCCCAATGCACATAAACAAACCAATTAATTACAGCATCAGCCTTTGGGAAAAGAGATCAGCCTTATTCTGTGAAATCAATCTGCAGGGAGACAGGGGGCATATGCCCTCTGATCTGTCTCTGTAATTCAGGATTTGGGGCAAAATTTAAGAGGTTAGGGAGAATGGGCTGGCACGCAGCAATGCTGGTGGCACAGGCGTTGATGGGTGGGCCTCAAGCATTTGTGGTAAGGTTTTGAACATTTATGATAGGGTTCTAAACATTTATGATGAGGTTATAAACTTTTATGATAGGGTTCTAAACATACATGGTGAGTGGGGAAGGAATTTTAACACGGGTTCTTCCTGAACGAGGGACCCCTCGCTTCTGATCAGAGTTCGACTTTCAAGTTCCACTCGTGTCCCCACACTTGGGTTCCTCAGGAAGGAGGATCTTTGGGTCCCTGGTCATTTCAGGTCAAGATTTCTTCTTTTGCACATGCCCTGGCTATGTGACTTTGCAGATTTTCTGAAAGGCAATTCTTAATCACTCTGTTGATAAAAGATGGGATCAGTTAAACTGGTCCTGGAGGGCCTCTGTTCAGTCAGATGGCAGCCTCCCATCTTATTTTCTGCCTTTTTATCTATTCACTAATCTCAGAAGGTAATCCATTTACAAAAACTTTTGAGGGTCCCCCCTGGGTTTAAGTAATTCCACTGTGGCCCTTAATTTTAAACATGCTTCTTAAATGACCTTATTTAATTCAAAGTTCCTGATAATTATCCTTACTCTAAATCTAGCTTCTGTTCTCTATCCAAATTTTGTTTTCAAGTTTTTCTACTAATATTTGTGGAGAGGAGACTCAAGATGCTAGATTTTGGGCAAGGGCACTTCTGTAGCCATTTTTCTTTCCTTTTACTGAATAGGTCTTATTGCAAGATGGTGTTTGAATTCAAAGACCCGTTCTCAGGCCTCACCTCAGGCCCCAGTGAGTGTTGGGGCCACACTGTATTACAAAAGAAAAGGTATGCCCCAACACCTCCATAAAATCCCCAGTCATCTGTGAACATCCTAAAGGACCAGAGGGAGCAGTGCCTCTTTTCTTCAGAGTCAGAAGACCCTCGTAGAGTTAACTTCTAAGGGGAGTTTGTTACAATCACTGAGAAGCTCAGTCTGCAATCAATTCAGTTTAGATAAACGACATTAATACACAATAATGTACAGTATAGTTCTACATATAGCATAGATCCTAATGCAAGCCAGACTACCAGGAGTACTCAGGGCCAGACTACCAGGAGTGACTCACGAATGAACCTTTTATCGTGTCTCTAATTATCTTGGGTGGTCCAGGCCCAAGATTTGGGACTCAGCCTGCCAGGATTCCCCAGAATACAAGTCACACTTATATTTCCAGGGAATCAAAGCAGAGAGATGAGATAAGGGACAGTCACTTTCTTAAGGTTACTCCCCCAGAGCCCAGAAACGTCTTGATCCAGAAGCAGTTTCTTTTCACAAAAGTGAAAGCAGCACCAAGGAGCCTGTAGTGCTCCTTGGAAATAGGAATCCAATCAGCTGTCTCTAGACAGTAGTCTAAGCGGCAGGTTAGGGTCAGCAATGAGAGCCGCATCCTGCTGGGGGTTGCAGAGCTGTGGCGGGCGGTCACAGGACCACGGTCCCTTTGAGGTCGTCAGAAATTGTTTCCAAGCAAGCGCTCGTTGCCCGACGCACATAGAAGCCAATACTTTGGCACCAACTTTTGAGAAAAGAAAAGCTTTATTGCAGGGCTGACTGGCAAGGAGACAGGAGGCAAGGCTCTCAAATCTGTCTCCCTGATCCAGGATTTGGGGCAAAATTTAAGGAATTAGGGGCAGAAGCTAACTGGCTGGTCTCGAATCGGGCCATGTATGGTAATCAAGCTGCTTGGGCTGCTGGAAGCTGACTTTCCTTGTTGAAAGACTTCTGACTTCGTAAAGGACTCTGGTGGCAACATTTCTGAAGATTCTTGGTTCTGATGTCATCCTGGGCAGTGGGTTCCCACCTGGCACATGCGTGGGGCTGTCTCCGCTACTGAACACCAAGTTTCATTAATCAACAACATGTTTTAAGGAAGCAAAACAAGTTTAAGCTGGTCAATGTTTTATGCGCTGTTTCACTCTTACTTGGGAATGGTAAATAATTTTAACTGGCTTGTCAATTCCAGTCCATTGTAATTCAGGTGCTTGGAGCACTGTATTAAGAAGGTTTGTAAATCGGTGTCTAGACTCAGTGGAATAGAATGTGGTGATGGGTTATCAAAATTGGCCAGATTGCAGGGGAGCAGGGGTGTGTGTGTGCCACGTATGTGCCATCCTTTATCTGTCTGATGTCACCCAGCCAGCCATGTGAGTGTAACTGATCCACTATTTGGGGTGGGAAATTATCAAGAAGGTGGAATGGGATCTTTTCTTTTGTAATGTGGGGAAGGGAGCAGATAATTTTCTGGTCTTCCTCCCTCTGCGTCTGCTACTTCTTGGGGCCGTATATAAGGGATGAATACGAACCGAGGTGCATTATTTTGCCAGAGCTGCCGGAACAAAGTACTGCAGACTGAGTGGCTTCCACAACGGCTCCTGAGGCGGGAAGTCCAAGGTCAAGGTGTCAGCAGGGTTGGTTTCTTCCAAGGCCTCTTTTCCTTGTCTTGTAGATGGCTGTCTTCTCTCTGTGTCTTTACACGGTGTTCTCTCTGTTCATGTCTGTGTCCTGATCTCCTCTTCGGGACACCAGTCATGTTCTGTTAGGGCCCACCTGAATGGCCGTATTCTGGCTTAATTACCTCTTTAAAGGCCCTGTGTCCGAATACAGTCACATTCTGAAGTACTGGGGATTAGGACATCAACGTGTGAATTTAGAGGGGCACAGTTCAGCTCATAACACAAGAAAGCTTTTTAAAAATTAGATGAGGCTAAGATAAAATAGAAACTATATGTGCAGAACCAAAATAAAAAAAATGTAATTCCTTTTGAAGAATATGAACTAATAAGCAGTCCTTTGGAGCAGTGCCTTGTGCAAATGAGCTGAAAACAGTAATGACTGCACGTCCAGTCTTGATTTTGTCCCTTAAGCGGCAAAACCGGAAGCACCTGCAGTTGAAGAGTCTCTGCTAGGTGGTCCCCGTGAGCAGCTTCGCCTGTGAGCGTATTTATCATCTAGTTTGTGATCTCGGGCCCCAGCTGGATTGCTCCTCGTGGGCAAGGATCCCAACTTGGACCTAGCGTTTCCTCACCCCTGGCAGAATGCCTTTCTAACAGCACTTTGTCGTTGGATGTAAATAGTGTCTCTTCCCTGCACGTCGCCGTGATGAAGTCTGGACCGTTCATGATGTTGTTTCTTTGTGTTTTCCAGAGGCTTTCTGAGTGAAGCTCTGAACTTAAAAGGCCCAGATGAATCTATTGCCCGCCTCGTGACAGGAGAGATCACATTCTCCCAGGTAAGGGGACACCTCATAGACCCCCTTGAGAAGGTGTTCTGTGCCTCCATGCCCATCTCCTACGCTGACCATGAGCTCTTTGAGGGCAGAGCCGGGTCTGCTGCACCCTTTACCCCTTACAGCGCTTAACTCACAAAACTGGGCTGGAGGCCCAGAGACCAGAAAGAGACACTTAAGACTGGCTTGTTGTCTCTTTGGGCCAACCAAAGGGACACACTTGAATGACTGGGAAACCTCCAAGACCTCGAAGATCTATGCCAGGGAATTACAACAGCCAGAGTAGCTTTTTTTCCTCTTGAGTTAATGGTAAATAATTTATTATGTGGTAACATACATATATTACATCATGTGGTAATGTACATAATATACATTTCCTCTTAAATTATGTGATAAAATACACATAACATAAAATTTACTATCTTGATCATTTTTAAGTATACAATTCAATAGTGTTAAGTATATTCCCATTGTGCGACCCTCACCACCATCCATCTCCAGAGCTCTTTTCATCTTGCAAAACTGAAACTCTATATCCCTGAACAACAGCTCCCCATGCCTTCTTTCCCCTGGGCCCTATAACCCACTGTTGAACTTTCTGTCTCTATGTATTTAGCTCTGCTAGGTACCTTATATGAGCGGAATCATACAATATTTGTCCTTTTGTGACTGACTTATTTCACTTAGCATAATGTCTTCAAGGCTTATCCATGTTGTAGCATGTGACAGGATTTCCTTTTTAAGGCTGAGTAATACTCCATTGTATGGGTATACCACATTTTCTTTATCCATTCATCCATCCATTGACACTCTATTTGCTTCCACCTTTTGGTTATTGTGAATAATGCTGCCGTGATCATGGGGATGCAGATATGTCTTTGAGACAGTGATTTCATTTCCTTCAGGTATATACCCACAAGTGGGATTGCTGGATCATATGGTAGTTCTGTTGCTAAGTTTTTGAGGAACCACCAGACTGTTTTCCATAGTGGCTGCATCCATTTACATTCCCACCAACAGTGCACAAAGGTTCCAATTTTCCTACATCCTTGCCGACTCTTGTTATTTTCTGTTCTTTTGATAGTAGTCATCCTTAGAGTAGCTATTTTCAGACAGGGCCACTGTTAATGGGGCTGTTAATTAATAACTATATAATGGGTCAGACATCAGGATTTGAATCATAGCTCCCACTCACAGACTGTGTGACCACAGCAAGTTGCTTAACCTTGCTAAGTCTCAGTTTTGCCATCTGTAAAATGAGAGTGATAATACTGTCTGTTTCATAGATTGTCATAAAGCTTGACAAGTGCCTAGCACAGGGCCTGGCCCATAGTAAGTGCTCAATAAAGAGTAGTTAAGATTCTTACTACAACTTCACTTATTTCTTAACAAAGTAATCAGGATCTAAAACCACTTGAATTCTCCATTAGTGCCTCAAAGAAGAAAGGCTACTGAGAATCTACTCTCTAAGCACACAGATAAAACAGTCTATATTTTAAATTATTTATCAGTTACAGCCCACTGTAATAGAAAGCAAAAGCCCACCTTTCTGTGAAGGCAAGTGTGGTCTTAGTGTGGGGAGTATAATGAATTGCAGTCCCTTTAAAGCTCTCTCTCACTCACACACACATGCACACACATACACACTCCTTTGTGACAGCTGGTGAATGAAACTGTAATGATACTGTTGGGAACAAACATTACTGAAGCTTGGATCAGTAAAACAGCTGCAGCAGGGGCCAGCCTGGTGACATAGTAGTTAAGTTCATGTGTTCTGCTTCAGCAGCCTGGGGAACATGGGTTCAGATCCTGGGTGCGGACCTACACACTGCTTATCGAGCCATGCTGTGGTGGCATCCCACATGCACAATAGAGGAAGACTGGCACAGATGTTAGCTCAGGGCCAATGTTCCTCAAGCAAAAAGAGGAAGATTGGCAACAGATGTTAGCTTGGAACCAATCTTCCTCACCAAAAAAAATAATTAAAAAAAAAAGCTGTAGTAATATTATTGAAAGGTAAGGAAAGAGGGAAGTGCTATGTATTTTCAGTGAACATAAGAATTACAGAGTGAATTTCTAGTAATTGCTATGAAAACCCTGAACTCATTCCGACTTATTTAGTCTGTATGTAGCTTCTAGGAAACTCAATCAGAGAAAGAGGCCTGGAAAACCAAATTATACCATGATAAAGGCTACTTAAGGGTTCAGTCTGTCTTTTAAAAAGTTGTGTCTTAGGAATGAATATCCTCTTTTAACTTTTCGTTCCGTGTACTATACAAACAAAAATACACAAAGTGTACAGCTTGGTGAGTTTTCACAAACTGAATACAGTTACGCGCTGCATAATGACATTTCGGTCAGTGATGGACCACATATATGATAGTGATCCCATAAGATTAGTACCGTACAGCCTGGGCGTTTGGTGGGCTGTACTATCTGGGTTTGGGTAAGTACACTCTATGATGTTCACACAACGAAATCGCCTCACAACCCCTCTCTCAGAGCGTATCCCTATCGTTGAGATGTGTGACTGTACACCCATGTCACCAGCACCCAGATCAAGAATTAAAACATTATCAACACCGTGGCCACCCTACCAATGCCCCTTCTAGACACCACCCATCCAAGAGTAACTTCCATGCTGACTTCTAGCCTTATAGATCACTTTGCTTATTTTGTACTTTATGTAAATGGAATCAGGCAGATGAACTCTTCTGTATCTGGCGTCTTTTCCTCAACGTTCTATTTGTGAGAATCATAGATGTTATTGTATGCAGTTGTAGATAGTTTCATTCTCATTGCTGCATGATATTCCATTGTGTGAATACACTCCAATCTATTTATCCATTCTGTTTTTTTTTTCACCCTGAGTGAGATGGGAAGGCATTGGGAGATTTTGAGCAGCAAAGTGACATTTTCTGACTTACATTTTTAAAACCTCACTCTGGCTGCTGTGTGAATAGGTCAAGAGCACAAAGATCATTGTAGAGAGACTACTTAAGGAAGCTACTGGAAAATCCAGGTGAGAGAGGATGGTGGCTTACACTAAGGTAATCTTGGTGGAATTGGTAAAAAGTGGTCAAATTCTGGAAATATTTTCATGGTAGGTCCAACAGGTTTTCCTGATGGATTGAGTGTGAGGCATGAGAGAGGAGCTGGGGATGGCTCAAAGGGTTCTGGCCAGAGCAAAATGGAAGTGTGACTTGCTGTTAATTGGAATAGGGATGCCTGCTCTGGGGGTTAGGAAATCAGGTGCTCAATTAGGATATTTTAATTTGAAATGCTTATCAATATCCAAATAGAGTGTATTTGGAATACACTATTTAGAACAGGGAGCTGGATATGCAAACCCAGAGTTCAAGGAAGATGTCCCGGCTAAATAAATATATCTATTCATAGCATATCGATGGTGATTTTAACATCATTGGACTCAGTATGATCGTGGAGAAAGAGAGTATAAATGGAGAAGAGAAGAGGCCAGAATCCCGGATACTCTAGTATTAAAAGTGAGGTTGACGAGGAGGACCCACCAATAAGAGATGGAGAAGGAATCTCCATTGATTAGAGGAAAATCAAGAGAGTGGAGCCTTGAAAGCCAAGAAGTTACCAAGTTTCACTTGAAGAGAGTGATCAGCTGTGTCAAATGCAGCTGATAAGTTGAGTAAGATGAAGATTGGCGAGCACCCATTGGATAGAGCAACACAACGTGGAGGTCTTGGGTAACCTTGACAGAAGTCTGTGAAACGTGGAGGTGAAAGCCCGATCAGAGTATGTTAAGGAAAGAATGGAAGGAAAGGATTTGAAAACTATGTGAACTTTTGATGCAAAGTGGGGCAGTAGTGGGAGGCGATGAGGTCAAGAAAGAGGTTTTCTTTATGATAACAGCATGCTTGTATGCTGATGGCAGTGATCTGGGAGGGAGGCAAATTGCTGATGGAAGAATAAAGAGGGAGGATTGGCTGGAGCCATGGCCTTGAAGGTGGAGAGGGATGGTGTCTAGTGCCTGAGTGGAGGGGCTGAGCTTTGATCAGAGCAATAGGCTGTTCTTCTGTGGCAACAGAAGGAAGGTGGAGTTCTTGGCCACAGATGCCTGGAGGTGGATATTTGTGATGATGGGAACTTGTGAAAATTCTCTTCTGATTGTTCTCCCTTCCTCCAATCCAGTCAATGTCCCTCACTATTTCTAGGATGATCTTCCTAAAATGCAAATCTAGTTGTGTAACTCTCCCATTTAACTTTTTTTTATTATTTGTACAACAGTCTGGGGCTGGAGGATTTTTATTATGTTTATGGAAAAGTGAATTCTTTTTCTCGTTTCATTAATGGTTTTAATCTATTCATATTTTATATTTCATCTTGCATCAATTTTGGCATATGGGTGCTTTTTTTTTCTTTTTACCTCTTGATCCCCTTTATCCATTTCTCCCCCCCCCCCCCCCCCCCTCGCCTCTGGCAACCACCAATCTGTTTTCTGTATCTATGAGCTTGGTTTTTTGTTTTTTTTATTTAGATTCCACACATAAGAGAGATCATACAGTATTTATCTTTCTGTGTCTGACTTATTTCACTTAGTATAATGCCCTTGGGTTTCATCCATGTTGCAAATGGGAAGATTTCATTCTTTTTTATGGCTGAATAATATTCCACTGTGTATATATACTGTATTTTCCTTATCCCTTCATCCATCAATGGACAGTTAGATTGTTTCCATGTCTTGGCTATTGTAAATAATGCTGCAGTGAACATGGGGATGCAGATATCTTTTTGAGTTAATGTTTTTGTTTTCTTCAGATAAATACCCAGAAGTAGAATTGCTGAACCATTATGGTAGTTCTATTTCTAAATTTTTGAGGAAGCTCCATACTGTTTTCCATAGTGACTGTACCCATTTACATTCCCACCAACAGTACACAAGGGTTCCCTTTTCTCCACATCCTCGCCAATGCTCATTAATTCTTGTCTTTTTTATAATAGCCATTCTAACAGGTGTAAGGTGATATCCCGTGGTTTTGATCTGCTTTTCCGTGATGATTGGTGATGTTGAGCATCTTTTCATGTCCCTGTTGGCCATCTGGATGTCTTCTTTGGAAAACTGTCTGTTCAGATCTTCTGCCCGTTTTTTAATTGGATTGTTGCTTTTTCAGTGTTGAGCCATGTGAGTTCTTTGTGTATTTTGGATATTAACACCTAATCAGGTATATCATTTGCAAATATTTTCCCGCATTCAGTAGGTTGTGTTTTTATTTTGTTGATGGTTTCCTTTGCTGTGCAGAAGCTTTTTAGTTTTATGCAGTCCCACTTGTTTATTTTTGCTTTTGGTGTCGGATTCAAAAAATCATGGCCAAGACTGATGGCAAGGAGCTTACCACCTGTGTTTTCTTCCAGGAGTTTTATGGTTTCAGGTCTCAGATTCAAGTCTTTAATCCATTTTGAGTTAGTTTTTGCATATGGTGTGAGATAGTAGTTGAGTTTCATTCTTTTGCCTGTGGCTGTCCAGTTTTCCCAACACCATTTATAAAGAGACTATTCCTTCCCCATTGTATATTTTTGGCTCCTTTGTTGTAAATTAATTGGCCGTATATGTGTAGGTTTATTTCTGGGCTCTCTATCATTCTGCTATTGATGAGTATTTGGGTAGTTTTCAGTTTGGGATTATTACAAATAGAACCGCTATGATAGTGTGTAAATATACCACAATCCATTCTGCTATTAATCGGTGTCTTAGTCTGCTAGGGCTGTCATAACAAAACACCACAGACTGGGTGGCTCAAACAACAGAAATTTATTTTCTCACAGCTCTGGACGCCAGAAGCGCAATATCAGGGTTTTGGCAGGGTTGGTTTCTTCCAAGGCCTCTCTCCTTGGCTTGTAGACGGCTGTCTTCTCCCTGTGTCCTCACAGTCTCGCCTCTGTTTGTCTGTCCTAATCTCCTCTTCTTATATGGATACCAGTTAGATTCAATTAGGGCCCACCCATGACCTCATTTACCTTCATTACCTCTTTAAAGACCTTCTCTCCAAGAACTGTCACAGTCTGAGGTCCTGGGGGTTAGAACTTTGGCATGAATTTTGGGGGTACACAGTTCAGCCTGCGGTAGGGGCATTTGAGTAGCTTCCAGTTTGAGGCTCTTAGAATAGTGCTGCTATGAACAGTTTTGTACATGTCTTTTGGAGAAGATAGGTAGACATTTCCATTGGGTATGTGTCCACGAGCAGAATTGCTGGATCAGACAGAATGCATGTGTTCAGATTTAGTAAATGCTGTCAAAAGCTTTTCCAAGTGGTTGTACCAATTGACAGTTCCTCATCAATTCACTTTTACAGTGGGTGCCATTCATTGACGAAGACTGCAAGAAACGCTCTAAGAACTCTGGAATCAACCTCCCTGAGGAGTTCTCTATAAATCAAATTTTTGCCAAGGCAATTTCAGCAAGAAAGATAAACCACCCCATGCTTCAAGCGGCTCTCACTCTCAGAAAGAAGGGTAAGGATCCAATATTGGCCATTCGCTGACCCCCCACCCCCCACACCAGAACCCTTGGGACGGTTAGGTGAGAATACAGATAAATATGTTTTGAGATCACAAATCTTCTGGGCCCTGATGGAAGGCTATTCTTAAAACATAGCCTCAAAGTAAGTTTTATTAAATGGCAAAAAATGACACTATCAGAATACTGGAACAAAGAAATAATTTTATTTAATAAAGCGATTTATGCCAGAGACTTCCTTATGAGCAAAATTCTCTCCCTCCAGTGGCACTGGTAATGACCTAAATGACCTAACCTCTTGTCACACTGTTTACAAAACAAGTCCTTTTAAGCAACTATGACTTTTAACCTCTGGTGTCAGAGTGGCTGAGCAATGAGCCAGCTGACATGGATTTAGATGGTGTCAGATGGCCTAGGACATGAAATCATATTCATCCAGTAGGCATTTATTTAGTGTCAGAGCCCAGCTCTTCACAGGCGTATTTGAAATCCTTCCACCTGCTTCGTAGACTCACCTGGTTGTGGCTAAGCCATCCCATGTCCATATTTCTCACTCATTACGTGGAAAGGCTCTCACCATCAACTCATTCATGTCTCTTTTCCAGCATCTCTTGGCTCTTGACCTCTCTGGTTAGGCAGAAAAAGCCAGGGTACAGTGCTGTCTCTCTTTACATTTCTCTAGGTTTGAGATGGAAGCGCAGTGTCTGGCAGCCAAGGCAGGTGTTCTGAAATGCAGTGGAGCGGAGTTTGCAGTAACATGAACTGGAAGGGGTTTTGGAGTTTTGCAGTGGTAGTCAAAGGCAGAATTCTGTGCCTGGCTTAGCTCTGCCTTCACTGTGTGGCTCTGGGCAGCTTGTAATTTGTCTGAGCTTCTGTTTGCTCACCTGTAAAAGTGGGATAGTAAGATCTGCCCTGCCTGCCCCAAAGGTAGTGAGGATCAAATGGGCTGAAGAATGTCAAAACACTTCCATCAGATGAGCTGCCGAATGTCACCACCTTTTCCTCTACAATTGCGAAGAATTAAGGGAAGTGGTGTCTCCACCCAGGCTTCTGCAAGCCCTCCATGTACACAGCTCACTCCCATGTCTCTGTGTCAGGAAGTCTTTATGGGTTAAGATGATTCTTTTCCAACCTGTCAGTTTAAAAGCTGGCCTTCAGGAGATTGATGAAAGTGAGCTGATTCCTAATGGCCTCATCTTTAGGGCCCCATGTGGGGCAACCGGAGCTTCTCAGAGCAAAGTTTTGTAGCTGGTCCGTTCACTCATGACTTCTCGCTCAGGATTTACAACCTGCATCCTCACCAACAACTGGCTGGACGACAGCTCCGAAAGAGGCACCCTGGCCCAGCTGTTGTGTGAGCTGAGGCCACACTTTGACTTCCTGATAGAGTCATGTAGGATCAGAATGGCCAAGCCTGAGCCTCAGATCTACAAGTACGTGCTGGACACCTTGAAGGCCAGCCCCAATGAGGTAAGTAGACGCTTCCTTTCAATGGAGAGGAAAATTCTAGATATTGCAATCAAGAAAAATTGAGGAGGAGTGAGCAGGTAGGGGACATCTGGGCCCCGGAAGGACAGTTCTAGGTCCAGTGGCAGGTTCCACTTCTCCCAGGCTAGAACTTCTAAAGGACATTTACCCATCCCTTCTGTCTAGAAAGTTCTACCGGAGGTGTGCATCTGGCCCCTCTCTGTGGCTCTTACAGAACCTTGGTCAAAACGGCTATTGTCAAAAGCTGCTAGACTAGCTGCCTCAGTTTACCTATAAAGAAACATAGACCCTGGGAGACTTTCCCAGGACCAAAGGGCTAGCCAGGGTCATTTCTCCAAAGGGTGAGCAGGAATGGGCTCCACTGTGGTGGGCAGCAGTCTCCTTGTAGGCACCTTGTGCCCCCAAATTTATCTTCATACTGTCTCTAGGTTATCTGTCCTCAAACACTGTTTTCCTTGTGTTCCCCTTCTCTACTCTTCAAAAAGGTGGCTGGACCAAGATTAAATTCCTTTCCCTGACATTTCTGAGCCTTTCTCGTTGGCCCCACTTCACCCACGAGCTGATCAGAGGGAACCCTGGACTCTGTCATTGGGAATCCTTAGCAGGCTCAGGCCCCGAACCCTTCCTTGCTCCTCTTACACTTCGCTTCTGCTCTTCTCAGCCCCTGGATTAAGCACTATAACAGCGCTCTGGACTTCAGTATGCATGTAAATAAATGTCTTTCCATTTATGGCTTTGGGGTGGATGAGTTGCTTAGAAGTCCAGGCCAGCTGAAATCCAAGGTCATAAATAATTGCACCCAAGCTTTCTTCTACAACTGTGAAGATCTTTTTTTCTTTATTTCTTTTAAAATTTAAATCTTTGATCCATTCAGAATTTATTTTGGAGGAAGATGTGAAGGAAGGATCCACTTTTTTCCATGAACAGTTAAAATAATTAAATAATCTTTTTCCTCACCAATTGGACTCGGCACTTTTGTTAGAAACTAAATTGTCGTTTGTATTTGGGTCTGTTCCTTGACTCTCTTCTAATCGTTGGTATGTCTATTTCTTTTCTAGTACCAGACTTTATTTTTTTTTTACCTTTCATAGCTTCATAATTTAATATCTGCCCTTACTACTTTTCCAGACCTTTTTTTGGTCTATTCTTACATGTCAATTTTCCTAGATGAATTTTAATGTCATCTTGATAAGTTTATATCCTTCCTTAATCTTCTTAAAGTTTCAGAATTCAGACTGAAACCAATAGTGAATGTGGGAACATGTATATCTGTCTGTGTATCTGTGTGTGTGCTTATGTAACGAAATGTTTTTAATCCTAAGAGTAAACAGTTATAGGGAAAGAAAAATAATTCTTCATCTCATCATCATAAAATGACCCCTGTTCGCGTTTAAATGTGTTTCTTGTGTTGTCCCTCATGTGTAAGTTTGCTTTGGTCAAAGTGATGCTAGTATCTATGCTATTTGGATTCAGGTGGTTTTCTTGGATGACATCGGGGCTTATCTGAAGCCAGCCCGTGACTTGGGAATGGTCACCATTCTCGTCCGCGACACTGACACAGCCCTCAGAGAGCTGGAGAAAGTGACCGGGATGCAGGTAACTTCACATCTGCGCGGAGTGGATTTCCTGTCACTCATCTGTGTTTAGGCACACAAGAGACGAAACAAGGGAGAGGACCACCCTGTGTTTGGGAGTTCATTGCTCCTGGCATGGTTCCCAGGTGTGGACTTCTTGGGTGGGAATCCATTACCTGGTGTGCAATCGGTATGATGTCCTTGAAGAACTTCTTGTTTCTTTCTCTCCGGTCAGTGAACAGGGAAGCACTGCTCTGAGACCAAGAATCTACACTAGCCAGAGTTGGGGGAACCAAGACAAGAGTGGGGCTTTCAAAGGCACCCCACTTTACTTTTTAGAGTGAATATTGAGAATTTAGCTGCTGGGTCTACCCCAGTCGGGGTAGGGAGCACCATCCTCACCTGGTCCGCCTGTCGTGCTGCTGGCACTCAGATGTGGTTGTTTAGTTCCATCTGTTCACACTCTCTTGGCGACTGCTAGAGGGAGTGTCCTTAAGTAAAACCTATCCCTCACATAGGAGGATGGGACACCTGAATGATGCCCCAGGGGGCTGCCTGGGGATTAGTCTTCTCTGCCAGAGCTAGTGCACTTTTTGAGCTTACCTAAGATCATTGATTCCACTGAGTCCGGGAGCGACAGTGACGCCAGCATTTTTCAGTAATGCAGTGCCTTGCTTGCATCATCGTAATGGGAGAGGAGGGGGGCAGCGGCCTATACACTTGACTGAGTTCACTGGATGTCAAAGGCGTCACAACCATTTTCTCAAAGGGAACTGTTTTCTTTTTTAGCTTCCTAGGTACAGACTGGGTGGCTGAGAGAACAGTCTTGCTAGGAGGCCGGAAGTCCAAATCAAGGTGTCGGCAGGGTTGGTTTCTTCCAAGACCGTTCTGCTTGGCTTGTAGATGCCATCTTCTCGCTGTGTCCTCACATGGTCTGCCCCCTGCATGTGTCCCGATCTCCTCTTCCTATAAGGACACCAGTCAGATTGGATTCTAACTCCAGTGGGCTCACTCTAGTGACCTCATTTAACCTTAATTACCTCTTTAAATACCTTATCTCCCAATACAGTCACATCCTGAGGTCCTGGGGGTTAGGACTTCAACAGATCAATTTGGAGGGGACACAATTTAGCCCCTTTAACAGAAACAATTGACTTTTAATCTTTAACAAATAAATAAAAATGTATATCTAATGACTTCACAACCTTAAAGCATCTTGCCCAAGCTTGATTTGTCCTTCTGTAAGCCTAGAAATCTCATGCAGCAAAGACGGCCCCCAGACTTGGGATCGGAGCATCCATCTGTTTGTTCCACTTACTAGGTTTGTCCCCTTGTCACACCTGAGCTACAGACACCTGTCCTGTAAAATTGGGAAAGTAAGCCGTGTCCCACCTATCTTCTCCTCAGGGGTATGGGGAAGGTATAAGGAAAAATGAAAGTTACTCCTTTTTAACCAGAGGAGATGTGCCTCTTGTTTCTTAGGAAGGCTGTGGGACTCAGTCATGCACAGGCTTTGTAAATTGTACAGACACACGGGAGAGCCATTACAGTAGACAGTCCCACCCTCCCCACTCCTGGAAGCAGTGGGACATCACCTGGTGTGTGACCTAGGAAGCCAGGGATGTATCAGAAGAAGAGCCCCAAGGGACACTGGTCCTTGGTCAATGTCTTAGCACTCTGGCCAGACAAGGCTCATTGTCATCAGGGCACCAAGCTGCCCATCCCTACCGTCACACCCTGGGTCCTCTCCAAACGGCACAGAGCTGGCAGGCTCACCTTCTGTTCTCCCTCTGAGGACGCCCGTGCAGACTCTCCCATGTCTAAAAGGGAGGTGCATCTCGTAATTTACTTCCCCCGTTGTGGCGGTCAGGAAACTGGCAAGCTGGGGAGAGCTACTGCTTGCTTACGTCGCACCTTTAAGACTAAAGATGAGAAATCTGGCAGTATCAGTCACTAACATGTCGCTCCTCATGAATACATGCACTTACAGGTGCTCAGCATCCTGTCCTTGGTCATTTCTGTCTCCAGAAAACGGACACCAATAAGTTACAGAAGCTTTCTAAGGATGGGTGCTACGTTTAGGAATTTTCCTATTTACCTACTTGTCGTACAAAGACAGGGTATCTGACCCTCCAGGACTCCAGAGGACAGGACTGGGGCCTGCAGGCAGAAGGCTCTTATCAGCTGAATCGTGTACCCCGCCAGATTCATATGTTGAAACCCAAACCCCCAAGACCTCAGGATGTGCCTGTATTTGGAGATAGGGTAATTAAAATTAAAGAGGTGATTACGGTAAAATGAGGTCATTGTGGTGGGTCCTAATCCAATAGGACTGGTGTGCCTATAAGAAGAGGAGATTAGGACACAGACACACACAGAGGGAAGATCATGTGAGGACACAGGGAGGAGACTGCTGTCTACAAGCCAAGGAGAGAGGCCTCAGGAGGAACCAATCCTGCCAACACTGGTCCTGGACTCCCACCTTCCAGATTGTGAGAAAATAAATTTCTGTTGTTTCAGCCACCGAGTCCGTGGTACATTGTTATGGCAGCTCTAGCAGACTGATAGGAAGGCGCAGAGTTGGATTTTGGCCAGCTTGAAGCAGAAACCCTTCCACACAGCCCTGCGATGGCGGGATGGCCGCTCCGTGAACTTTGCTTTCCTGGCTGTGTCCAGTCTGAGCCTGGGTGACAGCTGAAGAACTGCTGTAGAGAAGGATTACATTAACTGAAGTCCCAGATCTCAGTGTTTTAGGGCAAATGGTGTTTGTTTCTTGCTTGTGTGAAGTTCAGTTGGTGGTGGCCAGGGGCTTTGCCTCACACAGCCGTTCAAGGACCCAGGTTGACAGGGGACCCGCCATCTTCCACCTGTGGTTTCCCAGGTCACACCAGACGCTCAGCTGGAAGATGGGGAAAAAGAGAATGTAGAGAATTGCGTGGGGATTTTAACAGGCCAGGCAGACAGGCCACGCTCTTCTGTCTGCATTCTGCTGGCCAGAACTCAGTCACAGGACTCCACTGGCCTGGAAGGAAGGCGAGGAGGTGAAGTGTAGCTGCGTGCCGGAGCAGAGAGGGAGAGGGTCGGTCGGTCTGCGTGGGACTCAGGAGGCTGTGGCGCGGGTGATGGGGCAGCGCTGTGGAGCTGTGGAAGCGCCCCAAGGGCTTCACGGAAGGAGCCGCACTGCCCCTCTCACTGTACCTCTCTTACTTTCAGCTTCTCAAAACTGCAGCCCCGCTGCCCACCCCCTGCAGTCCAAATGACGTGAGCCACGGGTACGTGCCCATAAAGGTAAGTGAGCACTCTCTCGGTCAGCTGAGTCCCCTCCGCCAGGTCACCTAAATGACTTGCAGAGACGTTTGATGAATATTAAGGGTAGTTGAACATCCATCATTTATAGGGAAGTAGTATTTCTCACAAATATCATTCCTCAAAAACTGATAGAAGATGTGGATCGTGCCTCAGTGTATGCAAGGCAATGTGACCAATGTATCAGACCCCCACAAAAAAGCAGGCCACGTGGGGCCTTGGGTAGCCCGGGTTCTGAAGTTGTGTCCGCCTGGCCTGTATTCGGGGAGAACATTATCTCATCCAATGTGTATCCATCAAGCACTTCTTTTGTGTCAGGCACAGGCCTGGTACACAGGCTGCAGTGAGGAACCAGACAGACCTGTCCTCAGGGAACCCACAGCGAAGATAAAGAGAAGGAAATAGTCATTAGAAGGCCCAGAGATCAGGGCTATGGCAAGGCCAAGGCCACGTGCGGAGGAGCCCCAACTCCTGCCCTATAGTCTTGTGTCCAGCCCCTTGGAGAGGGTTATTCTCATAGTCCTCTGATGCTTGCATATCCAGCCAGTTTCAGTAGATTTTCATGGGACCTTGAAGGAGGGTGATGAGAGCTGCTTTACCACCCTCTCTGCCCTGACCCCAAATTAAAGAGCTGGGGCAGCGACCTCTGGGGAGCCCCAGCTGAGCCCATGCTCAGGTGCTGTTCCAGCCATCTGGGTAAGAGCGCCTTCCCATTTTCTGGCCTCATGGTGATTCTATTAACGTATCGTTTAAAGGCTGGGAAGGTACCTGTGTTTGCTGAGCTACTCCGCTGAGTCAAATACGAAGCCGCAGGAGCGAGCCTTTTAGTTGGGGTCCATTCGGGCCAGAGGTGGGTTAGGATCATTGGGTTGGACATCAGCACTATGACAGTTTTCGGTATAAAGGAGTATAGAATTTAAAGTGAAATTCCCTCTGTTTGCCAAGTACTGAAGGGAAGATTGTGGAACATATTCTGATAAAAAGATTGTAGTTCCTGAAAGCATTTGTGAAATGTCAGCCTAATGTTTTCATGAGCAAAATGGCTCTTTGGGAATCGTGAATGGAGCTTCCAGTCTCTGAACACCAGCTTGGAGTAGTCTGAGATGTGGCTGAATAGAATTGTTCCAAGTGAATTTCTATAACGTGACCCTTATTTTTCTCATTCATTTCCATTAGAAAGTTGAAGATATGTACTTTTGGGAAAAATAGGGCACTTTGACTATGTGTTGTGTTAGTTCGTTTGCTTACCCTGCCAATGTAATGGTCAGGCTCAGTGCTATAACAAACAGGCCCAACTTCCCGTGGCTTAACAGCACGTCTGTCTCTTGCGTGCAGCCCAGTCCAGTGGGTTAGGAGCGGGCTCTCTCCACACAGACATTCAAGCGCCCAGAGCCTCTCTCTACTGGCTCCACCCTCCTCAGGGCCCAATCCATTCAGGGTCAGATAGGAAAGGAGGGAGGACCAAGTACTGGGGGTTTCTGTGGGCCCCAATGTAGCACAGGTTTCTTCTGCTCAAGTGCCATTGGCCAGAGCTCAGTCACCTGGCCACACCCACTGCAAGGAAGTGAGGGGAGGTCTGGAAAACGCCAGCCTGTGCCAGGGAGAAGAGAAGAATGCAGGTTCTGAGCCCCAGCAGTCTCTGCCACACCCCTGTAGCCCAGAAAGGACCAGAAGTGTAGCAAACCTTGGAGAAAAATTCCTATTCAAGAGAAACAGCTTTTAATGAAATAATCATGGTATTCTGCATGTTAACTTGAATCTTATGCTCTGCGCACAATCAGACGCCAGTTTAAAATATTGAAAACATGTCAGATAGCACCAGAAGCTCTGACAGTATGAGGGTCTTTTAGGGAGGAAGGCAGAATTATTCTGTTGGGGGTTTTTTCCAACGTCGTCATCTTCTCTTTAGGCTTCTCGTGTTCCGGTGAGAGCTGTCTGTTTTTATTGCACAGTCTGGCTGGTTGTCTCTTCTCAGACATCTTCTAGCGCTGAGACAGCTGGGTCGGGTGAGATCTGGCAGTAAAATGAGATGGCCCTGAGCCATCTGCAGAGAGACGCCTGGCCACCCAGCCGGGTGCTGTGGTCACTTCCCGCTCACTCTCTCTCCCACAGCCTGGAGTGCGTCTGCACTTCGTGGAGCTGGGCTGCGGCCCCGCCGTGTGCCTGTGCCATGGCTTTCCTGAGAGCTGGTTCTCTTGGAGGTACCAGGTAAGGGAAACTGGGGGAAAGTACACCCCTCGGGGAGGGGCGGGGAAAGACTAGATGGTGTGCCCCAGGCTGGGATGTCATTAAGAAGCTCAAACCTTACAGTGGAGCATCATCTCCAAGGTATGCCCATGATCCCTCGGAAATTTTGGGGCCAGAGATACCTCAGGACCTCAGAGCTGTGCTAGCCCATATGCCACCTTTGCAGATTAGAAAAAGTCAGACTTCTTGAAGACACTCTCCGCTACCTGCTGGGAAATCCTTAATGAATTATAGAAATCTGCAAGGTCTTTGCTAGGAAAAGTGCTCTCTTGGGTGTGGCGTTAGATGCAGTGCACAAACCCCACCACTGTTATTGGCAGCCCTATCCAGGTATGGTTGTTCCAGCCCAATGTCGAGGATACCAGATGGTGCCATGTGGCAGTTTGGATTGAACCATTTACAAGAACAGAGGGGTAGAAGGAGCAAAGAGGGAGTGTCAGCAAAAGACAGATGAGACACACTGGAGTGTGCCTGAATTGTTTGCTTTCCAGATCCCTGCTCTGGCCCAGGCAGGTTTCCGGGTACTGGCTGTGGACATGAAAGGCTATGGAGAGTCGTCTGCTCCTCCTGGTGGGTTAGCTCTCTTGTCATGCCTTCTGACTGTCTGAGCTCTCCAACTGCACGGTCTTCCCCTGGTCCCAGGTCAGAGCAGGCAACCGCAAGGGGGTCTGGCTTCATCCTTTTCCTTTCCTGCAGTGTCCTGTGTTTATGCGCTTTGGCCCCCAGATGTTTCTGTTCCCCGTACTCTGAATGAATACAAGAAACCCAATGGCCTGTGTCCTAAGGGAGTCTCCTGCTGGTCGGGGGGGATGTGGGATGTACCATCCATCTCCAGAACTTTTTCATCTTCCCAAACTGAAACTCTGTACCCATTAAACAACAACTCTCCATTCCCCTCCTCCCTCAGCCCCAGGCAGCCACCATTCTAGTTTCTGTCTCTGTGAATTTCACTCCTCCAGCACCTCATGTAAGTGTGTCATATGGTATTTGTCCTTTTGTGACTTATTTGTGGCTTATTTCACTTAGCGCAAGGTCTTCAAGCTTCTTCCATCTTGTAACGTGTCAGAATTCCTTTCCTTTTTAGGGGTGAATAATATTCTGTTGTATGTATAGACTGCATTATTTATGCATTCATCCATCGGTGGGCACTTGGGTTGCCTCTGCTTTTTGGCTAATGTGAATAATGCTGCTGTGAACATGAGTGTACAAATATCTGTTTGAGTCCCTCCTTTCAATTCTTTGGGGTCTGTACCCAGACCTGGAATTGCTGGATCGTGTGGTAGTTTGACAGCCGGATTCTTAACCCAACATCTATGCATCCCAGTGGGAGTCTATCTAAGGATATGTGTTGGGGGCCAAACATCCAGGAAAGGCATCTAAGAGGTTTTTTTAAATGTAATTATTAAAATGTTTATTTTTGTTCGTCTATAATGCAATCTTCCCTGAATCCCCTAGGCATAACTTAGTAATACAGTTCATCATTCAAACTAGAGCACTATTGAAAGGAAAAGAGACACTGTTAATAGGAACACACATAAGCTGAAACTATCCTGACCAAATTGGAACTCATGGTCATGTCCTAAATACAACTTTGTTTTAGTTTTTTTTTTAGAAAAACGTATTTTACATGTTAACTATTGTTGAAAGGTTATACATAACTTGAATGCTAAAGCCAAACATAATGATTTGGAATACATACACATGTATTTCAGGTCATTTGTGTATAAATTTCATATCATCTGGCAATAGATTTTAGGTAACAATTAATTTTCCCTTAAAATTTTGAAGGCTTTTCCCGCTGTTTTCTGGCTTCATGTGCTGTGGTTGAGAAGGCCCCTGCTGTTCTGATCCACAAGCCTTTCTATGTGTCTGTTTGGGTTTTTTTCTTTATGCTTGACACTTTTAGGATCCTTTCTTTATCTGTTGTGTTTTCAGATTTTATAATACTGTGCTCTGATATGGGTCTTTTTTATCTACTTTGTTGAGTACATTTATCTATCTTGGAAATTTTCTGGAATTATTTCTTTGGTAATTTTTTCTTCTGTTTCCTCTCGTCATTTTTTTTTCTTTTTTCTTTCTGGAATTGCTGTTATTGTTAAAATGTCCATACTACCCAAAGCAATCTACAGATTCAATATAACCCCTATCCAAATCCCAAAGACATTTTTTACAGAAATAGGAAAAACAATTTTACGATTCATATGGATCCACAAAAGAGCACAAATAGTCAAATCAGTCTTGAGAAAGAATAAAGCTGGAGGACTCACACTTCTTGATTTCAAAATATATTACAAAACTGCAGTAATCAAAACAGTATGGTACTGGCATAAAGACAGACATATAGACCATGGAGTAGAATCGAGAGCCCAGAAATAAATCCACACGTATACGGTCAACTGAGGCTCGACAAGCGTGCCAAGAACATACAATAGGGAAAGGATAGTTTCTGCAACAAATAGCGCTGGGAAAACTGGATGTTCACATGCAAAAGAATGAAATTGGACCCTTATCTTACACCGTACACCAAAAGCAACTCAAAATGGATTGCAGACTTAAATGTAAGACCTGAAACTAAAACTCCTAGAAGGAAACATGGGGGAGAAGCTTCATGACGTCAGTCTGGGCGATGATTTCACGGATGTGACATCAAAAGCACAGGCAACGAAAACAAAAATAAACAAGTGGACTACATCAATCTAAGAATTTAATAAGATTTCTTTTCTGACAAAGGGGCGCTTGTAGTTTGTTGGGATACTTTTAATCTTGTGAATTAAGTGTGCTTCTTTTATTTTTAATCACAGAAATAGAAGAATATTCCATGGAAGTGTTATGTAAGGTAAGAAGGCTCTTTGGTAACATCTGTAACCTCTGTTCCATCCTGGTGTTCTCAGTGATAGAAGCCAGAAGTGAGGTGTCCACTGAAATCCTAGGAAAGCAACATTTCACAGCATCTGAGTAAATTCTTACTGAAAGTTGGGGTGATTTTTCAAAATGATAGTATGTCAAGTGCTGTTCTAAGTATTTGACGGAAGAGGAAACTGAGTTCCAAGGAGGTGGAGGTATTGCCTGAGGTCGACAGCTGGTGAGCCAGCTGTGAACCCTGCAGTAGTCCCATGCCCGTCCTCTCAGCTCCTCCGTATTGCCTCTCCATCCTGGGCATTTTAAAAGTCACTTTATTTTTGTGAAGCTGTTGGTGGCCAGACCTAGGGAGTTAGTGTGTGGATTGGTGGCTGTAATGGCGCTCCTACTGTAAGACAGGCATGAACACCACCGTCGGGGAGAGGGACTCTCATCTCAGAGCTTGCAGGGGGAGGCGGAGGCCGAGGCGAGGAGACTGTGACGCAGACCTCCGTCAGCCCTGGAGCAAAAGCACAGGCTGTGGAGGGGGCGAGGGGAAGAAACGGCCTCCTGGGCGGCCAGGAGACTGGCGATGCCACTGATCACACTAAAGTTACAAAAAGCCTCCATCTTGGAGTCACGCAGTCTGGAGCTCCGGCATCCGGCCCCACATGCAGGGTTTGGCGTCTCATGTGGAGAACGTGGGAAAAGCTGAGTCTCCAGCTCGGGTGGTCCTGCCTTCCTCAGTTCCCCAGGCTTTGCCTTTTCTGCTCTGCCACTTCTGGTCTTGCTCATATCTCCCCCAAAATCCTGCCAGGATCTCACCAGCCTGTATTATCTTTAAAAGTAGGTTTACAGAAAACTGAATGAAGATCCTTAATACTGCTTACCCTCAAGTGCCCACAAAAACTTCTTTTTTCAATGACATCCCTACAAATGTATTGAAAATCCTTTTTCTCAACCACAACTCCCGAAATTTGTGCCAGTTCATCAAACGACTGTTATTTGCTTTAGAATTGGGTACCTCTAAGGGACCATAGCCCTGTACTCTGTGTGTCTGTCATCTTGGGATTCCCAGTTGGGAATGTTGGAGTGCAGCATGGCAATGATGGCGTCTTCTAAAGTCACTAATACCGGGAGGCTTGTCTCCACCCGGTTGTCCCTTTCACTGTGTGTGGCCTCGGGCGAGTGAGTCCGTTAACCTTCCCAGGCCATGCTGTCAGGTGTAAAGTACAGTGAGTGGATGGGCTCCGTGTCCTCCAAGGCTCCTTCAGACCTGAGTGTGCTGCTCAGTTGGTGGGATGTGGAAATAACGCTGAACTAGTTTCCGGCCACACTGTGGTTAATTGGAAAGTGGAAAGAAGTGGCTGCAGGCAGTCCAGCAGGGATGTTTCATCTGTGGTGTGCAGACCCTCAGGGTCCATGAGCCCCTGGTGATGGATGCAGAATTTGAAGCAGAGGTAGCCCTGTGCATTTTCCTGGTGGAGGGCCCGTGGTTTCCATCAGATCCTTGGATGTCTGAGGAGACAGAGGAACCATTACAGTTTGGGGAAGGAGTGGGAGATATTACAACATACTCTGTCCTCTTCTTCTCCCTCTCTCTTTTTAAATTGAAGTTCCCTAAGCTTTGCCGTTCCCTGATTGTTGCTGCACCCCCAGCAATTAAACAGTGTCTGGCCCGCAGTCGGCTCTGAGTGAATGCTAGTTGGGAGGATCGATGTTAGAAGTGGGGAGCTTATTGGGTTGCGTGTGGTGGTGGAGCTGCTTGGGAGGGAAGGCATGGACTTTCAGGGGCTTCTTCCCACAGGATGAGGCAGCTGTGACGTGCCCAGGTGTAATTCCACACCTCCTGTCTGGCCGGACGCCAAAGCGCACCTGGCGAGTTTTCCAATAGTTGGTTACGTGGGTAGGCCCCTGAGACAGTCTGTGGGTCCAGGCCCTTCTTTCTGGAAACTGTTTCTGCAGAACCAGGGATCTTTTGGGGAATTGTGAGAATGAGGCTATTTCTTGTTAGAAATGCAGTGGCCCTAGGAGCTGTACCAGATTCTGGCTGCCCTGGAATTACTGACTGATTCCACTTTGACCTCTACGTGGCATCTGGAAGTTGCTGAAAAGCAGAACTCGAGGCTTTTAAGTTGCTTCCCCGGCAGAGATGAGGGCTCAGCAAACAGCAGTAGGTGCTCAGGCGGGGCTGAGGAGCCAGAATGAGAACCCCGAAGTTAAAGGAATAAAAAGAAGAAAGTGACGAGATGCCATGAAGAAAACTTTAGTGCTGGGGTGGTTTTGGACAACAGCGTCAGTTGGGTGCCCTAGAGGGAGAATGCGAAAGGGGTTGAGGCATTCATTTCATTTCCCACATTCCTCCTCCATTGCTTCTCTTGCTGCAGGGTCTCAGGTCACTGCGGTTGCTGTAGCTGTATGCAATTCTGCACCCTACAGCCCTTAGAGACCAGAGCCTCCAGGACTCTCTTCTATGGGACAGTCTGTGGGTTCTCAGGTCCTCTTCGAGAACATGTGCACGCTGCCCCTTTACTAGGCACACTATCAGGTTTCTGGAAACCTTCAGCTAAATTCCTCTTTAGTGCATGTATTAGTCAGCTCAGGCCGCCATAACAAAATACCACAGACAGGTGGCTTAAACAAGAGAAATGTATTTTCTCACAGTTCTGGGGGCTGGAAGTCCAGGATCAGGGGGGGCCAGCATGGCGGGGATCTGGTGAGAGCCCTCTTTCTGGCCTGCAGACCACCGCCTTCTCGCTGTGTGATCACTGTGGGGAGAGAGCTCTGCTGTCTCTCCTTAGAGGAACATTAATCCTATAGGATTGGGATCCTGATCACACTAGGCATTAGGGCTTCAGCACCTGAATGTTGAGGGCACATAAACACTCAGTCCCTGACAGAGGGCCCGCATGAAACATCCAATAATTGCTCTCCCCTCTTTGGGGGGAAGGTGAAAATACAAACAAATGAAGTAATTACACCAATACTTTGTGCCTCCATTTTAAAAAAATAACCAAATTTAGGGGCTGGCCCTGTGGCCGAGTGGTTAAGTTCACGCGCTCCGCTGCAGGCGGTGCAGTGTTTCGTTGGTTCGAATCCTGGGCACAGACATGGCACTGCTCATCAAACCACGCTGAGGCAGCGTCCCACATGCCACAACTAGAAGGACCCACAATGGAGAATATACAACTATGTACCGGGGGGCTTTGGGGAGAAAAAGGAAAAAAATAAAATCTTAAAAACAAAAGAAATTATCAGACTATGTTGAACATGACATTAAATTTACAAAAAAATTAAAAATAACCAAATTTAACTGATGGAACCTGTCATCCGTGCTTTCCTTTTCATGCTCTGTTGGGGGCACTGAGGGGCTTGCCCTCCGCTCCCCGCCAGGTGAGGCTGTCATCGTGACCCTGGCTTTTCAGGGCTGGCGGGGGTGGGGGTAGCGAAAGGAGTCAGAACAACACCCCTTCCTTTTGAAGCAGTCACTGGTTGTAGACAGAACTCTGTGTCTTCCCCATTCCCGGTGAAAGGGGTTTCATATTGGTAGGTTCCCCCAGCGGCTGACTGAGACGAGGGTGGCGGATCTCTGAACACTTGTTAATGCTCTTGGGGCAGAGAATGCGAGGGCTGTGGGAAAGCCCCTTGTCTTGTCCCTGTCTCTGTTGTCCTGAAATTTCCACCTCCTTGCTTCATCTAGAAGAACTAAAAAATAGGTTCTGCCCAGAGGAGGAAAAATATCGCCTTTCATTTTGGAACCACCTGGAACGGTAGACGACGGAAATATACTCGCATATGTTTTCTAAGTCTCCAGACTCTTGCCAGTGCAGGCTCTGCAGCCCCCAACGAGGGCGTTTATCTGGAGAATCCAGAACAAGCTGAGATTACTTCTCAGAGGGTAGGAAGAGGGGAGGACTCATGGGGCTACAAACTATTTAAAATAAAGCTGTTGGTCTCCGTACTAAAAAAGGATGGCTTTGAATGTTTTGATTTTGAATTTTTGAAATCAGATAGACCTGGAGTCAGTGCCAGTTCTGTCACTACTCTAGCCGCGTGGTCCTGGCTTCATGAGTTAATCTGTGTGAGCCTCAGTTTCCCCATCTGTAGAGTGGCGGCATCGGTCCCTCCGTGCAGCCGTGTGAGGGCAGGGAAGGGCTGCGTGTGAGGCGCCCTGTACAGCACCTCTTGCCCAGCAGGGGCTCCTTCAATGCAGCCCTACAGACTTTTCTGTTATAACAGCAGAGGCCCCTCCGTTGGCTCAGGTAAATGGGCGATGGTGTTGACAAGTCAGACGGGAGTCTTGTAGGAGGAGTGGGGCTGGGAAACAGGAAGGTCAGTGTGGCTTTCTGCAGGGGCTGAATGGCTGTCAGGTCTCTGACTCGTTCCCTCCCACGTCTGCCCTGTCCTCCCCTCCACCCCGTCCCTGGCAGGATTATCCTGCTTGTGCAATTGGCGCATGCCCAGGACAACGCCCCAGCCCTGAATCTGGATGACTCTTCATCGCCAACCCCAAACCTCCGAATGTGACTGTATTTGGAGATACTTCTCACACATCTCAGACACCTTTTCAGGCTCCATGGTTGCTGGCCCATGTGGCCAGGTCTCTGCGTGTGTTGGGGCATGAGGGGCAGGAGCTTACCATCCTGGGGCAAGGCAAGCAGCCAGACCTCTCCATAACAGTTTTCTTCCCCTTTCTCCCTCCAGGGAAGAAGCTGTGACTTCTGTCCTACAATGAATTGGGCCCTGTTAGGGATGTGTACTGACATATCCTGAATAATCACTCTGCACGTTTGGGGCCTGCCTGGTTACTGTGTGGATGCTGGAAAGGGAAGGAAGATAACTCAAAAGCCCGTGAAACAGCAGAACGTTGTGTTGGTCTGCTCAGGCTGCCATAACACAGTACCATAGACTAAGTGGCTTAAACAACAGGAATTTGCTCTGTCACCATTCTGGAGGCTGGAAGTCCAAGATCAGGGTGTCAGCGTGGGTTCCTCTGAGGCTTGTAGACTGCTGTCTTCTCCCTGTTTCTTCACATGGTCTTTCCTCCGTACCTATCGTATCTGTGTCCAGATCTTCTGTTCTTATAGGGACGCCAATCAGATTAGATTAGGCTCTCCCCTTATGACCTCATTTTAACCTAATCCCCTCTGTAATGACCCCATATCCAAATACAGTCACATTTAGAGGTACTGGGGCGTTAGGGCTTCAACATAGGAATTTTGGGGAGACACACTTCAGCCCATGACAAAGGCAGACACAGTCATTCTAATCTTGAAGTAGCTGAGGCGGGTAAATACAGTTTCTGATTTTTTAATATTTTCTTTCTTAGGACATGGTAACCTTCCTGGATAAGTTGGTAAGTAATTATTTTGAACTGATTTCTTTGGAGAATTCTGTTTGGGCTTGGGCCCTTAAAGAAAAGGTGTAACCTTTGAAGGTGTCAGCTGTTAGAGCCCTCGAGGGGGTGGCGAGGGCAGGGACACTCTGGGGCAGTGGGAGGCGGGGTGGTTGGTTGGGAGGAATTGCAGAGACAGAGACAGCAAGGTGTTTGGAGAAGAGCGTAGAGGTGAGTTCTTTTTTTTTCTCCCATGGAGAAAAAAAGCATCTTCCCGGGAATAGGATACTTCTGTTGGCTTTGAGCAAAGGTGAAGAGCCTTGAATCAAGAAATTTAGAAAACATCCTATAGGCTAATATTTCACAACTTTTAAAGCTTCCATCCCTTTTTTAATATCTAAATTTGAATGCCTTCGTTAACGTTGTTTGGAATGTCAAACTCTAAACAGATCAACAGCTGTGATCCGAGAACGTGCTTTTGCAGAGCCCACATGCAATTCCTGAGGCTGTGGTTTGCTAACAGCCTCCTCCCATCCTCAGTTAGGTCACGGTGGCAGAATGAAAATCCTGCAGCATGGCTGAGGGCAAAAAGGGCTAAACCAGGACGGTGACAGTGGAGGGGGAGCTAAGAGAACCTCAATGCAGTGAGATTTATCACCTGTTAATTGGATGTGAGAGTCGAGAGAAGAATCCAAGATGACTGAGGAATTCCAGTTCAACAGCAAAGTATGGTGCCAGACACTGTAGGAAATGAGGCGAAGATGTCGTGGTCCCTGCCCTCTGCAGACCCTCAGTCCCACGGAATTGGTTTTGGAATTTTTGAGTATGGTGGGGCATCTAAGAGGACTTGGCCTGGTGTGGTCCGCTCAGTCCTACTCTGTAATGACCTTCTATCTAGAAGGTTTCCAGCTGGCTCAGAATGTCTCTTATTCTGATTGCTAAAAGAGAGTCTCTGTTGTTGCTGGCCAGCTGGGTTAGGTGTCCTTCCCTGGTCATTATTGGGACACTTAGGAAGGAAGCTGGGCCAACTGCAGATGAGGTGGTCATCCACCACCTGGAGGTGGTAGTTGAAGCTATTGGAGTAGATGAGTTCCCCAACAGACCTGAGAGCTGAGCAGTGAATACTCCCATGTAAGAGGCCAACTGCAGATGAGGTGGTCATCCACCACCTGGAGGTGGTAGTTGAAGCTATTGGAGTAGATGAGTTCCCCAACAGGCCTGAGAGCTGAGCAGTGAATACTCCCATGTAAGAGGTAGAGGCGGGAGTGGACTCAGTGAAGTAAGAAGAGAGTCTGGAAAGCGCAGCGTCACAGGAGCCTGGGGAAGAAATGTCTGATGCTGCAAAACAGTCAGAAGGGTGAGAACCGAAAGGAAAAAAACTATTACTAGTGGTTAATAGACTTTAAGAGTGAAGTTTCAGTGGACTCAGGGGTAGCAGAGAAGAAGCCAGGCTGCAGAGACTTAAGAAGGTTGTTAGGGAGGCAGCAGGTGTAGACCATAGTGAGAATTTTGACAACACAGAGGAGACAGAGGTACGGCAGGGAGCTGAGTCAAGGAACTGCCTCTCAAGATGGAGATGAGGCTGGGGAGGGTCTGAAAGGCCCTGATATGGCTGAACAAGGCCAGCAGGGTGGGTAGAGGAGAGAGCCCGATTTCAGGCTTGGGAGACCAGGATTTTAATTGTGGCTCCACCACTTACCATCCACGCAGCCGCCTTGGTCAAGTCGCCTGACCACTGTGAGGCTGTCTTCCCATTTGTGAAGTGTGTATCGGGAGGTTATTAGAATTCCAGACAGTGAGTGTAAACACTTAGCGCAGTGCCTGGGCCACAGTAGGTGCTCAGTAAAAGGGAGCTGTTGTCATTTCATTGCTAGCAGCAGCAGAAGAAAGGAAGGGGCAGGTAGGAAGGGAGAGATTGAAGATGCTCTTGAGCCTTTAATGGTTAAGGGAGGGAAGATCCCAAAGGAACAGGGAATAGAATCATATCACTCAATGAAAGATGAACTTGGAACACGAAGAGATAAAGTCATACCAACTTTAAGATGAAAGAGAAGAAAGTAAAACAAATTTTGATTCGAGGGAAGGTAGAGAGAGAGAGGGGCCCCTACGGCCTCAGTCTTCTAAGAATATTTAAAAGGCCAGACATTTGTGTAGAGGCTGTGTGGGGCCGGTATGTGAGGGATTGGAGGCTTCGGAAGGGTAGACGTTTGGAGCAGCTGCTGCGCCCTCACTGGAGGAACCCCCTAGGAAGTGAATGAAACGGTTGCCGGCTGAGGGTTGGGCCTCAGGGGAGCCGAGGCCTTGGACTCTCGACACTCCATCCCAGAAACCTGCCCACATCCACTCTCTTCTTTATCCTGCTCTAGGGCATCTCTCAAGCGGTGTTCATTGGCCATGACTGGGGAGGCATGCTGGTGTGGAACATGGCTCTCTTCTACCCTGAGAGAGTGAGGTAAGAATTTGGGTAACACTGGACTTGAATTCACATTAGAATCCTTCCTCAGGTCTTGAACCCTGGAAAACTTCTTGAAAACGAAGAGGTTATCTGGGAAGATTAACACCTTAGCTCCCTAGTGCCCATTGACACATTAACAAGGAGGGCTTACTGAACTGATGTCTTAGGAAGCAAGCCTGTCCTAGTTGCCAGTAATGGGACAGTAGTAGCTGGTGGGAATGTGGGAGGAGGATGGTAGACTTTGCGGGGAGTGGGTGAGGCAGCAAGAGTGTCGGATTCCTAGAATCGAGTGCCAGGAGAGACTCCCGCTAAGGACAGGAGTCAGAAAAAGTGGCTTTCAGTTTTTCCCTGGACTGGCTATATGACAAATCCTTTCACCCATTAGGCCTTGGTTTCCTCAACCACAAAGTGGTAATGGTAGGTCCTCTCTGACTGTATGCCCTGCACAATGCTGCACAGATGTCAGGGTAGAATGGCATTTCAGGGTCCCGGGGGGAGCTCTCAGATGCTGGCTGTTGAACCCAGAGAGTCAGGGGGCCTTTGTGCCCAAATCCCATTTGAGCTGGCACTTGCAGCTGAAGCCTGTCTGACCTCCCATTTCACCCTCAGATCTTAGCAAATTAAATAAACATCATCCTTAGCAGCCTTCTGTATTTCCCTGACTAATCCACTTACTTTTTATTTGGGTAAGTTTATAAGAACAGAAACACCAGAGAACTTTGTTCAGCTCAACGCCAACTCGAATGGTAGGATGATATTGAAGACTGAAAAGAATCAAACATTTCCTAAAGTATTTGTAAAGTTTTCACACTCTTGTTCTTCTTTTTTTTTTTTTTTTTTTTTAATTTTTTCCTCCCCAAAACCCCCCGGTACATAGTTGTATATTCTTTGTTGTGGGTTCTTCTAGTTGTGGCATGTGGGACGCTGCCTCAGCATGGCTTGATGAGCAGTGTCATGTCCGCGCCCAGGATTCGAACCAACGAAACACTGGGCCGCCTGCAGCGGAGCGCGCGAACTTAACCGCTTGGCCACGGGGCCAGCCCCCACGCTCTTGTTCTTCTGATCTCTTCAGCTGCACTCTGTCCTCACTCTCGTTCAAAGTCAAAATGAGAATTCAGTTCTTAAGAATTGGATTCACCACAAAGTTACTCTCCAGCCCGTATTGATGCCTCCTGAAGGACACAAAAGGAAATAGAGTGACGAGCATATGGTCTCTACGTGGAAGGAGGTGCAACACCTTCTTGTTGTTTTATTAAACATAATCTCTCTCTCCTGGGAGAATTTAAAGATACTGAACATGAGCCAGGTGAAGTTGTGCCCAGAATAACCTCAGATCAAAGACACGTAAGCGTGCTCTGGTCTCCTGTTCCTCCTCTCACTGTTCTTTCGTTGGTTCTGGTCGTAGCGCTCCTGCTACGCTGCTCTCATCAGAGCAGCCCTGATTCTGCGTTCCTGAGAGGCCAGGAGGAAGCCGAGACCCTCCTCCAGGGCTGTCCGCGGTGGGACGTGGCATCTCTTTGAGAATATTGCTGACAGCAGGGGCCAGCCCTGTGCCTGAGTGGTTAAGTTCGTGTTCTCCACTTCAGAGGCCCAGGGTTTCACCAGTTCCGATTCTGGGCGTGGACATGGCACCGCTCATCGGGCCATGCTGAGGCAGCATCCCACGTGCCACAACTACAAGGACCCACAACTAAAATATGCAACTACGTACTGGGGGGATTTGGGGAGAAAAAACAGGGGGAAAACAAAGAAGATTGGCAACAGTTGTCAGCTCAGGTGCCAATCTTTAACAACAACAACAACAAGAATATTGTTGACAACATTGATCTTCACCTTTCTAGCCAGAAAATGAGTGAGACAAAAAAAAACCCACCTTTAGTGTGGAATATTCCTTTGAATCCTTGGTTTTGGTGTTCTTCTGAGATAAGCTGCGGGGACCTATTCAATATAAGTGTCAGCTCACCTGTTTGACCAAGAATACCCTTTTATGTCCTTTCTTTGCCAATCACCTGGAGATTCTGCTCCCAAAGGAGGCTGTGGTTTAGCCTTTTCTAATCTTCTTGCCAGTTAGCAACAACATTTATATGCTACCATCTCATTTAGTGATGATAATATTTTTTTATATATGGAATAAGCTATATGTCAAGGCAATTAAAAAGAAAACCCTACACTGCTCTGAATATTTCATAAAAGCCAGAGTTTCTTGACTTGTGATTTAAGTAATGCTTAAAATAGTTCACTATGGTAGCATTGGAGACCTGTGGGTATCAATATAATTGTATCCTAATCTAACCTGCACTGTCCGTAGTGGCTATTGGACATTTGAAATGTGGCCAATTCAAATTGAGATTACTGTGAGTGGAAAGCACCTTCCAGCTTTCAGACTTAGTACTAAAAAAAGAAAGTAAACTATTTGTAATTTTTATATTGATTATTACATGTTGAAATTATTAATATTTTAGCTATATTGGGTTAAATTTTAAATTAATATTAAATTTATATTAAATGTTAAATTAAGATTAATTACTATTTTAGATTAATCTCACCTTTTTCTTTTTACTTGTTTTAATTTGATTACTAGAAAATTTAAGGTGATATTTGTGGCTCTCATTATATTTCTTTTGGTTGGCACTGGCTAAACCTTACCACTCCACTTCCTGATCATTTCATTTGCCCTAATTATCCCACTCTTCCTCTTTTATATCTCCCCCTAAATATTCTCTCCTCTCTATTTCTCTTCTGGGAAAAAGTTTTCCAGGGTAAGAATGGGATACGAATCCCTTACTGACCAGCCAGACTAACTAGTCCTGGTTAACTTCTATCAACGTTGTCTTTGCGGGGTCAGATCCACCCCTGTCTTTTGTTCCTCTTGCTGCCCCCCCGTTCCCCTTAGAGTGACTAATGCAGTAGACTGCTGTTGGTCTCCTTGCTTCAGGTTCCCCTCCCTGCTTCCATGGGGTATGTCACTGCTTGATGCCTCACTTCCTGACTGCGAGTTCCCTCCACTCTCGCCTCTTCTCAAAGCCGTCCTGGTTTTCTTGTTTTCTGCAGCATGAAGTCCAGACACAGGGCCCTTCATGTCCAGGCTCCCCCTTGCCTTTCTGGCTTTATTTCCCAAGATTCCCCATTAAATACTTGCCCTCTGGCCACATAGACCCCTTGCTCCATCAAGCTCAACCACAAGCTTTGCCCTTTTCTAGAATTTGCTCATGCTGCCTCATGATGTTTCCTTTACAGGTATCATTTCCCCTCCTGAATCTCCCCCACCCTTAAAGCCAAGTTCAAATACTCTGTTTTCCATAAGGTCTTCCATGATGCCCAAATCTAGAAATTCTTTATCTCCTTAAACTCCCTTGGTATTTCGTGCTATTCTTATGGCTCCTATCACAGACTCTCTCATAATATAGTCATGGGTATATTTGTCTAGCCTTCCTTATTAAATTATAATAAGCTCCTTGAGTATTGATTTTATATTTTCTCTCCCCTAGTATATAGCATGAAATTACACTTGACACAGTGAGTGAAGGAAAGAAAAATGAATGCCTTTTTAAAAACTAGAAAGAGATTGTAATGTCCACATATTCTAATCAGGTTGATATACTTCATGTAACCTGTACGTGTGTGTGTGTGTGTGTGTGTGTGTGTGTCTAAGGCAAGTAGGTGAGAAATCCTGCAGTTAAGCAGGAAAAAAACCACTGGGCTGGGAGGCAAGAAGTCTGAGTGCTGATCCCCTTGCCCCACACGCTGCTGGTATGAGATCTTGTGCATATCACATTCCCGCTCTGAGCTTCGGTTTTGACGTGTAAGGTCCTTTCTGGGTCTTGCAGACTGTCTGCTTACAGGGTCTGTGTCTCGGTGCCTCTTCTTTCCATAGGGCAGTGGCCAGTTTGAATACTCCCTTCATGCCAGCAAATCCCAATGTGTCACCAATGGAGATCATCAAAGCCAATCCTGTTTTTAATTACCAACTCTACTTCCAGGAACCAGTAAGTTGGGGCCCTGAGAGCAATGATCCCAGTAAGGTTTTTGCTCTTCTTTCCCATTTCTCTCTCCTTCTCCCCATTGGTTTGATTTATCTCTGTCCCCGTTATTTTCTGTGGCACTACTCAGAAGTGGTTTTACAAATGGGCTCAGGTGAGACTGCCTCCAGAGCTCAGCTGGGCCTTGCCAGGTGATGGCACGTTTCTGTGTGTGTGCGTTTGGGGTGGCAAGGGGAATGGGAGTGTGGGGGTGGCATACCGGGTTCTCCTGCTCTGAAATCCTGGAGTGGGGGGCTCAGTGCTAGTTTGGAGCAGCCCCCTCTTAGTTCTTTGGCTGAGAGGCTGGCGAAACCCACCTCTTGATGGTGACAGCTCCTGGCCTTTTTCCGGGGAGCTGATCTCTGCCTACTGAGGAGTGTCGTCTGTGATTACAGAGAGCGCCAGAGCCTAAACACCCTGCACTAGGCCCCGAGTGTGCTCTGGGAGATGTGGGAGGTTTCTAGGGTCACTCTGTGTGCCACAAAGCCCAAGATGCCTTTCAAGGATGTCCCCGGGAGCTGGGGGGATGTGTGTGATGCGGTGTCACTGTCACCTTTCACTGGGATTCACTGAGAGCAGCATCATGAGTCTGGCCTGGGTGCCCCCGCTTCAGCTGCCCTCGTCTGTGGGAGGCATCTGCTACTCATCCGTTTGTGCGCTCTGGACCCCAGTGTCTAGCTACCTCTGGGTAATTCCAGAGAGGATAGAAGATGGTTCCTAACACTCCAAAGAGAGAAGAATGGATCCAGCGAATCAATAAAGAGCACGAGAGCATCTCCCCACACCTCTCCCCAGCCCTTGCCCTTCTGCAGTAGGAGGTACCATTTCCAGCGAGGATCATAACTGTCCTAGTTTTGATTCAGTGTCTTAACTCTTTACGAACGATTTTCATTGATAAAATGGTGCATTGAAAGAGGAACTTTTTGATTCAGGCAATAACCAGACTCATTCAGTAAAACACCAGAAGCCTCCAGCAATGGCATGAAAAGCCCTTCCCCAGCAGCTGCACTGGATGGCCTTCGTGCTTCGGGTGAGGTGCAGGGAGTGGCAGCTTCAGCATCTCCCGGGGAGCTTGTTAGAAATGCAGACTCACAGGCACCCTTTGCAATCTGCCCAACAAGAATGTGTCTCAACAAGGTCCCCCAGGTGCCTCATGCACGTGAACTGCCTAGGGAGGTCCTCCCGGCTTTGACAGCTTGTCTTCTGTGACTCACTCCGTTTCTGCCATTCTCTAGCCCAGTGATTGTCAAACATCAGCATACATCAGAACCACCTCGAAAGCTAGTTAAAACACAGATTGCTGGACCCCCACCCCCAGAGTTCTGATTCAGTCAGTTTTGTTGGGACCAAAGGATTCGCATTTCTAGCAAGGTAATGCTAATGCTGCTGGTGCTGGAGCCCCGCCTGGAGAACCGCACGGTGGCCCGAGGAAAGGGCTAGTCCTGCCATTTTCCGGGTAGTGGGGGGCCAACAGCCGTCCTCAGTGGGTTAGAGGCCTGGGGCAGCTGGTTCCAGCCAAGGATTGCTGGAGCGGGCAAGGGCCGTGCTGACTGTCTCTCTAACGTGGGTTCCCTTTACTGCAGTGATTCTCAGACTTCTGGTCCAGGACCCTTTACACTCTTAAAAATTATCGAGAGCTCAGAGAGTGTTACTTAATGTGGGCTATATCTATTGCTGTTTACCGTACTAGAAGTCGAAATTTTAAAATATTTATTAATATTCACTTAAAAAGTAATAATAATGTACCCATGTTAATGTAAACAACGTTTTTATTTTTTAAAAAAAACCCTTGATTTTCCTTTAAACATTTAGTGAGGGAGTAGCATTGTTTTACGTTTTTCAAGCCCCCTTCGTGTCTGGCTTGACGGAGACAGCTAGATTCTCTTAGCTGCGTCTGCATTCAGTCTTTTGTGATTGCACATGTGGAGCTTCTGGAAAACTCTGCTGTACGCTTATGAGAACATGAGTGTGAGAAGGAGAAATGGCATGCTAGTATTATTGCAAAATGGTTTGTCCTGGGTCCTCTGAAAGGGTCTCAGTGCTCCCCCAAGGTCTCCAGACTATACCCTTTGAGAAATACTGCTTTTTCAAAAAAAAGTTGTATTAATGTAATTGTAGGTGATAGAAAAAGGGAAATAATAGTATCACTATATATTGTATTTTGATCAAACTACATTATTTATCAACCATATTCAGCTTATTAAAAAATTTTTATTATTTCTTAAATTGTTGTAAAATACATGTAACACAAAATTTACCATCTTAGCCACTTTTAAGTGTCCAGTTCAGTGGCATTAAGTACACTCACGTTTTTGTGCAAGCATGACCACCATCCATCTCTAGAACTCTTTTCATCTTACAGAACTGAAACTCTGTCCCCATTAAACACTAACTCCCCCTGCCCCTCCCGCAGGCCCTGGCCACCACCCTTCTACTGTCTGTCTCCATGGATTTGACTGTTTAGTTTCCTCACTTAGGTACCAAGTGGGATCATACCGTATTTGTCCTTTTCTGACTGGCTTATTTTATTTAGCTAATGTCCTCAGGGTTCATCCATGTTGTAGCATGTGCCAGAGTTTCCTTTTTTGAGGCTGAATAGTATTTCCTTGTGTGGATAGACCGCATTCTGTTTATCTGTTCATCTGTTGATGGACACTTGGGTTGCAGTTGCTGCTTTCTGAGTGCCTGTGGGCCAGGCAGTTCTGTACACAACAGCACTACGGCGTTCTCTCCTGTCTTTTCAGCTGCGCAGGCAGAGGCTCTGAGAGGTTCACTAACTGGCCCAAGACCAGGTCTGTGTCTGGGTCAGGCTGTTGACCTAGTCTTGTTTGACTTCCCCTAAGCCATGATGAGAGGGAGCTTGGACTTCATTCTGTGTGCCCTGCACGTCCACACAGAGAGGGGAGGAGCAAACCAGGGTGAGCTCAAAGTCCTGATTGAGAAAGTAAATTGCAGCCCTAGTATGGCAAAGTTTTTGGTTTCAAAGGTTGTTACGGTCATTGTGAAAAAGTCAGTATCTCTATTGCTTTGTTGTAGCAGCTGGGTTTAAAATCTGCAAGAAGGGTTTGCGGGATGGTTTTGTTCTTAGGAACCAAGCCTCTTGGCAGGGGAATGTTAGACATTCAAATTAGTGATCTGGCCACTGAAAGGCTCCCAGGAATGGGGTTTGGGGTAAAGCCAGCAGCTGAGGCTGGTCAGGATCGGCACAGAGCTGAGTCTGAAGGAGAAACCATTCAATTCACGGGCCCTGCCAGCATATCTGCCGCCTGCTCAGTAAGGGCATGGACCGACTGAGCCACTTCCTCTCTCTGGCCGTCAGTTTCCTCATCTGGAAAAGGATGATCTAGTTGGATGTTTTTCAAACAGGTAATAGCTTCAAACTTGAGCTGAATTCAGGTCAATAAATTAAACATAGCGTGTAGGGCAACTCTTTCCTTAGGAGTGGGTGCTGGGAGCCCCTCCTTCCTGCCTCTCTCCTCCCAGCCCGGCAGGCGAGAGGAGTCACCCCTGAGTGCTCAAGGTCACTCCAGACTCCTTCAGCCCAAGGAAGCCTCCAGTGTGTGCCGTGGGTGCGCCCGGCCCTCCCACCTCCAGCTCATGTTTGCTGAGCGCCACAGGGTGCTGCTTAGACAAAGTCCAGGGTGGTCAGCTCCCCCAGGTCTCGGAACCCTTAGCCAGCGTGCTCACTGTCTCGTCCCGGGAATTTGCCAAGTCTGGTGGCAACTAAAATTAAAAGTCATGTTTTTCTTTCCTTGTCAGAGAAGGGATCATCGGCTTTGCATTTGTATAGTAAGATCGGATGAGGAGGAGGAAGCTCTGGGCAGCAAGACAGACAGAGTCGGCTGGGTCATTTCAGCCTGATCTGTTCCATTTTTTAAATATTAGGATTCTTAATGTCCCGACTTAGCCTGGGGATATCTTAGCCCTTTAGCCCCCCAAATCAGGACATGTCTAGTATATCCTGTTAATCCTGCCCTCTTCCACCTCCCAGCACTGGTCCTCTTTACTTGTTCTTAGCAGTGTCTGTGTGTTTTTATTTCTTTGGGGAAGACTATGGTGCACACCTGTGTGTGTGTGTGTCTGGAACCATATAACAGATTTTAAGCACCAAAACTCACTTTTCAGTATTTAGCCAGCTGAGAAACTAGGGAATAGAGAGAAATGTGTTGAAAGGAAATTGTAGGTGGTAGTCAAGAGAGGTGGTTCCACCTGGCGGAAGGGCGAACATCCATGAACGGTTTTCTTCTGTCTACCTCACAGCGGGAAGTCTTCCTTAACACCCAGTAACTCCTTCAGCCTACGAGACAGCTGGTGATTTGTTACATCGTTAATTTTTTAAGTGATGCTTGCTATTTAAAAAAAAAAAAAAGTTCTGAGTTGTGTAAAATAAAAGGTTAAATCCCCCTTCACTCATCTAGAACTAGCCACTATGAGTAGTTTGCTGAGTATTTCCCAGGCATTTTTTTAAAATATGCTTTTTAAGTGTGTGTGTAGATGAGCCTATATATAATCTTACTATAAATGGGCTCATGCTGCTTTGGCATTTAATAGCTCTCGGACAGATTTTCCTGTCAGTATGTAGAGATTCGCCTCATTCTTTTTAATGGCAGTTTGGGTCTTCATAATGCAGATGGACCATGGTTTATTTAACCAGCCCCCCATGGAAGGACATTATTTTGATTGTTTTTCACAGCTGAATAATACATTTTAAAAGAAAGTGCCACCAAGTGCTACCTTATTCACCAGCCTTTAACCATCAGGTTTTTGTTGTGCCTTCCACGGAAGCAACTCTTGGCGTTTTATCTTTGTTTTCTTCAATGGGCACTGTCATGTGATACTAAGAAGAACCAGATACTGAGGGCTTGAGGTCCGGAGCACCCGTTTCCAACTTGGCTGTAGATTATCCTGACTTCACACAAGTCGCATCTCAGCCTGATGGTCTCCATCTGTCAGACGGCCGTCCCAACGCAGTGCTGTTGTGGGGGGCAAAGGATTTGCCCCAGGCGAATGGCTTCAAAGGGCCTCAGGTCTCCTCACAGCCCTCAGAGGCCTGCCTCTCTCCTGTCTGCCTAGCCAAACACTTTTCTGGTTCTGCTCAGATTTCAGATGCCTCTATCTACTGGCACCGGCATCTTCAGCCCCAGGACAACCACCCCATCCGCGGATGTGGAAGGAGGGCCTGCTAAGGGACTTGAGCATCCGCAGATTTCGGTGTCTTTGGGGGTCCTAGAACCATTTCTCCACAGATCCAAGGGAGACTGTACTTGAGCTGTTTCTAAGTTGATTCTCAGGAAGTCTTTATCCTTGAACAGCCTCAGAGCACTGAGACAAAGCTCCAGGGCTTGTGGAATTCCAAAGGCTTCGTCCTGGGAGCTCGTAGAACCTGGAGCTGTCTTCAGTTTGCCTGCCCCAGCTGGTAGCTTTTGGGTAATAGTGGAGCAGATTGTTCATCTGACTGTGATCTGTAGGGTACTGCTCAGCTCCACCTCGAGCTGGAAGTGAATTACCTTGTTTGGTGCGTCTGAGCGTGCAGTGGAAGGCAGAAGCATGGAAGCCACTATCCACGTGGTCATTTAGAGACTCTCCCACCAAAGTCTTTATCTCATACTCCTTCCTTGTTACCTCTCTTCTTTCCACCCATCTAGCCTTTGTTGGGTACCTGCTATTACCCTGCTAAGGCAGTGGCAATAAAAACATGAATAAGGTACAGTGTGTGTCCCTAAGAAATTCACAAGCTGCTGAGGCGACCAGATCCCAAACTAGACAGCTCTGATGCAATTCGATAACTTTAATGATGGAGATAATAATAACCATTTATTGGCATCCCTCCTATGTTTCAGGCATTGCAAGAAACAGGCATTAGCTCATATAACCCTTATAGAACTTCCATTTTATAGATGGGGAAACTGAGGCTCTGGAAGATTAAGTTGCCCAGTTAACAAATATCAGGACTGGGGCTTGAAACCATGTTTGTTGGATTCCAAAGTCCATCTTTAACTCCTTTGCTCAGGAGCCCCATCCAACTGAGTAGATGGCAAGCTTGTCATTAGTCTGTGGGACCTTGTAGAAATTGCAGAGTCACGTGGCATCAGCAGGGCACACAACCAGAGTACGAATGTTGTTGTCTTCTCCCCTTTCTGGCCTTCGCCTTTGTCCTTATCCTCCCCATTGACCTGATGTACTTTCATGTGGACAGACAGATGTATTTGCCTGTTTGCTCTTTGATTTTTTTATTGACCGTTTTGGAATCCGTTTGCCCTTTTAAGGACCGTTTCAAGGGTGAAGCCCTGTCCAGACCTCTGGACCCGTGGCGATTCCTTCACACACTGAGATACATCCCTGAGCTCATGAACAGCAACTGTTTCTGGGGTGAGGACTCTCTCAATAAATAAGAAATAAATTAGGATAAATAAGAAAGCCATGGCCACGCGCAGCGCTGACCAGTGCTTTCATCCATCACTTATAACACACTTGCTTCCGTGGCTGTTTCCTTCCTCGGCATCCATCATGTAGCAGAAGGCCACGATTGATTCTCCATCCCAGGAATCTTAGGAATGTGGGGGATTGTAATTAACACACTGACACTGCCTCCATCAGAAACTCTCAAACTGCAGATCCAGCGCTGCTTGAGGATGAGGCCTGCTTGCCTACAGTGCTGCCATCTCACAGATCCAGAGTTCGCACGATGTGCACAAGGGCTGAGGGCTGCTGGCCGCTGAAATGTCCTGTAGATCTGGCTTATCGCACCCTCCTCTCTGGGGGCATTCCTAGGAGGAGAGGAATGCACCACCTCAGCCTCTACTCTATCCAGGACCAGTCACAGATGCTCCCAGGAAGAAGAGTGGTTGCTTCCCTGATCTCAGGGTGGTCCAAGGAGAGCACATTAAAGGCTCTGGGATCCAAGAAGGGTAGAGCTATTTTATTGTGATGGGGGGAGGTGGGACTTCATGGAAAAGGCAGTGTTTGGGACAGGCCCTGAAGGCCAAACTGAGGGAAGTAGGTGTTCTTGGTGGAAGTCACAATATGTTAGGCCAGCGAGGTGGGAAAGTAGGACACCCATTCAGCAAACATCCTGCAACCCAATTTAGCTGGTGCCTGGGTGTGTTCAGGTGAGCAGTTGGAAAGGAGGAGAAAAAAATAGATTGACACTATGCTTTAGATGAATGTTTGTGTCCCCCGAATTCATGTCTTGAAATCCTGACCCTGATGTGATGGTGTTAGAAAGTGGGTCCTTTGGGAAGTGATTAGACCTCAAGGGTGGAGCCCGCATTAATGAAGTTAGTGTCCTTATGGAAGAGACCCCGAGAGCTCCCTTGCCCCTTCTGCCATGTGAGGACACAGTGAGAAGACAGTTGTCTGTGAACCAGGAAGAGGGTCCTCACCAGACACCGAATCTGCCGGTGCCTTGATCTCAGACTTCCCAGCCTCCAGAACTGGGAGAATGTGAGCAATAAATGTCTGTGTTTATAAGCCCCCCGTCTGGTGTTCAGTGATGGCAGCCCGAGCGGACTAAGACGCACTGCCATACTCCTCGTCAGTTCCTGCCCGAGGGGTGGTCCCCTCAGACTGTGCTGGGGAAGGATCTGTAGTATTCCTGAGCAGTTGCCCCTGGTGAGTCCCTGCCTCAGAGACAGCTGTCTTTCTTTAGACTGTTTCTATAACAGCTTTCAGGTCCAAGGGCTTTCAATGTCTGGAAGAGACATATTAGATTAAAATTTTTCCTTTATGGCCTAAAGAATCGTGGACCCAGGAGACCACAGCCAGTAGATTAGGATCCCCTGAAGGATCTTGAAGCCCCTGCCCCCCTCCACCCATTTTTATTGTCTGGAAATGCTCCTGGATGAGGGATTTGGGTAAGAGGGAAAGGGGTTGGGGAGATGAGGGAGCCAGACCCTGAGTTTCCAGCAAGAATCTCTCCCCCGACACTCACCCGCACCCTTGGGACCTCTGAGTTAGCATCTCGGCCCGGGTTGCCAGAGAAGAGACCCAGTATCTGTGGAACTGATGAAGCAAGTTCAAGTCAGAGAACTGTCCGGTGTGCAGGAGCCAGAGACCTGGAAATGGCCACAGAACTGTGTGTAGACCAGGAAATTCAAGGTAGCAGCACTCCCGTGAGGCGGTGAGACCTCGTAATTAGTGAGCACAAAGGGTGTGTCCCAGCTCTTTGGCAAAGGGGACCTTGCTGCCCTGTCCTTGAGGAGACCACCCATGGGCAGTCTGATGGTCTGTAATAATTTAGGCCCAAATCAAAGGAGCGGGTTTTGAAGTTACTGCAGCAAAATGAGATGTGTGAATGGAACAGCTTTGGGCTTTTCCACTTGGCTTCTCGGAACCCTTAGAACCTTTCTCTTCTTGCCAGCTTCAGCCCCCAGCCTAGTCCTGTGCCAGCCCTCCCCACTCCCTGGAAGGGACTGTTAAAATTAATACATTCTCACTGTAGGAATTTTGAAAAACATAAAAGAAAGCAGCATCCATAAACCTTCCTCCTGGGGGACCACTCTTAGCATCTTGTATTTTATTTGAAGTATTTTGTATGAGTGTTGAAATAAATTTTTTTAAACATATGTTTCAATATGAAAATTCAGATTACTGCACTTCTAATGAAACTTGGGCCGGATGGGACAGCGACTGGGGGCTTCTTGCCTTCAGTCAGACTGGGGAGAGGTGCGGTTTCCAAGATACCTGTAGACTCCTTCATTGTGCTTTCCGATTGTTTCAGGGAGTGGCTGAGGCCGAACTGGAACAGAACCTGAGTCGGACTTTCAAAAGCTTCTTCAGAACCAGTGATGAGGTGAGGGGGGCAGGGGTGCAAGAGGGGGAGCTGCAGAGGTGTGAGGGTCTCTGCATGGCTTCCTTGGGGGGGCAGTGGGCTGTGTCGGGGTCTGGGAATCAGCAACTTGGCCCTCTTTTCTTTGACTTCTGTAGTCAGGGTGAGTGGGATCCTCACTCTACTGGTCCCCTCATTAATGGGGAAACGTCACATCCTCCCTGTGACACACCAGTAGGGCTTCAAAACTATGATCAAAGAATGATTATAACATAGACAGTTTAGAAATTATACCATTACGACCATTACCATTTTAATATGCATCATTATTTATGAGAGTTCAAAACTAATTGATATCTCTATCTTCTTTAACAACCAAGGGAGCTAGACTGCTCTATCTCTGTAACCCCCTCCTGTCATGTGTTAGCTGTCACTGCCACCACTATGGTGTGTGGTGTGTGCAGTCAGCACCACCGAGACGTCCCTGTGGTTGCCAGTTTCTTTCCTAATCACTCCTGGCATCTCAGTCCTTTACAGAGTTCAGTTTCTTTCTTCCTGAAGTACTTTGTTTTGTAGCTCTCTCAGTAAGAGTCTGTTAGTAGTAAAGTCATAATTTTTTTGGCCTGAAAATATCTTTATTTTGCTTTCAATCTTAAAGAACAGTTTATCTGAGTATAGAATTCTGGGTTGACAATTGTTTTCCTTTAGAAGCTTCTGTCATTGCTTGTGAGAACTCGGCCTCGGGTCTACCCTCTGGTGTGTTACTTGTCTTTTAGCTGTGTCTGATCTGGAGAGGTCAAACTCGTCTTTAAGATTTTCTTTTTAATTTCAATCAACAGACTTTTTTTTTTAATTTATGAAAGTTGTATTTGGTTCTTTGTCAAACCATTCTGATCTCCTTTGATGGACTCTTGTTCCAATCTTGTTTTTCAGTTCCTTCTTTTATGTCTTTAATCATTTTAAGTGTATTCATTTCTCATTCTTTTCCTCTCTTTCTTTTCCTCTCTTTCTCCCAATCTCTCTCTCTAAGTTCTGTTACTTGGTTCTTGGAGAGTCTTATTCTACTGTTTGCTATGTTTGCCATCTCTTGCAGTGGTGTGTGTGAGTGACAGGGAGACAGAGACAGAGTGTGTTGTAATTTGCGTTTGTGAGCTCACCTTCAGCAACCCTCCATCCACAGCAGTAGGCTTCAGCTGGGATTCAGGCAAGGGCCGTCCTGAGTGTGTTCGCCTGTGCTGCTCTGCCAGGCATCCTGATGGCACTACTGGCCAGGCTCACTTGTGCTATTTTTATTTTCTTCGCATCTTGGCAGTTCCAGGTCATGCAGGCAGTGTAAATTCAAACCCAACACTTGTGAAGGCAGGCTAGTAGCTATGAATTCCTAGGGGAGCTTTTTTTGGTTTCTTCTCAGTACCAAACTGAAGGGACCAACTCCTTTGACATCTCTCTGTTATGATGCATGGATTTTTTTCTAGTCCACCTTTTAACTGAGGACCCCAGATTTACTGGATTTACTGTGGAGGGACGAGGAGTGTCTCATTTTTAACTTCCCGTCTGCCACAGAGCTGAGGTCTAACCTCTTGTTCCCATTGGGTGCAACACCAAAGGCCTTACCCTACCAAGACCTGCAAGTACCCGGGAGCAGCCTCGGCCTGGAGCTTCAGCTGCCTCTGCTTTGACCCCAGAGGACTTGCCCAGCTCTCTTGGGAGATGAGTGTGTTTGTATGATCTGTATGGTATTTGTAGGTCTTTTATTGTGACACAGTTTTCAGATGACCTGTTCTAGCCTTTTTCCTTTACTTCACTGATAACTTCATTTCTAACTTTTCTCCCTACAGGGTTTTCTCTCCACGAGCAGAGTCTGTGAAAGGGGTAAGAGACATTCTTAGGCAGGGAGGGAGACAGGAGGCTCACGGCAGGAACCAGCTGAGCATTAACTGTTTCTCCGTCTGACTGCTACGGGCAGAAGCAGCCACCTGCCCACCCTGAACTCTCACCAGCTTAGCATCGGTCCCGGCTGGTGAATAGCACTCGCCCCAATCCTGGGCTGACCACAGGCCTCAGGTTCCTTCCCCCCAGGGAGCTTCTGATTCAAGATTCCAAGCAGTAAGAGCTTGGAGGAATCTTAGAGCTCATCAGGGCAATCCCACCCTCTACTGATAAGGACCAAGACCCATGACAAGAACTGAGCTCTGCAGAGTCACCTGGTGCACAATGAGCAGGAGTCAGGCTGGTCCCAGGCCTAGGGCTCCTCTGTCGTAGTCCCCTGGCCTTTCCTGCATCCTGTCTCCACGTTCCAATCATTTCCGGTTCCGTCGTGTGAGGACCACCCTTGTTCTCCTCCTGGGCTGCATGTAAGTGAGGAGTCAGAGCCAAGAGCAGATGGGGGCGCCCCCGTGGCTCCAGGTCCAGCACTGCTCGCACGGAACCTTTCTTTCGCCCCAACACTGTGGCCTTGCCGTTATTCTCTTGTATTTCTATAAATGATGATCACTGCCACTCTTTGAGCACCAACTGTGTGCATCAAATGCTGGCCTTGCCCACTTTACATATATTATTTATAATCCTCATGAGATCCCTAAAGATCCCATGTTATCCCCGTTCTACAGATGAGGAAATGCGTCTCAGAAGAGTTAAGAACTTACCCAGAGTGGCCAGGCTGGGGTTAAACTCGGCTGACCCTAAAGGCCGTCCTCCTCTCACTGGTCAGGACCCCCCTTCCCTCCTCCCTCCCTGCCTTCACTCATCCACACAGTCCCTTGGTCCTGCCTTCGTTCCTCTAATATCTTGAGCACACACTTGGTGAGAGGCAGGGGCAAATATCCCAACGCACGAAGCGGAGTCGCTGTCCTCAGGGAGCCCACGGTCTTGGGGGGGCGGGGGTCAGACAGCAGTAATGAAGGGAGGAGAGCAGCTGGGGGCTGGCCCCGAGGCAGCAGTGGGCCAGGCGCACAGCCTCGGGGAGCTCAGAACTGCTTCAGCACGAGGAGGCACCCTGGTCACATGCCCCTTTGATGCATCTCATGAAAGTCTGTGTCACCCAGGTCTGTACCTACAAGGCTCCAAGAGCCTGAAAATGCTGAGCCAGCCCTGTTCAAGCACAGCATTAATAGCCCTCGGGGCTGTCCCCTGTGAAATGGCAGTGGTCCCTGGGCTGTCACTTGTGATCACAAGGTCATCCTCCAAGGGGATGGGAACTGCTGGGACACAGTCTACACCCCTGGAAACAAAATAGGATTCCCCCCTAAGGACACCATGCGAGGCCCATGAGCGTGCAGAAGGCAGTAGCGTGCGTGCTCCCTGTCCCGATCGTCTACCAGGCTGCAGGAGAATCGGAGCACGTGCTTATGACAAGTCTGAGACTCCCAGTGGAGATAGCCAAAGAGGGACATGGTTAAGCTATTTAGCAAAGGTGTGGTCTCTGGGAGAGGTAGCTGGAGGGCCGCAGGCCCTGGCAGACAGTAAGGCCAGGGGTCATCCTGGACCTGTGCTGCGAGATTTGGAGGTGGGGCCGGGTATGGTCTGTCCTGGAGTTTGTCATGGAAGTCGAGGCCTGTGTGTGTGATGCCCCTGGGCTCCAGCATGACAGTGAGAGCACAGAGTTGGGGCTCGAGAAGGGATGGACTCCTTGTGGAAAAGGAAGCGAGAACAGCTGCAGGAGCGAGGCCCTTGGCTGCAAGTTCCCCTGGGACGTGAGAGACAGTTGGCGGCCTCGCCTCCCCTGGGAACCAGCTGGGGGTGGGAGAGGAAACAAGTGGCCTTTTGCAGGAGGACTCTTCGTGGCAGCCCCAGAGGAGCCCAGCCTCAGCAGCATGGTCTCTGAGGAGGACATCCAGTTCTATGTGCAGCAGTTCAGGAAGTCTGGCTTCAGGTAAAGACAACAGTGCCCCACGCACAGAAGAGAGTCGCTCAGCAAAGAGGGGCTCTTCTGCTCCCAGGGTGCCATGGCCCTGGCAAATGCCTGGCCAGCTTCTGCTTGAATGCCTCCAGTGTCGGGAGGCTCACCAGCTTATGATGCTCTGCCTGCTCTAGTTTGAGATAGCTCAGGGCCTTCATGCTTGTGGGCCCTCAAAGCAGATGTTTTTAACTTCTCTTGAGTCACAACCCCTGTCAGAATCAGATGGCAACTCTGAGTTCTTTCTTCAGGAAATGCAAAACCCCACATAAACTCAAAAATTGCAGGTATTTTCAAGGGAGCTATAGACCTCGCAGGTCTTTTGTTTTTTTAAGAACAGCTTTCTTGACTCTCACTCACATACTCTAGAATTCAGCCACTGGAAGTGTGCAATTCAGCAGATTTTAGTGTGCTCACGGGGCCCTGCCGTCAGCACCACAGTCCATTTTAGAGCCTTTTCGTCACCCCAGAAAGAAGCTCCGCTCCCTTTAGCAGTCACCTCCCACTCCCCCTCGACCCCCTGGTCCTGGCAGCCTGCAGGCCGCCTTGCTGTCCGCGGATTTGCCTGTTCCGGGTGTTTCACACCGTGGACGGCAGCGCGTCCCTCTGTGCCTGGCTTCCTTCACTCGGTGGTGCTCTCAGCTTCGCCGCAGTGTCGCGGGCCTCGGTACTGTTCCGTCTTCTCAGGTCTGTTTTCAGACTGAAGTCAGGGCCCCCGCTCTGGAAGCACAGAGCTTGTGCTGATAGCCGCCTTCTGCATATCCCTTCAAATGCTTGAATACCAGGGCTCTCTGAAGCTCTGATCCCTCCCAGGGTACCGTGACCTCCGGCTGCAGTTAGCTACGCTCCATCCTCCCCCTCGCCCTCACGCCTCTCTTTACACCCCCATCCTTCACTCAAATCCAGGGGCGCAGAGAGAGCCAAAGCGTGGGGGTGGCCTTTGTCAGCCGAGGCCTGGATGCTCACAACAGGCAGCCTTGCCTGGGTAGGCCTGTGGCAGCCGCCTTCCAGGCCCAGCTTCTCCCGCACCCCAGCCCACAGCTCTTCCCCAAGCTTCTCCTTTTTTTTTCTTTTTTTTTTTTTAAAGCAGGAGACAATGTAAGATCTCAGACTTGGGGACAGAGTGGCTCTGGAGGGGGCGTTGAGATAACCTGATCCCGCCTCCTTGTACAGGAAGGGAGAGGAGGAGTCCCACGAGGGCACGGGGCTTGTCCCAGAGGTTTCCAGGGCCTTTCTTTTCACCAAGGCCCCCAACCCCAAGCCGGCCTGGGGACTGGGAGAGTGTTCTGGGTACGTCCCAGAGCCAGCCTTACCTGTCCGGAGGAGGCATCTCTGTGCCACCTGCCCACGTCCCTTTCAGTGGGTTCCCCGGGGCAGGGAGTGGCCTCTGGACAGCAAGGATGCTGCACCAAGCCCCCCACCCTCTAAAGTGACAGCCCTCAGAGAAGGTGGGAGTCCTCTGGGGCTGACCGCCACGTGTCCGGAAGCCCACCTCCAAGGCTGTCAGCCCCTCAGCCAGCCTGGTGTGCCTCCTGTGAAGGTGTGGCACAGGCGCTGGGCAGCAAGGTGGCAGTGCGGGATCTGTGCTCCTCCTGCAGAAACCCCTGTCTTCCTGGGATGACTGGCTCTATGCAGAGCTGGTTCCTGGGGGGTCTACAGCGTCGTCATCTACTGAAAGCTTTCTTGTGTCTATTCCCTGATCTGCCCCCCCAGGGGTCCCCTAAACTGGTATCGAAACGTGGAAAGGAACTGGCAGTGGGGCTGCAAAGGCTCGGGACGCAAGGTGAGTGCTGGGTCAGTGCTGTTCCCCTCCTCTGTGCGCTGCCCTGGGCCTTCCCATTGCCCCAACTGATATTCTCTTGGGTCAGAGCTGGGGGTGGACAGACTGCCCAGCTGGCTTCCTCCTTTCCGCCCTTTCTCTCTGGGCTTTTGGGAGTGCCTCTACTCAAGGGTTTCCCTTGGGGCCTCTTTTGACGATGATTCTCTTGGAATGATAGAGTGTGTTGGGGCCAGGCAGGGGTCTGTCTGGTGACTGAGGCATCAGCCTGGAAGACCCAGGTCTCCTGGCAGTGCCCCAGGCCAAGGCAGCGGATGGTCCAGGGTAACTCCCAAAGGTAACGGGTCATGGAGCCCCAGTCACAGAAGGAGCGTTAGGTGCTCCCAGAGAGATGAGGCTTTAGCTGCTGGCTGGGTCACCTTGACCCATCAGTGTGAGTCTCAGTTTCCTCGTCTGTCAAGCAGAAGATGGATTTCCACTCTCTGCATCTGCACAGGGAGTGATGGGGTCCCCGTTACATTCAAAACATTCAAAACCTAAGAGAAGTTGCATTTTCACATTGTTCAGCTCACTCGGAAGCCCTGGTTATCTCGTGACTCACTTGACCATGAACACCCTCTGTGCCAGGCCCTGTGCTAGACCTTAGGGACACCAGGCGAATAAAACAGATGAGGCCTTGGCCTGCTGGGGTTAGGTCTTGAGGAAATAGAGCAGAGGACATAGTGGTTAAGAGTGAGCTGGACAGCAAGTTGGCCTGGCATCTAATCCCTGTGTCACCTTGGGCAAGGCGCTTAGCAACTCTGTTCTCCTTGGTCACTTCTGTAATACGGGAATGACAAGAAGAGTGCCTACCTCATAGAGCTGTGTAAGGATGAAATGCGTTAATGCACATAAAATGCTTAGGACAGTGCCTAGCACATAGTAGTAGTTCAATTAACACTCATTATCCTTATCATCACTCTAATCTGTGAATGACAGAAACTACAGAACTGCGGTTGATAGGCAAATCTCTCACACCATGGAGGGACATACTGACAAAGGCTCTGGGAAAGTGGATCCCGATGATGCCAAGGCTGGGAATCCCCTTCTTCTGCAGTTACCTCCAGACCCTGCCCCTCTCCCTCCTCCTCCCATGCCCCACCACCAGGTTGCTCTTTGACTGTAACATTCTCGAGTTTACACAACCCCACAGCAGCTTCAGGATGAGTTTCAGCAACAAAATCCCTTCTGCGTGCGCCCGGGTCTTCATCATCTGGAGCGGGGCTGCCCTGAGGGACACATGGGTCTGCCTGTCGGTAAAAAACAGGGCAAGTTCCTTAACCAGGACAAATTAAAGCTGTCTGAAAATTATAATGGTAGAGTGAGAACAAAGTGGATAAATGGAGGCCCTCTCAACCTTGCAGTGCCCCATCGGTCAGTAGATAAAAGCGAAGTCATTTGTGCTGCCGCTAATGTCACGTTGCTAACAGTTGTGGCTGACCGGTTCACTCTAGAATCTTGGCTGCCCTTTTTAAGCATTCATTTAATTCAAAGAAAAGGAATATTGATCTCTGTTCAAGGGCATTTTTCCTCTTTTCTGGTGCCATCCATTCGGTTCCACGAGTATCAGTCACACGGAGTGGGCCGGCACACTTGTTCTTAGTTACACACATGCACGTGAAACCCGCATTGGTCACTGCCCTGCTGAACCCGCCTGTATCAGAAAATCCCAGCCCTTCTTCCTGTGTGTCTGCTGGACTTTCACACAAAACACTCCGCTTCTGACACTGCAGGTCCCCAGCTGTGTGGAGGTTGCCCCCACCAAGCGATGCCCTGCAACACCAGCTGGGCGTCCTACAATTTAACTCCATTCTGACACCGTCCACCCAGAGATAGCGTCAGATCCTACAGGTTAAGGGCTCAGTCCCAAAAGACTGCCCCTCCCCGCTGCCCCCAACCTTAGGTGCCAACTGCAAGTCCAGGTTGTCACCTGTGCTTCTGACTGATCAGCTGTAAATCTGAGGTTCCCACGACCCCCTCCTCTGGTTCAATTCATTTGCTAGAGTGGCTCATCGAACTCAGGGAGACGCTTGCTTAGATTTACCACTTTACTAAAGGATGTGGTGGAAGACACAGAGGAACAGCCAGAGGAAGAGATACTTAGGGTGAGGTCTGGGAGGGTCCTGAGTGCAGGAGCTTCTGTCCCCGTGGAGCCGGGGTGCATCACGCTGCCAGTAAGGATGTGTTCGCCAACCTGGAAGCTCCCTGAACCCCTTCCTACTGGGATTGTCTGGAGGCTTCCCCATGGGGGCATCATCAGTTATTCCATTTCCAGCCCGTCTCCCCTTTCTGGAGAATGGGGGGTGGGGCTGAAAATTCCGAGCTTATAATCATACTTAGTCTTTCTGATGACCAGCCCCATCCAGGAACCTTCCAGAGTCACCTCAGGAGAACAAAAGATGCTCCTCGTGCTCTTGTCATTTAGGAATTTCTAAGGGCTTCAGGAGCTCCATGCCAGGAACCGGGGGCAAACCCTCGTATATGTTTTCTGTTATCTCACACCATCGTTTTAGATCTCCAGTAACAGTGATGCTGCCTCCATGCCGAGCGTGGTGGGAACAGAGCCAGGACCACAGTGGTGGCACTGCGGGAGGAAGCTGCACAGCATGAAAATGGAGCCGTCCCCCTGCCCCAGGGCCGGGGGGCCCTAAGCTGTGATGGGGTGTAAGGTGCAGACAGGCAACGGCTCTTCTCAACTCCTACTTCCTGTTCTTCTTCCCCAGATTCTGATTCCCGCCCTGATGGTAACTGCAGAGAAGGATGTCGTGCTTGTTCCTGAGATGTCCAAGCACATGGAGGACTGGGTAAGGGAATGGTCCTGCTCTGGGCTCATCGGGGCTTCCTGGGAGAGGGCACAGGTGTCCCAGAGGAAAGATGGCAGCCGAGGACACAGAGTAGGGTGTTTGTTTGAACCACTTGCTTGACAAGGGACTTCGTCAGCAGCATCACTGTCGCCTCTTGGGAGCAGCAGGCATGACTGATGCTTCCTTTCTCGTGCACTGATGTAGTCTTCCATTCATTCACTCATTCATTCATTTCACAAGCCTTTTCTGTGCACTTAAATGACTTAGGAAATCGCTAGATGCTTGGAGGTAAAGATAAATAAGATACAGACCCCACCCTGTAGGGGCTCACTGTCCAGCAGTTAATCCCATAGCAGAACAGGTGTGAAGCAGAGGGCATGTTTGGGAGTGAGGGCTTCACCCAGGCACTGACCACTGCGCTGGCCTTGATGAACCACCAAGGATTGCCTGGCAGAGAGAGAACAGAGAAGGAGACAGAATGTTGAGAGGCAAGGAGCATGCACGGAATGCTCAGGAGGTGGCAGGAGCTCGATGAGGCTGCAAGGTTTTGCTGAGCCCGCTGGGCCAGGCTGAGCTGTGTGGACCCATGGGCTTGAGACCATTGAAGGGGAGCGGGGGTATTGAACCCGTAGGTTGGAAGCTCACTGCTAAGAGTGTGGAGTTGGTAGGGACTGGGGAGGCCTGCAGGTAGGGTGCCGTCACTGGCTCATTTATCCTGCTGGATGCTGAGAGCTGTCTGCACGTGGCTGTGGCTTTGTCAGCATCCTCAGGCACAGTGGGGAGAGTGCGCTTAGCGGGATGCTGCCAAGGATGCCCTACGTGGGCTCTGGAGTCATGGAGGACTTGTGCTCTGTGGTCTTGATCCTGGGAGGTTTCTGTAGAAATTCAGGTTCTTGAGCTGGCCTTTTCCAGCCCTTGCAACTGCTTGCTAACCTCCCTGAGGTTTGTTAGGCTCAGAAGGGGCAGCTCCTGCCTTGGGGTGGAAAGCCGCATTTTTCCCAGCATTTTCCACATACTGTTGCGGTTGCCACTCCGTTCCTCAAGGCCTGTGTCTGGAGGGAACCCACATGTCCCGAGCTGTGCGCTGCTGCTCCCTCTCAGTCCTCGGGCTTGCTGCCGTGACCCACTGTGCAGATTCAGGTTCCAAAAGGGGGGCCCAGCGGCCCTGCACACAGACCACCAGGGAGGAGGGAGGCAGCCTGGGAAGGGACACAGTCACAGCCCACCAAGCAGCGAGGGCCACACAACAGCCAGGCCTTTTCCAGGTAGTGCACGGGGTCAGTGACTCTGCACGGAGGCAGTTTGTTAAGATGAGTAGGAGGCAGCCATGAATTTGCATCTTAGCTCAGCCACTTTCTGTGTGGCCTTGGGCAGGTTCCCTAACCTCCCTGGGCCTTCATATTACCCCACAGGATTATGGTCAAGATTGAATACAGCAATGCACGTAGAGCACATAGTAGGAGAGCAATAAGCGGTCCTTCCTTCCTTAACTAATGCAGTGTTTTTCCAGGGAAAATGAAATGGCCTGTGGGGAGCAGAGAGGACAGTGTGCCCTCAGAGGTCTCCACTGCACGTTGCGCTCACCTGAAACCAGACCTACTCACATTCTGCCATTTACTTTTCTGGGATTTTCTTGCAGATCCCCCACCTGAAAAGGGGCCACATTAAGGATTGTGGACACTGGACACAGATGGAGAAGTAAGGATGGGGGGTGGGGTCCCTGGGTGGGGGAGGGTCCTGTTCTCCTTCCCTAAAGGCTTTCCCAGCTTAGCCGTCCACTCTCTCACCTCTCCCAGCTCCAGGCGAGGCGGGGCAGACAGGTGTGAAGTGCCTTTTATTTCCTTTCCAGGCCCACCGAGTTGAATCAGATCCTCACTGAGTGGCTGGAAACTGATGCCAGGGACCCGCTGGTGGTCTCGAAGCTCTAGGATGTGACGCATACAAACCCCCAGCAGGCTTTCAACGCTGTCATCTGCTGGGACACTGCTCTTGGTCCCTAGACGAGGCCTTACCCCCATCTCTCATAACGAGCAGCGTTGTTCTGAAGGGGTTTACAACAAAGAGTGATTTTCTTTATGTGAAATGAGTCAAGTTTGACGTGATTTTAGATGGAAGAAGAATCGTGTGATTAGTTCTCCGGGAATAAATGCATCAGTGTCTCTCTAAGAACCGTTAGTGTTCTCTAGAGGGACAGCGTGGGACGGCCAGGGGTGATTCTCTTTGACTAACCAGTTCATAGTTTTGCAGCAAAATCAGTAGTTAACTTTGAAGCATTCCGGCAGGGATTGGAAGTCCTTTGTTCAATAAAGCCGAGACGACGGTGATGCTGCTGCCTGTGTTTTTGGGAGGAGGCGGAGTCAGTGTTCTAAGAACCTGTCGCGTTTGAATGAACACATGTGCTTTGGCTCTGGAGCCTACACAGCACTGTGTGGTCCAGACCAGCGCTGTCCAGAGGAGCTTTCTGAGATGCTGGAAATCGTCTGCTCTGCGCCCTCAGATAGAGTGGCCACTAGCCACACTGCGCCACGTGCTCTTTCTCCCTGCTGCCTGAGCATGGCGTGCTCTCGCCCACATGCACACCTCCCTCGCTGCGCCTTCTGCCGGGAAAGCTGGGAGAAGAGGTGGTCTCTCTGAGCTGAATTATGAAATATGATGCATTCAAATTAACCAGGCAAAAAAGATGTGCGTGTCAAAAACAAGGGGAAGGCTGGAAATGTTAGCAGCTACATTATTAAGGGCCCCTGTGTGCCTGGAGCCTTACATACACTCTCTCTTATCCTTATCTTGTCCTTATCTCTTATCCTTCCCACTTAACAGATGGGGAAACTGAGGTTCAGATAATTTGCCCAGGGTCATTTGGCTAGTTGAGGGCAGAGCCTAGATTCAGACACACGCTGCCTGGTTCCAAAGACTGAGTTCCTTCTACCAAAAATCTCCTTTCTAAACTGGAGTCAAACTACCTGCATTAGACCCTTGGTTTGCCACTTACCACTGTGTGATCTCGAGAAAGGGCTTCCTGTGCCTCGGTTTCCTCATCTGTAAAGGGGACATTCATAGTACCAACTCATAGGTGGTTGTGATCATCAAATGAGTTATCATATGCAGGGCCCTAGAATGGTGCCCGGCTCAGAGGAAGTGCTGCAGAAGTCTTAACTCTAAGATTTCTAGTCCATCCTATGATGAGGCTGTGAGGGCTTTAAATTTCCAACCACACCACCTCTTCCTTTTGGATCTGAGAATTAAAGGGCTCATTTAAAAGGCAACTATGTGACCAGGAGGAATGACTATGTAAGCCAGACAACATTATTTTACCACCTGAATATGTCCAAGCTCATTTCTACTGAGCGGTGGGAGGAGAGGAAAGAAGAATCTTAGAACATCCTTCATTAGAAGCAGCACAAATAGGCCAGCCTGTCTGCCCCGGTTGTCTCAGGTTCAGTGTTCTACCCAGCGGTCCCCGTAAACCGACAGAAATGCCTCTGAATGTGTACGGTGATGGATGTAGTTAGTCTTGGGGGGCTGAACATGATGTAGTCTACACAGAAATTGAAATACAATGGTGGACGCATGAAATTTATATAATGTCATAAATCAGCGTTACCTCAATAAAAAAAAAAAGCCTCAGAAACTCTACTCTTCGGGCAAATAAGGGTCACATGAATCAAGCACAAAGCATTGCAACAAAAATATAACCAGTCATACAAGCATGAGGGTCATAAAAGACGCTCAACTGGAAAAGGTCTGTAGGTGTCCAGAAAACACTAGGAATGTCCAGAGCTGTGTCTCCCGGTCTGCTTTGGGGAGCTTCCGGCCACCAGTCACCTCTGCAGTTGTGGCAGCAAAGGGGGCTGCCAGATGCCATTTTAAGTACAACTTGCTGGGAGTGTGTTCAAATTGATTTAATTATAAAACGTTATTTTTCCTTCACGACTACAAAAGGCATAAATAACAAGTGTATTCACCTCTGCTAGGGAAATAGCCTTTTTAAAGAGGGTGGCAAACCCATATTCACTCTTAGGCCCACGCACCGGTGGGGTCACGGAGCTCTCCCGAGGGAGCTGGGATCGCTCACTGGTTCTTCCTCATGCTTAGTGGCTGTCGACTAGCAGGGTCCAAGGTTTCCGGGAGAAATGTCTTCTAAAAGCGAGTCTGTTAGAATAGACAGGACAAAGCTATTTCTGTCTCTCTTGGAGTATAACGAGCCCATGGTTTCAGGCCTTGAAGTAACTCTAGCCAGTTTCCGTATTGTTCATGCCAGCATTACCATGAGTGCAAATTAAAGGCAAACAATGGTTAAAATATCTAAGTCGGAAGCTCAGAGGTTTTTGCAACAGGACCTGGGTGGGAAATACCATGCTTCGCTGTTCAAAGGAATCCTTTCTGCCACAAATGACAAAGCATTTCCTTATCTTAGCAATTGTAGAGGTCTCTCCCTGGTGGTGGCCACTGCACCCAACTGTTCATTTTGTCCCTTAGACTATAAGGCCCTTGAGACCAGAGGCTCCTGTCTAGGTGATTCATCCTTGACCCTGCCGCAGCACATGCCTGGCGTTTTGTAGATGCTCATTAGACGTTTGCTGCATAAATCAGGGAATGTGTGCTTAAATGAAAGAAGGGAGAAATGAGTTACTTCCAGATTCTTGATTTTGATGTCCTACTGGGTGAGATGGATGGCCAATTGCAGGACTGTTTCCCCTATTCCAAGCCTTGGTGGATCTCTTACTAACACTGCTGGCATATCTGCTGAGAGAATTAAATTCAGAAGGAGACGTCAGATTGTAGACATCAACAAATCTTCGCTAGAAGTCATTGGATAAACTGCCACAGCGCATCAGTGGGTTTCTGCTGCGTAAAACAAATTCAGTAATGATCTTAATAACACAGCCAAAGTAGTTAAGGTTACTGTGGGTGTTCACAGCTTTCATATTTATAAGTTATGAGTGGAATCATTTTGTCAGCTTACCTAAATGCATTTCACCATATTTAAATACAAGGTTTTGAGGCTGTTACCTGCTTTTGAAAGAATATCAGTGATGTTTCTACTCCTATAAGCTGACTTTTTTATTGTGGTAAATATATATAACATGAAATTTACCATTTTAACTATTTTTAAGTGTACACTGGCATTAAGTATATTCACATTGTTATGTAACCATCACCACCACGCATCTCCAAAACCTTTCTATCTCCCCAAACAGCAGTTCTGTCCCCTTTAAACACTAACTCCCCATTCTCGTCTCCCTCCAGCCCCCAGCAGCCGCCATTCTACTTTGTCTCTATGAATTTGACTGTTCTAGATCCCTCATACACGTGGAATCGTAAAGTATTTGTCTTTTGGTGACTGGCTTATTTCACTTAGTATCATGTCCCCAAGGTTCATCCATATTGTAGCATATGTCAGAATTTCCTTCCTTTTTGAGACTAAATAATATTCCATTGTGTGCATACCATACGGTTGCTCCTACCTTTTGGCTGTGGTGAATAATGCTGCTTGAACATGGGTGTGCAAATATCTCATCGAGTCCCTCCTTTCAGTTCTTCTGGGTATAAACTCGGAAGTGGAATGGCTGGATCATGTGGTAATTCTATGTTTAATTTTTTATATTTCCATAGTGGCTGCCCCATTTTATAGTCCCACCAGCAATGCACAAGAGTTCCAATTTCTCCACATCATCACCAACACTTGTTATTTTCTGGGTTTCTTGATAGTAGCCATCCTAATGGGCGTGCAATGGTATCTTATTGTGGTTTTGATTTGCATTTCACTCATGACTAATGATGTTGAACATCTTTTCATGTGCTTATTGGCCATAGTATATCTTCTCTGTAGAAATGTCTGTTCAAATTCTTTGCCCATTTTTAAATCACCTTGCTTGTTTTTTGATTGTCGAGTTGCAGGAGTTCTTTATATATTCTGAGTAGTATTCCTGTATAAGATATATGCCAATATTTTCTCCCATCCAGTGGGTCATAAGCTCACTTTTTAATCGATTAAAAAATAACTTCCGTGTTTAAAAGGCCCTAGGTTAGGACCTAACTTGTGTTTCTTATGTAGTTCATCACTGTTTTCCATGACGCTAGTGCCAAAATGGAAGGGCAGACTGTATCAGCATTGCTCCCCACCCCCAGCACGACTCTTCAGCTTGTGTCAGAATTTTGAAGACAGAAACAATTCTTTGTTTATGCAACTCAAAGTAAAATTCCAGAAAAAGCCTCAAACAAAGCCTTTGTTGCCTTTGAGTAGATTGAAAGGATGGATATTTGGTCATTGCCTCCATCAGTTACTCTGGATTCAGATGGAAAAAGACCTTGGAGAGGCAGGGGACATTTTAGACAGTGCCCTCCCACCTTGTCTTATGTGTGGCCTGAACTTTATGCCCTACATCTTATTTTAAAGAGAATGAGCTGCCTGAGTGGGACAAGAAGGTAATATCTGCAGATGAGAAACATTAAACTGTTCCAAATGTTCAGTGTTTCAAAGAAATGTATGAAGTTTCCGTGTACAAACTCTGTAAGAAGGAGCTCATTCTCACCGCTTAATAAGTATGGGAGGGGAAAAGGTCAGCAAACAAGCTTCAGTGACCACGGAAACGGTAACATGAATTTCCCTGGCCGGCAAATGTTTGAAAAAGTTAAGACTCAGCAATTATTGAACAAGCTGAGTCCGTCAGACAAGAAGAAATAAGCAATAAACCATTGACTTCAACCACGGGATAGTGGCAATGCAGATTGAATTAACTGATACACACCATTTTTGCTGATTTTTACATTTCTTTTGGTTACATGTCATTTTGGTTTTTTCGATAAAGGCAATTTATAAAAAAGTTGATGTGCATGGCTTGGGGGGTGCAGAGCAGGAAGCATTCCCTCCAAGGCCAAAGCAGGGGTGAGCAAGGAAAACCCGGGGCGTGACTCCAGCTCTGGATAGTCTCAGCAGAAGAGGGAAGGGAGCCCCTCGTGCAGTTCTGGGGTGCAGCCCAGGGCAGCCAGCACCCCAACTCTGGTTCCTGAGCGTCCTGCTCAGAGTACATTCACCAAAAGGGGAAAACTTGGGCCCGGCTGTGGTTGAAAGGAGCATTGGTGAGGCGAGGGGAGCAGGGCATATTCTGCCCGCAGTTGTGGGAACAGGGCTTGGGGGTGGGTGGGAAACAAGTTATTTATCTGGGATGACACCAGGCTGTACCTCTGCACTCCCTCTCTTCCCTGCCAAGGGCGTCTCTGTGCCCCCACCCCCCACACCCCCACTCCCGCCCCACCGGCCCCTGGCTTGGTGCTCACTGTGGGTTGACCACAGCCCCTGGGCCCCCTTCCATTGCTTTGGAACAGTGAGTGTAGAGAAGGGGCAGTAGCCCACCTAGTAGTGCTGTCTCCATCCCTCAGCCCCAAGCCCCCCTACCCACTGCTCACCCCCCTTCCCCCCAAGCCCTGCCTTTCTCAGGCGGGGAGTCTGAGGCTCTGCGGGGAGGTCCCCCAGCATTCTTCCCCTGGGGCAGTGGAGCTGGCGGGCCAACGCGAGTGCACAGGGCCTGCCCCTTCCATCAGGGTCAGCCCAGGGAACCAGGCGCAGAGGGAAGCCCTGCTCTTCTCTCTCACAATGGCCTCAGTGGAGACCCCAGCCTCAGGGCCTTGCAGACATGGTGTCTTGGTCTGCTCCGGCTGCCCTAACAAAGTCCCACAGATGGGCGGCTTCAACAGCAGACATTCGTTTCCTCACAGTCCTGGAGGCTGGAAGTCCAAAATCAAGATGTCAGCAGGGTTGGTGTCTTCTGAGGCCTCTCTCCGTGGCTTGGAGATGGCCGTCTTCTCCCTGTGTCCTGTCAACCGAGGAGAAATCACTACAATTTAAACAGCAGATATTTATTTGGGCAATTGGAATTGCAATTCAGGAGCACAGATTCAGGTAGAAACCCAAAATGTGTCCCGCCAGGCAGTAAAAGGCAGGGGTTTTTACAGACAAAGAAGGGAGGTTGTATGACAGTAAGGAGTTTTAGTTGGAGGTGGAGGCAGAATCTAGTCTTGGCTAAACATGGCTTGGCTATTGATTCTGTCGTCAGAAAGTCCACAATCCTGTCTGCGATCAGGATGTCCGTTTTCCTGCCGATTACTCAAACAATTGCTTGTAAAACAATTGCCATTCTGGCCCAGTCCAAAGCTTTGGCCCGGCCCAAGGCTCAAGACAGCAAAGCAGTTTCTCTGGAAAGGCTCCACTAGAGGCACTTTTGACAGTCCTCACATGGTCTTCCCTGTGAGTGTGTCTGTGTCCTCAGCTCTTCTTATAAGGAAACCAGTCCTATGGGATTAGGGCCCACCCTAACTTAACAACCTCTTTAAAGTCCCCATCTCCAAATACAGTCACATTCTGAGTCCTGGGGGCTAAGCCTTCACAGGAATTTGGGGGAACACAGTTCCACTCATAACACACTGGGGTTCCAGCTCTTCCCCTAAGGCAACTCTGTCCTGTGTCTGGAGCTGCACAGACTCCTCGCCCGTCTCTGGGACTCTCCTCTCTGTGACTGAGGGCCTGCTCAGCAATCGTAAACAGCAGCACCTCCACTAGCTGGGATTTCCCCATGGAGAGCACATGGCTGCCACCCTCACCTCACAGCACGTACATGTGCAGTTGGGGGGTGCAGTCCTGCACACACATGTGCATACGTGCACACACATGCGCGTACATGCACACACATGCACATGCACTAGGCGGCTGGCAGAAATCCTGGTTTGGGGACACAGATGTGACTCTGACCCCCCCGTTCCAGGACTTCTCCTGTGTGTATCTGAGTAACCCCACCCCTCCAGCCAGGCCTTTCCTCCCCCAAAACTCCAGAGCTGTTGGCCACGCTCCCCGCTAGACACCAGCTCTTGGCTTGGAAAGATCTGATAAGCCAAGATCCTCGGTGACTTATTAGTTTGTTGAACAAACACATCGGGCTCTGGCTCTGTGCCAGGCACTGAGCTAATGGATGACAATGTGGACAATAGTGTCCCAGGGATCCTGCCCCAAGAGCTCACAGCTGGGGGCTGATGCAAGAGTCTGTTGCCATTTGAAGCAATGATTGCATCCATCGTACATCAACTATAACATTTATGTCGACCTGGAATTAGGCAAAAGTGCCCCTACTTCTCTGGGGAGGAAAATGAGGTTCACAGAGGTTAACTGGCACAGCTCGGAGGAGGAACCCAGGTCCGTCTCCCCCAGAGCCTGGGGAAAGGAAGAGCTTTACTAGAACAGTTTGCCTTGTCCCCTGGCTGCGGCCACCGGCGTCCTGTTCCGTCTCTCTACAGTGGTGGGTCTGATGACACACGAATGCAGAGCTCAGCTGCACAGGCCAGCCACCTGTGCCCCGCTGCAAGCAGGCCCCGAGGGGGCCCCTGCAACAAGACCCCCACCAGACCTCCCCATCCCAGCCCCCTGGCCTGTGGTAGTAAGGACCTAGTTTTGAAGTTGGGGGTCTTCTGGCTCCAGAATCCTAGAGTTGGGGTCGGAGCTGTGGGGGCCCAGAGCAGGCCACCCCAAAATATCCCACCATAGCATGTTGATGAGTTTCAATTAGTTACCTGAGAGGCAGAAAGGGAGTTCTGCACCCCCGCCTCTGCTTGCCCTGAAAGCAGGAACTATCGCTCCCTGTGCAGGGCTCTCCGGGCATCCCCAGCAGCAGAGCTGGGCCGGCAGGGCTGAGCAGCCCCGTCACCTACCCCCTCAAGCCTAAACGCGGCTTAAATTCCTCGCTCATCACGTACCTCCAGTCTAAGTGTCTTTGTCCTGTCATTCCTCACAAACTGATGGTTTCCTTGTGTAAAAGACACATATACTGCCTGCTTTGTTGACTCCTCGAGCATCACTTTCACGATTCTCAGGTACACACATAATTAAATTGGGGTTTTGTCCTGTTAATCTGGTCTTGTGTCAATTTTATTGTTAGTCCAGCCATAAGAATACGAGAAGATAGAAAGGGGATTTTTCCCTGCCCCGACAGACCTTAAGCAGCTTCCAGAACACAGCAGCCGCCCCTTAGACTCGGCGCTTCCACCTTGCTGTCTGGGAGGGCCCTGGGCAGGGGGCAGGCCTGAGCCACTGTTTGTCCGGGTGGAGCCTGTTGCAACACTGTTTACCCACCTTTGCAGGGACTCAAAGACCCTGGGTGTGCAGCCGCTTCAGAGTCAGCCCTGAGTGCCGAGGTTGCTGTGCTGCCTGCTCGGGCCCCCTGGCTGCGCCTCTGCACCCCACTGCCCAGTGCTCTGTTCCTGGAGGAAGCAAGAGTCGACCAAGTCCACTGACCCACCACTGGAAGCATGGTAGGGCTACATGGCACAGCCGGTCAGCCCAGCCGGGCTGTGTCCAGGCTGGGCCCATGAGCCAGGCATGGGAGGGCTAAATTAGGTTAAATCTGGGGCCAAGGAGAAGCCACAGGGACCCTCCTGAATTGCACTAGCGGCTCTGAGGAGGCATTGGGGTGTCAGGGAAGGCCTGGGAGAGGAGGCCTGGGTGGGATTCCAGTGTCTTCACTTGGCTGCTGTGTGTGCTTGGGGAAGTTCACCTCTCTGAGCCTATTTCAGCTTCTGAAAATGAGAGTGATATCAGCCACCTACTTCGTGGCATTATTGCAAGGTAAATGATATACAGAGAGGATCCCAGCACAGGGCCGGCACCCAGCGGGTGTCCCACAAATGGGAGTCTTTCCCCAGGGCTCCCTGCTGTGGCCTAAAGGCCAAGAAGGCTGCTGTGGAGACTCCCAGATGTACCCCTTCCCGGGAGGAGAAGGCTGGTGGGAAAGCTGAAGGCCAGTTCCGAGTCTTTCTGGGGCCACCAGGCCAGCTCGTGCAGCCCTTACCTGATCGTCCTCCTCAGCCAAGAACACCTTCTGCCAGGTTCCCCAGGCAGGAGCCCTGAGTCCTGCTCCTTCGGGCTCCACTCCTGACCCCAATTAGCCCCTTCCAAGAATGAGCAGAGTTGTCTGCCCGCTGACTGTGAGGGAACAAGGGAGATGGCAGCAGGAAGTCCACATGTGGCTGCGCAGCTTCAGAGCTGCCGCCGTGTTCAGTTCCCGCCAGCCCGAGAGGTGATCAGGGCAGAGAGGGCACCCAGGCTGAGTGCCGTGGCCCCAGCCTCCTTCTCTACAACAGCAGGACAGCAGGGTGGGGGCAGGGCCGCCCACAGTGATATATCTGTGGTGGCCCTGCTTTTTGCCTGTCACAGGTCCATGGGTACAAAGGGGTCAAGTTCCAAAACTGGGCCAAGACCTATGGCTGTTGCCCAGAGATGTACTATCAGCCCACATCCGTGGAGGAGATCAAAGAGGTGAGTGTCCATCTACGCACAGGGCCAGATGGCCCAGCCCTCGAACCTCCAGCTCCATCGGGCCCTAGAGACAAGGCAGTGGCCGAGAGAGGAGGCTGGGGGATGGACTGTGGGAGTTAAGACCCCTCTGCCCCGAGCTGCTGGCTAGGCTGGAGCTCCGTGCAGTTGGCCCCTGGCCCCTCTTCCCCAGCTCCAGCTCCACCCGGCTGCCACGTTACACCCACTGTGCCCGTCGATGGCTGCCAGACACTCCTTTCCAGCTCAGATCTCTCCTCGGAGCTACAGACTCACACATGACTTCTCTCTTGGGTGTCTCAAAGACGTCACAAACTTACACGCCCAAATCTACGTTCTCCACGTGTTTTCTTTTTGTTTGTTTTTGCCTTCAACCTGCTGTCTTCCTCCTCATGGATTCCCAGGCACCTGAATGAAGTACGTCCCCAGTCGTGTCTCTCTCTCAGCTCCTTGTTGTTGCCTTCATTGCATATGCATGACTTGCAATTACTTGGTTGACTTGAACATTCTCCTGCTTTGCCTCTCTTCCGCATAAGAATATGTGTTGTTTTCCATCTTGTCCTCAGCACCCAGCAGTGTGCCCGGCACACAGGAAGCACCTAATAAATATGTGTGGAGTGAATGAAGGAATAAATGAATGAATGAACAAGACCCAACCTCTGCCCTTAAAAGGCTTGCCCCTAAGACAGCATGCGTACAACTCACTCCAGAGGGTGCAGATGCTGTTCCACCAGCACTAGTAGAGTAGAGAAGAGGGAGAAAATCATCCTGAGTGTGTGTGCATGTGTGCGAGTGTGGGCACAAGTGTGTGTGTGCACGGGTGTGAGTGTGCGCGGGCGCTCAGAGAGGACAGAAGTAGGAACGACACAGTCACCACGAAGTGATCCTCTAACTCGGCACCACGTGCTTTGTATCTACTGTCTCATCAACCCTCACGACCCCCTGCGAGGTGGTGATTGTTATCCCCATTTTACAGATGAGCAAACTGAGGCTGAAGAGGCTTTGTAATTTTCCCGTATAATAAGCATCAGAGCCAGGATCCACACCAGGGATTGTCTGAGGTCAAAGCCCCCAGCTTCTCACGCAGGAAAAGCTTCATAAAGGAAAAGCGGTCCCTGAGCTGGGCCCTGGAGGATGAGTAAGAGTTCCACAGGGCGCTGTGAGCGAAGGGAAGGAGACAAGGCCTGGAGCCTCCTCAGACGCGGCTGCAGGGAGGCCGAGCAGGGTCGGGGGCGGGAGAGGAAGGCAGGGACGGCAGAGGGGCTTTGAGCAGCCCAGAGGGCCTGGAGCGCGGAGGCACGGGGCTTCGCCAGAGCCAAGGGAAGGGCGGAGGCCGCTCCCGGGCTGCGTCGGCCAGCACGGCTGTGAATCACTAACGGATGAGGCTGCGGAGGCCCGCGCTCCGTGGAGGGCAAGTAGGGTCAGTGAAAATAAAAACAGGTTGGGTGGTCAAGGGGGCTCGAGGAACGCGGTGTTAAATAGATTTCCTTACTGTGGAACCTGGCGCCTTAAGCCTGCCGCGCGAGCTGGGGGAGGGGAGGGGAGGCGGTGGAGACGGGTGCTGGCGCATCGCCGGATCTCACTGCTCGAGGAGCCCCTTGTGGCTAAACCGTGGGACTCAGATGGGAGGGCGTTTGAGCAGGTACATGAGGGCAAAAGGGATGGGTTCATTTCGGTGACATCATGCATTCGTTTATTTATCCATTCTGTGATCGCTGGAGACTGCCTGCTCGGGCTGAGCCTGGGGTAGACATGGGGGGAGCAAAGCCATATTAAATCACTGTCCCTGCCCGGAGGAGCCTGGGCCTTATTCTGAGGCCCTGGGGAGCGCCTGCAAGGTTTTGCGCTGGGGAAACAGGCGCAGATCTGCCTGTGGAAGCGCTCCTGCCACGGCGGGGGCAGCACGCGGGGACCCACTTCAGAAGGTTTCCTGTGTTCTCCATCCTGCTCACTTCCCGGCCCTTCGCTCTGGCTCTTTCCTGCAGTGGCCTGCACAGCAGCTTCCAGCCAGGCAGTGGCCCTGGAGGCCGGGGGGTGCAGAGCCTGGACGCCCAGCCCCGCAGGCCCTGCATGCCGGCTGGCTGCCTCACGGGGAAGGCCTGAGCCGGGGCTGACTCAGGCATCGCCTTGGCAGGTGCTGGCCCTGGCCAGGCAGCAGAACAAGCGGGTGAAGGTGGTGGGCGGCGGCCACTCGCCCTCGGACATCGCCTGCACCGATGGCTTCATGATCCACATGGGGAAGATGAACCGGGTCCTCCAGGTACGCGACCCCCTCGCCTCCCCACCTCTGCAGCCCCCAAGACGGCAGCCTCGGTCTCCACCCCAGACCCCAGGCGGAAACTCTCAGCCTTCCCCCTCAGGCCTGATGCCCTCCCTGCCCCAGTCCCAAAGCGACACCCCAAGTCCTGGCCCACCGGTGATCCCCCTCCCCAGAGCCCTCCCTGGGCTTGCTCAGGCCGCTTGTCTGGTCTGTGCGCCCCCTTGTGGCCACAGAAGAGATGTCCTCCCCCCAACCCCCCGCCGCCAGAGCTTCCTCTCCACTTCTGTAGAACAAGAACGGCAAGTCAGGTCCCCAAAGATGGACTCACAATGACAAATCCAGAAGGATTTACACTTAACTGGTTTTACAGATGGGGAAACTGAGGATCAGACAGGGCGAGTGACTTGCCTAAGGTCACATAGCTGATCAGCAGCAGAGCAGGGGACAGGCTCAGGAGTCTGACACCAGCCCTGTGCAGGGATACTGTCCACACAATTCAGCCAGCACTTGGGGAGTACCCCCAGGTGCCTGCCAGGAAGCCAGGGTACCAGACAGGTGTGCCACACGTGAGGCAGACTCCTATCCTCTCCTGCCGGGGCCAGCTCCCCTGAGCTGTAATTTTTGCCGGCTAACCTTCCCTCCACCAGCCGGCTAGCAGAGGTTCTGGGCTGCTCCCTACTCTTCCCTTATTTGCTCAGACTGACGGTCTCCCTCTCGTAGAAAATGTTCCGGTCAGGACATCAGTCATGGCAGGAATTAACTCTGACTGCTGATTAGTAAGCATCGGTCTCCAGCGGTTGATTTTGCCGGGCTCTGTGCTCAGGGTCCGGGGGCCGAGCTTGTGCTTTGCAGTCACGCAGATATGGATTCTCATCTCATTTCCACCACCCATGTTTGTGTGACCTTGGGCGAGTGACTTAAAGTCCCTGAACTCGTCTCCTTGCTGTGAAATGGAGAGACTGTTCCTGCCTCCCAGGGCTGCTGTGGCGGTCTCAACACACGGCACACTTCTCACCCCACAGATGCCAAATGGCTGTCCCCCCACCTCCCCCTTCCAGTTCTCGGTCTTTGCCTAAGTCCTCCCAGGGTCAGAGGATGAGAGGAGAATTTGAACTCCCTCTAGCAAAGTCGAGCCCCCGCAGGAGTAGGCCCTGCTTAGTTGGTGACTTTGCATGGGCTACAAGGAACCCCACCTTCCTTCCTGGTCCGGGTGGGGTGGGGTGGGGTGGGGGAAAGGAGGAGGCCTGAGTTCTAGTCCCAGCTCTGCCAGTGACCTTGGGCAAATCCTTCTCGTCCCTGCTCCTTATCTCCTTGCCCTGGAAAAAGAAGGGGTAACACAGAATATTCCCGAAGCTCCAGCACTCTAGGGCTCTGTCAGTATGCCCTTTGCTGCCTGCAGCAGGAGTGGCTGGAGCTGACCCCCGGCTGGAACAGACACGCTCGTGCTCACAGGGAGCCTGGCCACAGGACGAGGGCTGGGCGATGTCTAGCTTGTCCCAGCCTGTGCTGGTCTCTTGCAGGTGGACACAGAGAAGAAGCAGGTGACGGTGGAGGCCGGCATCCTCCTGGCCGACCTGCACCCACAGCTGGACAAGCACGGCCTGGCCCTATCCAAGTAAGAGCCCCCTCCTCCATTCCTGGGTGGGCCAGTGCTGCCACTACCCCTGCCCCGGCCTCAACCAGACACTCAAGGATCTGGCAGAAGCCAGAGAGGAGCGCTTCCCAGGGTGCACCTCGTTTTTCTGGACCTCTGTTCTTGCTCTATAGGGTACCCATTTCCCCATCTCCCATGGATTCAGGGGCTGTGTATGAGAATAGAAAGAAACAGGCCAGAGACGAGTTGAGCTTCAAACATCAGTCTTGTACAAGGGTGGGAAAACCATCGGAAAGTCTTTCTTACAGCTTGCGACCAACAACTTAGGGACTCAGACAGAGGGATATGCAAAATAAGCACTCAGAGGAACGGAAGAGCATGCTGACGGAGCTACAGGGCTTCCTGTGGCTCAGCCATGCAAACCTGGTGTCCGTGATTACTCAGGTTTAACATCAGAGGGTTTCCATTGAAATAAGAGTCAAATACAGGCAAAGTAATGAATTTCTAACTGTGGGATTTCAACCATTAAAACAGGTGACGGAGGTGTTTTGGACATTGGGGTAGCAATCTCTTCACAGCTGGAAATTGTACTCATGGAAGCCTGTAGTTGGTCTTCAAGTGTGGGTGGTCAGTTCACCCCAGCTTTCTTATCGTAGGTCCTAAGGTATCTCTACAACTTTTTATTCTGGAAACCATTCTGTTCCTGCCTCTCCAAGGGTCATTGCAACTCAGACATTTCTAGAGTGTTTACTACATGTAGGCCTTGTTCAGGCCCTGGAGAGGCAGAGATGACCAAAACCCAGAGCCCACTCACAAGGAGCTCCCAGCAGGTGACAAGCATAATGCAGGGCTGCAGGTTCAAGGTCAGAGGAGTATTCAGGCACTGTGGGGCTCCAAGGGGCCCAGGTTCAGCCCTGGCAGACAGGGGGATACGTGAGGGATGGGGATCAGGGCAGGCTTCCTGCAGGAGGGTTGAGTCCGCAAAGCTGAGTAGGTATAAACCAGGGAAAAGAGAGGAGAGAAGGGACTCAGGCAGAGGGGACAGCATGAGCCAAAGCCCAGGAGAGGGACAGCGTGTGGGCCTGCAGTGGGACAGAGCCCATGACCAATGATGACAGGAGGAGACGTGTTGTATTATTATGGGCATGAGGTTCTGGGCCCTGAAGCATCTCTGTGCCGTTTGTGATGTATCTCTGTCCTCCGCGGGGACCTCGTCCTCCTCAAGTGGCCACCTGCACGAGGCTCACCTGCCACTCAAAGGGAGTTGGGATGTCTCATCCTGTGTGTCCCGGGCCACCTGGGTCCACAGCCAAGGATGCTGTGGGGACCTCAGGAGTGGCTGTGGCTGGAGGGAAGACCAGAGCTGCGTCAGGCCACGCGCCACTGCTGGACTCACTCATTTCATCATCCTGCCAACCTGGGAGGAAGGAACAGAACCCCATTTACAGATGAAGAGGCCGAGGTCTGAGGCAAAGAGGCTTCCCAAAGTCACCGGCTGGGGCTCTGGAGGGCTCCACTGTGTAGCGGGCCACACAGGGCAGGACACAGGCGCCATTGTTCAGCAGTGAGATGGCAGTGTGGGGACAGCCCCAGCTCCAGAAGCAGACGGCCTGGGTGCAAACCCTGCTTCTGCCTCATTCTAGCTGTTAGCCTAGTTCCTGACCCATCTGGGCCGGGAGTTCTCATCTAGGAAATGGGTCTATAGAATAGGGGTGCTCAGAGGACTGGAAGAGTTGAAGATGCCCCATGTGGTAAGTGCTCAGCGAATGTTAGTTCTCATCCATTTTCCTGGCTCTGTCGATGCCTCCCGGTCTCCCCTCCGCTTGTTGTCTCCACCCTGTCGGGGGCCAGAGCCTGACCCTTGCTTGGAGGCCCGTCTCCCAGAGGGCCTTGCTTATATCCAGCTTCTTTCTTTCAACACAGTCCCGGCCTGTTTCCTCCTCGCTTCTTAGCCTTGGTGAACTCCACGGGGCAGACAAAATGCACTGTGGTTCGGTTAACAGACGTGTGCTGGGTCTTCAGGCTGCTCTCAGTTTTTCTCTCTGATATACGACACCCTGAGGAACATCGCCATGCGTTTGCCTTTCCACGTGCTGGAGTATTTCCCCAGGGCAGCATTTTCTGGTATTTTCAGAAGGGGTCATACCACCAAGAAACCCAGCTAATGGGGACAAAGAGACACCCAGGGGAGGGGAGGGGAGGGTTGGGCTGGGAGTGTCTCCACGAACTTCCATGCTGGTCCTGCTCTGTGGCCAGGGGGCCCATCTCTGTACAGGGAGCCAAGGTCGGCGGCTCCCATCCCCTGGCCCCCTGGGCCTGCGCTAAGTGCCAGCACCACCTCCTTAACACCAGGGCAGGGCTGTCACAGAGACAGCTCCGGAGAAGCCCATGTTTCAACTCGACCCTCTCTGGTTCCCCGCCCCTGATCTGGGTGCGTCTTTCCATCACTGCCCGGTGCGCCTCTGGGCTCCCGCTCCCCTGTGGGCATGTGTCCTCAGTGCACACAGACCCTCCTCTTAGTCATCCTAGGAACCCCAGGCTGAGGGAGGCCCTGACGAGCCCCCGAGGTTTCTGAGCAGGGGGCCACGTGGTGCCGTCTCCTCCTTCCCTCAGGCTCCGGGTACCCCACCTCCCACACCTTCCTGGGACTTGTGTGCGACTGGGACCAGGTGGCCCCCACTGGGACTCTGCAGGCCTCCATGGGCTGGGTCTGGAGGAGACTTCGTAGGAGCATTTGGCCTTTGGTTGGTGGAGAAGACAGTGCTGGCAGGTGGAAGGCGGAGGAAAGGGATGTTCTAGGCTGTAGAAACCCCAGAGGCGGGCAGGCAGGCCTGCCCTCAGAGCTGAACCTCAGAGCCAACAGGCCACTGAGACGGGGAAACTGAGGCACACAGAGGAGAAGGGTGGCCGAGTCAGACAAGCTGAGTCATGGGGAATTTGGGAGGAGAACCCAGGCAGGAGGTGAATCAACTATTCTGCTCTGAGGGGCCTCGCACCACAACCCCGGGAACCCATTGTCCCAGGGAGGCCTGATTGGTCCCTTGTGTCCCTCTGCCTCCCTCCTGCTGAGCCCAGCCTGGGAGCCGTGTCAGAAGTGACTGCAGCTGGCGTCATTGGGTCTGGAACGCACAACACGGGGATCAAGCACGGCATCCTGGCCACCCAGGTGAGTCCCCCGCTTCCCCAGCTCTGATGACCGCAGGGGACGGGGGAGGGCGGACGGACCTCCTCTTCACCACGGCTCCTCGGAAATCTGACCTCCACGGGCAGTGTCGGCTCAGTTGTGGGGCCTCAAACCCATCACAGGTCCTCCCTCTGATGGAGATTCGACAGGTGCCCTCCAGGATCATCATGTCCTTCTCTAAGCCTTCTCCGTCCCTGACAGACACACAGTCGTGACGAAGGAGCCCTAGTGCATGTTGATGTCAGGAGCTTCCTGGCCACCCTGTGGAAAAGGGCCAGCCGGGCAAGGGGTTCTATCCTCACTGAAAGGTCTGAGCCAGGAACCAGGTGGGGCCAGGAGCCTCTCCAGGTTAGCAAGGCAGTGAAGGGCCAGGACAGGAGCGCCAGCTGCCTGAGGCAGAGCCCAGAATATGTGGGCCTGGGATCTGCACCTCACCTTCATCAAAAAGCATTTCTCAAACTTCACTGGAGTCCAGTTTAGGGAGCTGGTTATGAGCACAGATTTTAGACTCAGACTGGGTTCAAAACCTGGCTCCAACGCACACTGGGTATGCGCATGTAGGTTACTTAACTCCTCTGGACACTCCTGTTTTCATCTGCAATATGGGGAGAATAACCCTCCCTCCAGGGGGAGTAAACAGATGGCATATGTTAAATGCGTGGCTGACCTAATGACAGTCGGTGATGCCTGGTCAGGAGCCGCCCTTTGGACAAACTCTTTCAACCTTCAGTATTAGGAGGGGCTTCCCAGTGAGCCAGGCTGTGCCACCGTGGAGCCAGCTGCTGGGGCGGGCACGCTCCATCAGGGGTGAGAGCCTGCAGCTGGTTTGGCACTCCACACCTGCCGTGTGTTTCCCTCTGTAGGACCTCATCTGCACGGTGGGCCGTGTGGCCTCTGGCCACTGGGGCGTCACCACTAAGCACTGGGGCTTCGCCTTTGCATCCTGGCTCCACCACTATTGTCTGTGTGACCCGGGGCAAGCCTCTGCCTCTGGCTACCTCAGTTTGCTCCCCTGCCGTAGTGTATAAGAGTGTACACAGTCAGTGCTCAATAAATGTTTGCAATGGGCTTTGTGAGTAAGACCAGGCGCTTTCCAGAGCCCACATTCTGTGCTGTCAAAGGAATTTCAGCATTGCTGGGGGTAGGACCTTACTGACCGCTTAAGTGTCCCCCAGTCAGCTCCCCAGGGGTGGGACTCTCCCCTGCGCAGCAGTCTGCGCAAGACAGCCCCCCCGGGCAGGTACTGTCTGCCTGTGACTTCTGGGAGCCGGCCCACGTGCTCCAGTCTCAGAGCAGTGCTGAGATGGAGAGAAAACAGCAAAAGCAATTTTTAAGGGGTCCACTCTGTTTTGTGTTTGTTTTCTCAAATTCCAGGAGAGGAAACCTAATTCACGGTCCCTATTCCTGAAAACCTCACTGTGCTCTCTCACCAGCACCGCACACACACTGGCCGCTCCTGTCCTGCCGCCTCCCTCTCCTACCGCAAAAGCCTCAGAGCATCACCAGGCAGGAGAGGGGCCTCCTGAGGGGGTGGAGTGAGTGGGGTAGGGGGAGGACCGAGGCACCCGCCCGCTCCCGTAGGTGAGAGCTGTATAGCCAAGCAGGAGAGGTTTCATGGGACCTGATTCCCAGGTAGTGGGAGCCCTCCGGGGAGACGTCATTACCCCCTCAAAGCTGGATTCACTACCCAAGGAAGCCCAGTGGTAAGTGGGGGGAAGGACAACACAGTAGCCACCCTGTTACGATTCGGCCGCAGTCCTAGTCTACTACCCAGGGCTGAGGTCAAGCTGGTTGCCTCAGTTTCCGCAAAATGATCAGCATACTATGGGAAATAGTTCTGAGTAGCCACAAATCAAAATGCACATGAGATTTACTGGCCCCTTCTCTTAGGATGTCCAGCTGAGCAAGACAGGCCCCTGGAAAGTGGTAGGAGAACCCCGCTGTTTTATTTGACCCGTTATACAATGGCGGGGAGTGAGGGAGGGGATGGACATCCTTAAGATCTGTGTACACCAGGCACTCAGCTGATGCTTTGCATAGTCTCTCTCAGATAATCATTATCCTCATTTTACAGACCAGGAAACAGAGAGGTTAAATAACATGCCCAAGGTCACACAGCTAGTGAATCCATGCCCACCGTTTTTCGCTGCTGGATCCTGCTGATGTGTTTCACCGGCCAGCTCTCATTCACGGTTCTGGCTCTTAGACAAAATCTGGTTTTCATAAAAATCATTCTGACGCCCTCACTCCCACAGAGGGCCATCGCGCCCCATTTCTGCCAATTTCCCCTCTCTGGTCTTGGTCACCGTTCATCAGAATTAGTTCAGCTTTATCTGTTCTCTCACCCTGAGCACCCAGCACCAACTACACATGTCAAAAGCAATTTCCATCCAGATTAGCAGATGGTGGAGTGTGGAGAAGTACTTAAGCAGGCAATGAAAGAGGATTCCTCTGGAAATGGGGCCAAGGGGAAGATACTGGGGTTCATCGTCTGTCTCCAACTGGGTGGCCCACTCTGTAGAAACCCAGAGGTTGCTGGTTGGGTGTAGCCAAGTAGGAGAATCCAGTTCCTGCAGTGAGTGGGTCCCCTAACGAGAGGAAGGACTCAGCTTGGCTGAGATGGTGCCCAGGAAGCAACAGGCAGACAGAGGCAGCAGGGGACCCTGGCCCCCAGGCTGCGCGTTGGGACAGCAGGACCCGGATGCATGCACATCCTCCCTTTGCCTCACGAGGCAGCACACCCAGGACCTCACGGCTCCCTGGAGCCGGCTCTCATCTTAGATGTCCTCCAGGCACAGAGGCTTGCTGCATCCCAACAGTGAAGCCCACAGAATGAGCAAGCAGTGGGGGGACAAGCCACTGGGGTCCCATGGAGCCTCATGTGATGGATGGTCCCCTCCTTGCTGAGGGCTGATGCCGCCCAGACATAGCCTTCCTTTCCCTGTTTCCCTTTCCTGCATCCCCCAAGACTGAGACCCCTCAGGATGTGACTGTACACCCAGCCGGGAAAGTCCCCTGTGGCCAGATGACAGTGATCTTCTGGGAATAGGTGATACCTGGCCTCACTTCCAAGGATGAACAGGGAAGTGAGGGCTTCAGCCAAAGTCTGTGGGAAATGCCTGCAGGGATTCTGAAGTGTGGCTCTTCTCCCACTGCCAGGTGGTGGCGCTGACCCTGCTGACGGCCGACGGGACCATTCTTGAGTGCTCCGAGTCAAGCAACGCAGAGGTGTTCCAGGCGGCGCGGGTGCACCTGGGCTGCCTTGGAGTCATCCTCACCATCACCCTGCAGTGTGTGCCCCAGTTCCACTTGCAGGAGACCTCCTTCCCCTCAACCCTGAAAGAGGTACTGGTCTCTTGCTCGCCACTGCTGAACCTTAGAAAACAAATAGAGGACATGGAGAAGTGGGCCATGCTCCACTGACAGCCCCCTGTGGCTCTGCAGGCCCCCAGAATGGGGGAGTGGGCTGACCTTCCTGGCCTTTCCCTGGCCAGAACCCTTTCTGAGCAGGTCAGTGAAGCTCAGAGAAACTGCAGGAGGGTGGCAGAGGTAAGGGCAAGAAAAGAGGTTGGGTAGAGAGTTGTCCCAGGAGACACGGTGCCAGCAGGAGCTGACTGCTCCTTGGCATTGACTCTCAGCTGCATCAAGCCACAGGATATGCCCAGATGGCCTTTATAGTGATTTCTTCACAGCAAAGTGGCTGGACTAACTTTCAGTCTTGCTAGATGCCTAAGGTAGGTCACCTGGAAAGAATTTGGATCTGGATGAGAGGCAGAAAGGATGGCTTCTGACTGATAGCAGTGTTTTTTTAATAAATGAAAAACCATGTTGATTAGCTGGACGGATGGATGGATGGATGGATGGATAGATGGATGGTTGGATGGATGGATGACATGCAGCAGACCTGAAACACTTGACAGACTTGGATCTATCTCTGATAATCCCTAAGCTATAGGACTCAAATCTATGGTTCTAAGTTCCTTGGAGTTTGAGTTCCTCTGTAGTCGCCTTGTCGTTCAATACAAGTAGACCCCCTGCACAGATGGAGTTGGCAGTGATTGGAGCACTACTGACCCAACATGGTTAAGGTAGGATTTGGGATCAAATTGATCTGGCCTTGAATGCTGGTGCTGCTGTATCCAAGCAGTGACTTTGAGCCAGTCGTTTAACCTTGCTAAGCCTTAATTTCCCATTTAGAAGAGAGTTAATAATGTCTATCTTAAAGTGTTGAATCTGAGGATTAAATCAGATAACACACATAAAGCATCTAGTTCAGTATTAAAACATGCGCTTCATGGCACCTAGTCAGTGACAAATGGAAAGTGTTGTTATCTAGAACTTGGTCTAAAGTCCTTACCATTGGAATTGCTAATGCATTAAACCTCAAGGCAAAGGCCTTGAATCCAGAAGGCCCCCTCCTCAGAGGCATGGTGTTTGGTGGACGTTTATCCCCAGAACTTCCAGTTGGTGACTGAGAAAGTGATTCCACAGCTCTGGAGCATGCAGCATTGACCCCTAGAGTACCAAGGCTGAGCCTGCATGGGCCAATATTGGCAAATGAGCTGCCTGATGCCTCGGCCCAAGAAAGTAGGACAAGTTCAAGACAAGGACATTTTATGGAATTGCTTGGCAGTGACAAGGTGTGGCTAAGCCAGGGAGCCCCATGAGGGTAGGGCCAGTCCACATGACTTCCTGAAGCCGTCCCAGACTCTGAGCTCTTTGGGGCCACCTTGGGACTGCCTCAACCAGCCACAATCTCCCAGGCCAGTACTAAGGGGCTGACCTAGGCCCCTTGGTTTGCTTCAAGAAGGGTTCAAAAGCATTCTACCTTCTGCCCAGTGTCAGGCATGCCAATGGAGGCTGCTGTGGAGGGCCATGGAACAATGTTCTGAGCTCCCACTGAAAAGATTGAAAAGAGGTTTTCCCTCAGCCCTCATGCCTCTAAGGTGTCCTTGGCCTTTCCCTTCTCTACTTGAAGGAGTGACCACTCCATCCTGGTCATGCAGCAGGATGTGGCAGGGACCCCCACTGAGGGACAGGCCATGCATCCTTCTCAGCTTTGTGCTGGGCAGCCCAGGCGCCCCTTTCTTCTCTTCAGCAGACCCTGGGACGGCCTACTTCTCTCCCTGCTGGCAGATGCCACCATCCATCCTCTCTGCCTCTCAGGGTTCTCCTGCCCCTGGACTGGCTGCAGAGCAGATAGCAGACACTCCAGCTCGCCTCATCTCTGCGGCCTCTGAGGCAAGCACTCCAGCTTCTCAGCTCAAGGACAGGGAATGACGGAAATAGCGTGCAGGGGAAGGTTACAAAGAAAGACTGTCTTGGTCCCCACTCTGAGGTTAAGCAAACAGGAGACATGGCTAATGAAGGCACCATGGTCTTGGAGCTGGGCCTCCAAGACTAGAAGACTAGCCCGCCTGCCCTGGGACTTGAAACTGAAGACAGCATCCAGTGCAGATGGCCTGGCCAGGAGCTAAAGAAATAGTTTCTAACAATGGCCAGATCCAAAGAGGGCCTGGCAGAGAGGTCTGTGATCAGAGTAGCACTGTGGGGAAAGCTTTGGAAGAGGATGAGGTAGAGTGGGCATACAGCACCAAGCCCACTTTCTTAGAGCACAAGTGTAAGAGAGATTCTGGATGAGGAGGCAATAGGACTTAACAATTGAATGTGGGATGGAGTAGGAGGAAGGAGTCAGGAATGGGGGAGCCACCTCCGAGGCAGAGAATCTAGGAGGCACAACAGGTGTGGGGAGCAAGACAGTTAGTTTGGTTTGGGAACTTCAGTTTGAGGTGTCAGGGGGCAGCTGGTTTGCAGGTCGGAAACTCAGATGAAGGTGGGGGCTGGAAATACAGATTGAGGGGTTGTATTAGTCAGCCAGGGCTGCAGTAACAAATACCACCGACTGGGGGCTTCAACGACAGAAATTTATTTCTCACAGTTCTGGAGGCTGGAAGTCTGGGATCAAGGTGTCAGTAGGGTTGGTTCCTTCTGGGGTCTCTCTCCTTGGCTTGTAGATGGCCGCCTTCTTGCTGTGTCCTCATGTGATCTTGCATCTGTGCATATCTGTCCTTATCTCCCTTTCTTATAAGAACACCAGTCATACTGGATTAGGGCCCACCCCAATGATCTCAATTTACCTTAATTACCTCTTTAAAGGCCTTTTCTCCAAATTTACGGTCACATTCTGAGAGACAGAGAGTTAGGACTTCAATATTTGAATTTGGGATGGACACAATTCGGCTTAAGCAGGGGTCATCAGCCCCCCCAGGGGACTGGTCATGAGAGTAGATGAGATCACCCAGGGAGAGTGGGTTTGGGTGAGAAGAGAAGGGAGCCTTCGTGCTCAGACAGGAGCATCCTGTGGACGAGAGGATGAAAAGGGTGTCAAAAAGGAGACCGAAGGGGACCGAGAAAGGAACAAAGCCAGTGAGGAGAGGGTGGGGCTGCAGAGGCAGTGGGTGCTGGGTGTGCAGGACAAAGTGGTCAACAGAGTCCAAGACCGTGGGGAATCAAGGGTCAACACCCACATGTGGTCATCAGGAGACCACTGCTGACCTCAGTGAGAAAGTTTTCATTGGAGCGTTGGGCAGGTTACGGGGTGGATGAGCAGTGCAGGTGAGGAAGGAGATGGGCCCCAGAGACTGCTTTCAACCAAAAAGGGGCTGTAACGTGCTTAATTGTTGAATCTATTTGCCTGCCTCTCACTTAGGTTAGAACTTGCTCATTTTTAAGCTGAATACTTTGACTCAAAGATAAAGAGATTGCTTCCTTTAGCCAGTAGGATTGGTCCCCAGGCTCCTACTAGGGTATCAGAGCTGAGTGGATGGACAGTCTCCTGACACCTGGTGCATCCTCTTTCTGCTCCTCCTTTGACCTGACTGAGATTGGCTAAGATCGATTACAGCCCAGTCCTGGTTCTAGTAGAGCTTAATCTCAAGCTGTCGCCTCTTGTGTGCGCGTGTGCACGCGTGCGTGCACACACACACACACATCCTGACTGGCCTCTCTGTCTGTCCAGATCTCAAGGGTTTTTTGCCTCCAGCTCACCTCAACCTGGAAGCTTCTAAGTTGGACACAACATCCTTGAAAACTTTAAGTGACTCTTGGGCAATGGGCCACATTCTTCTCAAAGCTTCCACCTTCTTTGACTTTGAAAGGCCGTGATGACACATGAGAAATAGCAATTGCAATTTCCTCCCCTAAAAGACAATATAGACATGCACACGTGTGCATGCACACACACACAACTGCACAGCAATAAACACTCAACAAGGTGTAATGAAAGGGCTCTGGGGAGGGAGGCAGGGCCCTCCTGTCTGGCTGTGCTGCTCACTCTGTGTGACCTTGAGCAAGTCACTCAAACTTTCTGGGCCTCGCTTTCTTTGTCTTTTAAAAGTGGGGTTGGATTAGATGAGCCCTCAGGTCTTCCTCAGCTCTCACATTCTGTAAGCCAGTGCAGCACTTGGATGCAAAACTGTGCCCCCCATCTCCTCAACCCCCTCCCCTGCCACCGTCCCCGAGACAGAGGGTCATCTCTTGCATTAATTTCTCTCCTTTGGAGCATCGGGGAAGTTCTTGGGCCTTTTCCGCAAAGAGGGGCATGAACCCTGTGGAAACGCCCCCACGTTCCCATGCAGACCCCAGCTTCTCCCATGAGGGCTCCTGCAGTGGGATTCTGCTCCTCCCCCTTGTCTGTGAGTCAGTCCATCCTCCACAGATTCTCTCCCTTCCTCCTGAAGCGGCTGCTGCTGTTCCACCAGGGCCGCAGACCCAGCGTTGGTCTCTGAGAGGCCCATCATCAGCTTCCAGCAAACCCCGCTGACAGCCTTCCCCAGCTCCAGTCGCAGGCCGTAAACAAGGGCTGCCACAGAGGGTGGGTGGCACTTTCAGCCCTGTGATTTACTCCAGGGGTGTGTGCAATAAATGGTCCCATATTTAATTTGCTTTTGCTCTCTCCACTCAGAGCAGCCTTTAAAGGGCACCTTCGAGGGGCTGCCAATGCTTGGGAGGAAAAGCTAGGATGGAGCTGGAAAGCCACAACATGGCCTGGCTCCCCTCGAAGAAACCAGCCTGCGGCAGAGGAGGCTGGATCAGAAAATCATCATTATAACCCTTTCTCCTCACTCTTGCTCAGCCTGGGATGTTTTCCCCCTAATCTAAAAGGAACAACAATTGGACCTAAGTTCCAGGAGGCGTGGAGGTCCCCGGGAAGCAATAGGAAGACAGCACAGCTTGCTCTTCATGCTTTGATATCTGCTCCTGGTTTCTTGCTGTTTAGGTTCCTAGGAAACTGTCCCATCTCCACTAGGGCTGTGAGCCATGTCCTGAGTGTCTGCCTGTATGGGGGGCTGCTCGGGGATGCATGCAGCCCCCAGCATCGTGTCTTCTCCAGGCATGGGCCTGCGCCCTGATGGCCAGGCCCCCAGGTTGGCTGGTCCTGTGCTGCAGGAGGAGCCTGTGAGGAGTGGGGGACAGGAAGCCAGGACAATGGGGTGTGATGGTTGCTTGCATGTGAAGTTACGCTTGAAGAGTCAGCTTCTTGGCCATTTTCCCTTCCATTACATTTCTCCCCTTCCTTTCCTACTCCCTTCCTTCCACCAGCACACATTTATAGAACACCCACTGGGGGTCTTCCAGCCCTGGCTTTTGGAGGAGCCCCAGGAGACCCATCGAGGGGCACGGGGTGGAGGCTGGAGTGCTTCTCCAGGTCAGAGTGCCAGGTTTGAAGCCCCTCTGTGACTCTGGATAGGGCCCCCACCTCTCTGCGCTTGGACTGCTCACCTGTGTGGTGGAGAGATGAGCACAACCGTCCCCATGGGACTGTTGGCGGGACTCGAGGAGACGCAGCCCAGGAGTCCTCTGCCCTTGCTTCCCTTTGTAGCCTCAGAGAGAGGAAGCCTCGAGGCCTCCTCTCTCAGACTCCACTCAAAGGGAACACTACCCACTGACACCTGCTCTGTGGGAAGCTTCTAGAATCTGAGTCAATACTGCACTTTCCAGGCGAGAGGTGCTGGTCGCCCTGATTTGCTCATGAGCATTGTCACCACCTCTTCACGTTTTCTTCCCTCTTTCTGCCCTGTGATCGGTTTCTGGAGGGCAAGGGTCTTCTCTGAGGCCTCTTTTCTCCTTAGGATGCACAAAATACATAGCAGTGTTCAGTACAAGGTAACTCAAGGTTAGTTGATCAAGAATTTATTAAAAATCTGTCCTTAGGCCAGCCCCAATGGCCTAGTGGTTAAAGTTCAGTGCACTGTGCGTGGGCGGCCTGGGTACCGTTCCCGAGTGCGGAACCACACCACTCATCTGTTAGTGGCCATGCTACACTGGTGGCTCACATACAAAAAAAGAAAAAAAAAAAAGAGGAAGATTTGCAACAGATGTTAGCTCAGGGCAAATCTTCCTCTGGAAAAAAAAATCCATCCTTTTCTGGGATTTTCCCCATGTCCCGCCACCCATGCTCTGTGTGGTCTGTCTCAGATGCGGTTCTGTGCTTCCCAGTAGTGACTCTCTTAAATATATCTCAACACGATTTCTGAATGCTGCTCAAAGCCATATGAGGGGAAAGGGCCGTGCCCAGTCCCCTGGGAGAGTGGGAATCAGTGCTTCAGGGCGCAGGGAGGTGGGGCGAGGAAAGACGGCTAGTTCAGTTTCAGGAAGGTGGTGCCGAGAACGGGGCAGGCTTCATGGCTTTTCATGACCACGTCTCAGCATTTCCGACTCGTGCAGTCTGGTCCGTGTGGAATTGCAGCCAGTTAGGGATGTGAGGATTTTAGAAATCATTGTCGACCTTTGGTCCTTTATGCCACCCAAACCATAATGAGACGTGACAAGTGCTGGCTGCCAGTGTCCCCCCTCCCCCATGCCCCAGGAAGGATTGGTCTGGGTGACACAGCAGCCTTGTCAGCAGCATCCAGATGCCACCACTCTCTTGGATGGCCATCCGCTGATGACTGGGTGACCCCTAGCTGTGGGACGCAGAGCCCTCTGCTTCTGCTCACAAGCCTGGTAACCAGTTCCCAAAAAGCCAAATCAGTAGTGCCACAACTCTAAATGAGGGGGACAGAACCCACTAGAACCCTTCATGCCAATAACATGCCAAGGAGGAAATTCGTCGGGGGCCCAAACTCCTTTGACAGTGTTCCCAGGAAACACAAGTCAGATCAAGGAAATCCGTGATCCCGGGGGGCATCTTCCTCCACACAGGATTGTTTGTGGGCCCCGAAGGGGGAGCATTTAATTCAAAACGGGATGGGGCCTGGGGTAATTCCGTCATTCGGGGACCACTTGCTGCTGAGTTCCGGGGCACGGAGGGTACAGAGCTGCGTCATGCATGGTTCTTGCCTCCTGAAGCTTATAACTGAGTGTAAGGAATAAGCTATGCTGTGGTCCTCTAATGCACGGAGGAAAAGAAGTGACAGGTGCAGGGAGAGAGGCACAAAATGGGATGTGGGGGGGACTCTCACCCCTCCATCCTAGGTGGAAAGGTGGATATGTGTCTCAGGCACCCAAGCTGAGAAAAGGGCGCCATCACATTTACTGCTAGGCCTCTGGGCAGTATGGTGGGATGGCCCAGGATGCTAAGACATGAGGAAATGGGGGTTTTTCTGCTTTCTAGTGTCCCAGCCACATCCTCCAGGCCAAGCCACCAGGCTGTGTTCCCTGCTTTCCCAGGAGAAAATCAGCTCCCCGCAGAGGTTTCTACATGAGAGCTCTGGCCCCATGTGTCCATCACCCTGCCAGGGTGGAAGTGACAGTGACAGGGGGTCCTCGGGTTTCTTCCTGAACTTTTCCCAGGCCTATGGCACAGCAAGAAAGGCCCCGCTCTGCAAATAAGGCATCACAGAGTCCTCCAGCATTTACTGTGTGCGAGGCCCTGTGCCAGCGGCTCTGGGGCAGGGGTCTGGGAAACCACGGCCCTCAGGCAAAACCTGGCTCGCTGCCTGTGTTTGTAAGTAAAGTTTTATTGGCACGCAGCTGTGCTCATCGTTGACATATTGCCTAAAGCTGCTTTCACACTAGCATGGCAGAATTAAGTAGTTGCGGCAGAGACTATATGGCGCCCAAAGCCTAAAATTTTTACTATCCGGCCCTTTATAGAAAAATTTTGCTGATCTCTGCTCTAGGGAGAAAACCAATGATGAGTGAAATAGTCTTTGATCTATAAAAGACTATTGATGAATTTCAAAGACATATATGCTTTATTGCAATAACTGCAATATAATTCTGGGTTGGATGCAGTGTAAGTGGAAGACACTTAGAATGGGCAATGGCTTTATGGGAGCACTTAAATTTCAGCACATCTCAGTTTAGATCGGTCACTTCTGAGGTGCTCCATGGCCACTTGTGGTGGTGGCTACTGTGTGGTGTGTGGCTCTGTAAGGAGGCCTCTGAATGCTGAACTGAGATGTTTGGGCTTTATTCTGTAGAAAACAGAGAGCTGCTGGGGATTTTTGAGCTGTGTTTTGGGATGCTTCCCTGTGGATGCTGTCTGGAGAGATGAAAAATTGGGCAAATTATGAGGCTAGTGCAAGAGCACAGGTGAGAGCTAAGAGAGGCCTGCACTAAGTCACAGCGGCAGGAGTGGACTGGAAGAGAAGACTGAAGGGACATTTGCAGAAATACAGAGTGACCAACAGATTGGGGCGGCGTGGGGCGGGGGAGGTTTAGGATGACAGCCAGAAGGCACTTGAAGGCAACAATTGTCCGCCCATTCCTTATAACCCGCCGGCCATGTCAGGCATCAGTTACTAAGTCAGGGGAGCTCCTTGACGGTTGTGACAAGGATCCAGAATTCTAAAATTCCACAGCTCCCAGACACTCCAAACCTAAGTTCGAGATGGGCTCATCTCTGTGGTTCATCTTGGCTTCATCTTCCTTCTTGGTCGGATGTGGAAATAGTCATCCTTCCTCAATCTCACCAAGCTCTTTGCACATTGTATGATCCACAGTTGGATCCAACCATTTGTCTATGCAGGGTACCAAATTCCCCGCAGTGTATTTGATCAATAAGCTTTTTTTTTCTGGCACTACAGTCCTCTCTCGCTCACATGTTGAGTTGGCAGCTTACAAAGTTCTTTCACATCCATGATCTCCTTGCTCCTCACAAAAGCCCTGAAAGGAAGGAAAGAAGGAAAGATGTTACTGTCTTCACTCTGCAGACGAAGAGATGTACCCAGAGGCCTCAGATGGCCTTCTGAGAGTCGCAGCTAGGAACTTTGAGGGGCGTAGGACTGGTGCCCTAGCGTGTGCCAGCAGTGCTCAAATTCAGGAGCTTCTCATAGATTATCTCATTCCATCCGCACAAGTGCCCACGTGTTATTGATGAGAAGACCGAGGCTCAGGGTACACGGCTCCTCCAAGGCTGTGCAGCTGGTGAGCTTCAGGACCAAGACTTGAATCCAGAGCCTACTCTAAGACCGGTGCTCCTCCCCAACCTCCCAGCTGCCTGTCAAACCCAAAATCTGTCTTGCTTTGGCTCAGAATCTGTCCTGTGTCAGCTTGGTGGGTGTCAGGGAGATACGGTTTGCTCTCTGATGTTAAATCCGGGCGTGCAGTAATGAGCCGTGTTCCAGTGGGCTCTCCTGTTCATTTTATCGAGGACCTACGATGTGTTAGGCATTATGGGGATAAGAGATGATGGAGATGATGACGCTGATGACGACGACAATATAAGGGTAATAGTAGTAGCAGTAGAAGCTTACTCTACAGTGCTTACCATGTTCCTGACACCATTTTAAGCACTCTCTAGCCATTAGTGCATTTAATCTTCATAACAGTCCTGACATGAGTACTGTTATTAGTCCCATTTTACAGAGGAGAAGCCTGAGGCACGGAGATGTTGGGTCACTTGCCCAAACTCATATAGCTAGTAATTGCTCAAGCCAGGACACGTAAGAAATCGTTTCTATCCTCTCAGCTATTCGGGGAAGTCAGCATGTAAGTGGACCATTTTAATGCCCAGCATATTATAAGACACATTCCGTGCCATTTGGCCCTGTTAGGACAATGTTGAGTATTTTCTTTCAATGGCGGGAAACTGAGGCATGCCTGGGCCCTGACTTCCAGCTCTCCCTACCACCATCCTGAGACCAACACAGCCTTCCTTTTTCCTTCTGTCGAGGTCAGGTTCTTGACAACCTGGACAGCCATCTGAAGAAATCCGAATACTTTCGCTTCCTCTGGTTCCCGCATAGTGAGAATGTCAGCATCATCTACCAGGACCACACCAACAAGGTAGCCACGGGCGTCATCCCCCTCCTCATACGCACGCAGCCTGCAGTCCCCACACCCTTCCAGCTCCCAGGGCAGCTGACATTTGTTTTCATCCTGATGGTCAGTGAGATGTGAGAGGGAAAGCAAGGGTGAGCATGCGTGAGCATGAGGCGAGAAGAGAAAAGGCCAGAGGGTGGAAGGAAAAGGAAAGTGGGCCCAGTGTGGGTCCAGTGTGTCCGCAGGTAGGGACGTGTAGGGGGAGGTCAAGAGACGGCCTAGATGTGGGGGGAGCAGAGGACAAAGTGTGAGCAGGACAGGACAGGGTAAGGCGGAGTCCTAGGCAGGTGGGCTGGACCTCGGAAACCATCTAATACAGCCCACCTTCCCTCCGACACCCCTGTCTTTCCCACCCCCGACTGTGTGGGTGAAGGAACCTTTCGTCTCTCCCCCACGTCCTTAGCAAACAGGCTGCTTCTCAGCAGAAGAGAACAAAGCCACCGCTTAGGGTACACGTTGATGGGCCAAGTCAGGCAAAGGCCGGGACACCACTGTGTGTGGGGCTGGTGTGGGGTTCACAAAGGGTGATTGCTGGACACCTGCTCACGGGCTCTGAAGAGGAGAGACAAGTGCACATCTTTATCTTGTGCAAAATAAATACATACATACATAACATGAAATGAAAGGAGGTGGGAATTGGCTGTACCACCAAGAAGTGAAGCTTTCAACTGTCCTGGCAGGTGGGTCACCCCTCCGCCACCCACATGTGCATGCGCCACACACACATACGCACAGCCACTCCTGGGACACACTTCCCTCTAAGGGGACGCTATGATGCATAGGTCAGAAGGCATCTCAGCTCTGGCCCTGCACTGATCACAGATTCTGTTTCCCAGCCCCCCTCCTCTTCAGCCAGCTGGTTTTGGGACTATGCCATCGGATTCTATTTACTGGAGTTCCTGCTCTGGATCAGGTAGGAGCGCAGAGGCGCCCTTTCCCAGCTTGTGCCTGTGCTGTTGAGGATGTGGTCCAGCAGCAGGAGGACACCCTCCCTTCGTGCATGCAGACTGGGTCTGTCTCCGGGGTCTAAAGCAGTGGTTTTCAACTCTGCCTGCACATGCAAATCACCTGGGGGAACTTTTAAAAAAATACCCAGGCCCCGCTCTCTGGCCCACAGGTGATGTGAATCTTTTCATATTGTCCTGTTTTCTACCTCCTTCCCAGCCTAAAATCTGCTCATGTTCAGGCCCCATGTCTGCCCCTGGACACGTAACTATGAGTGTTGAGGAGGATTTTACGGAGCCTCAAGTGGTGGCTTTGTGTCCAGACAAGACAGGAAATGGCATCATATAAAACTTTTTGAAATATTTCACACATACAAAATAATATGGGCAACATATATTTAAAGTATAAAGAATAATATAATAAGCACCCATGTCCTCACCACCAGCTTAAGAAATGAAACAACGCAGTGCCACTGGAGTCCTCTTTGTGGCTCTCTCAGATCACAGCGCCTCAAGAGGAAACCATCGCCCTGAATTCATGCTTATCTTTCTCTTCTTTTTATTTACACTGCAGTTTTTTGAATCCTAAAATAATAAATTTTTTTTTTAAAGATTGGCACCTGAGCTAACAACTGTTGCCAATCTTCTTTTTTTTTTCCTGCTTTTTTCTCCCCAAATCCCCCCAGTACATAGTTGTATATATTTTTTTTCTTAGTTGTGGATCTTTCTAGTTGGGGCATGCGGGACGCCGCCTCAACATGGCCTAATGAGCGGAGCCATGTCCGCGCCCAGGATGCGAACCCTGGGCCGCAGAAGCAGAGTGCGTGAACGTAACCACTCGGCCACCGGGCCGGCCCCTAAAATAATAAATTCTGTGGCTTAGCTTTGTTAGCAATATTTATCCATGGTGATATGGATAGCTCTAATTATTCATTATTCACTGCATGCGTTTCCCACCCTGCATTTGTCCATACTCTTATTGATGGCTAGTTGGGTTCTTTCTAGGATTTTTTCTGCCATTACAGTGTTGCTGTGAGCATTCTCCAACACTGCTCCTGATGCTTTTTTCTGTCTTGAGGATACACTCACGAGTGGAATGCTTGGACCATCAAGTATGAGCACCTTTAGCTTTATCAGATCAAATTGTTCTCCGAAGTAGTTATACCAAGTTCCTCCCCAGGCACTGTAAGAGTCTCTGTGCTCTGCAGCTGGCCAAAATCGGAATTGTCAGGCTTTTAAATTTTTGCGTGATATGTACTAAATGGTATCTCATTGTGGTTTTTAGTCCTTGTTTCCCAGATTATTAATAAGGTTACACAGCTTTTCAATATATTGATCCTTCAGATTTCTCTTCTGTGAAGTGCCTATTGACATATTCTGCCCTTTTTAAAAATCAGGCAGTTTTTTTGTTTTTTTCTGTTTTGTAGGGTTTTATTTACCTATATTTTGAGCACTAGCCCTCTGTTGGTTATATGTATTGCAACATCTTCTCCCTGTCTGTGTCTTGTCTTTCACTTGTATGGTGTTTTTTGGTGTGTAGATGTATTTAATGTTCATAGAGTAAAATTTAGCCATCTATTCTTTTATCTTTGGGACTTTTGTGCTTTGTTAAGAAACCCTTCCCTTTCAAAGGTCGTAAGAGCCCATCAGAGGTGGCACTGATGACAGCACCTGGGGAACTGGCTAGTGTTCCTGTCAGTTCTGGACGGGGCTAAGACCTTTGGCACTTGAGGTCTGAATCCAGGCATCCAGGAAGAGTTGGCCCCTTTCCTTCAGGGTGTCATCCCCTCCTGAGGGTTGGGGAGCTGGAGATGGCTTCAGATGGGCCCCACGTTTAGGGGCAGACACCAAGCTGTGAAGAGGACTAACTGCCTAGAAGGCGTTAGGAAGTGAAGCACAAGACGACTTCTTGGATCTGGGCAGGGAAGGGACAAGCTGCGTGCGTGAGCTCAGCCTGCGGCCGTCACTCTATCAGATTATGGATTGAGGGTGAGAGTGGAAAATGCCCGGTCAGGCTTTCTCTCCAGCTTCCATCACAGCAGCTCGGCAGCTTTATGTGCCTGTGTCTGTGGAGTCGGAGCCCAGCGAGCATTCAAATAAATTGGGCTATAAATCACAGCTGCCGCATCCCGGCAGGGCCGGATGCTCTGAGAGAGCTCCGCAGCCTCTGAGCTGAGCCCACATTGCTCCAGCCTAGTAGCTTCTGGAAATTGTGTCCAGCCAGCCTCCCTCCTGCAGCTCTGGGCTGAGCCGTGTGCCTGAGGCTGCAGGAGGGAAAAGTAAATAACAGCCTGGGTACTTGGTGGCTTAATGGCTGCTTTGCAGTAAGACTTAACAATACTCCTGTGAGGGCAGGGACACCGTCTGTCCTGTCACACTTGATCTGTGGTGCCCCAAACAATGACTGGCACCAGAGGAGGCTCATAGATAATTGTGTAAGAAATGCCAAATGAAAAGTTTGGTCCCTGTCCTTGAGGAGTTCCGTAGCCGTCAGCTGTAGGGGTGAAGGTGGTGGCCATAGCTGACCAGGAGGGAGAGGCAGCCTGCCTGTCAGCAACAGGTCCCTGCAGGTTGAGCCATGGCCAGGACCAAGCTCGGCGCCTGTGGTTAGGACAGTCCTGTGCCCTGGGGCCAGTGGAAGCCCCCCCCATGGCTAGGCTGGCCTCTGAGACACGGAGAGCATCTGCCTTGAGAGAAAACATCCCCCTCCCCATGCACCCCTGCAGCAGGTACCCATATGTGAGTCACAGGAAACCCGGGCAGCTTGGGACCATGGAAGGAGCATGAGCTCTGGATTCAAGTGGACCTGAACTCTGATCCTCGCCTCTTAATTTACCTGCTGTGTGACTCTGGGTAAATGACTCAGGCTCTCTGTGCTGTGGTCTACCTATATATAAAGCAGAGCTGGTAGCAATGATTGGGTTGTTGGGAGGATTCAATGTCAAGTCCATATGAATCACTAGATGTTCCTTCCCTCCCTTCTCACAAAGGCCCACAAAGGCTCCCTGTGCCCCACCTAAGTGGCAGAATGCAAAGCCCTGGATCCGCTGGTGTTGTCTGTAACCCCACATGAGGTGCTCTGATGGCATCCCTCTGCTGGGATGGATTTACGGCAGATGATGAGATGGCAGGGATGGGACGAGGGACAGGCCTATGGGCAGAGGCCACCTGCAAGGAAGGAGAGGGAATGACCCAGAGCAAGAGGCCTGCTCCACGTGGGGTTCCAGGCCCACTGATCTCAAAGCAGGCAGCCTATTCATGTTTTAACCAAACCCAGAAAACCACCGAAGCCAGACTGAGCCTTGTCCCCAGGAGTCCTCAGTGACTCCAGGAGAGGCACAAGCTGCTGCTGAGGCCATCAGAGCCCGCTCAGCTCTGCTCACAGGGCCCGGGCGGGCAGGAACTGACTCTTGAGGGGAATGACCCGACAGGCCTCTGCGAGCTGTCCCGCAGCCGGCCTCTGGCCTGCGTCCCCTCTGGCCCCTGCCAGCACTGGCTCACCCCTGTCCCGGCCCCTTGATGAACCTGAGGACATTATGTAAGTGAAATAAGCCAGATGCAAAAAGACATATACCGTATGGTCCCCTTACATGAGGTATTAGAGGAGTCAACTCCTGGAGACAGAAACAGAATGGGCGTCACCAGGGGCCGGGGGGAGGGGAAAGAGGAGTTCTTGTTTAACGGGGACAGAGTTTCAGTTTTGCAAGTAAGTGTCTGGAGATTGGTTGTACAACGACGTGAATATACGTAACATACTGAACTATACACGTAAAGATGGTTAAGATAGTAAATTTTATGTTACGTGTTTTTTACTACAATTAAGGAGGAAAAAAACCCAGACACTGAAAACGACCTAGCCATTCATGGGGAGTAGTGGGGTAAAACGTGGGATACCCACGGCTGGACCCCTCGCCGCTGTGGAGAGAAAGACTGGGAGCGACGTTCGGGTTCCCTGGAGGGCTGGAGACAAGCCGAGGGGCAGAGCGTGTGGGGACCGAGGCCTGGTTTGTGAAGCACTCAGCCCAGTGCCTGGCACACAGCTGGCACTCACTAAGTGCTGGCTACTGGGGTCATTATGTGCCCCTGCCTGCCCCTCCAGCACCTTCCTGCCGGGCCTCGTGGGCTGCATCAACCGCTTCTTCTTCTGGCTCCTGTTCACCGGGAGGAAGGAGAACAGCAACCTGAGCCACAGGATCTTCAGCTACGAGTGCCGCTTCAAGCAGCACGTCCAGGACTGGGCCATCCCCAGGTGGGCGCGGGTCAGCGTCAAAGAGGCCGCGGCGGGGACTGCCAGCCTGCCTCCCGGGCCCACCTATCCTTAGTGGGGCCACTCCGGAACCCGAGCCCCCTTCCGGTGCCTTCCCCCAAGCACCCCGCCTCTCCGGGATAATCGGTCAGGGAGTCCCCTCCGCTCTCCCCGGCAGCCCCTCTCCAGCCATGGGGCTGGGTGACGCAGGCTCAGGCGTGGAACGTGCTGCTTCCTGCCCAGCTTCCCGTGTTCCTGAAGGACTGGGCCCTGCATTCAGTCTCTCGGGCGGCACAGCCCGTCCATGCTGGGGCCGGGTCTCTGCATCGGGAGGGACCCCAGGCACGGAGATAGGCTGGGTCTGCGCCCGACCACCCTGCAGCTTTCTCTCTGAATTGTCTGCTGTCTTCCCCTCTCTCCAGGCAAAGGAGGGGATGGTGCCCAGGGCTTAGGGGATGCCTCTGTTACTGTGCCCGGGGTTGGGGCTGCCGGGCGCTCTAGGCGGGAATGTTAGAAGCAGCAGAGATATTAGAATCAGAGTGACTTTACTCTTAAGAAAAGGAGGAGGGTGTGGGACAGCTATGGCCAGAGATCCCAGGGCAGCCCCTGATTCGGAGGGCGGGGAGCGGGGGGAGTGGATAGAGATCATCCTGGAGGTTGAACCAGCAGCAGCAGGTAGAGCTCCAGGGGGCGCATCCCCAGGCTTGCTCCCATGAGGAGGGCTTTGAGAGCAGCCGGGAGCCAGGAGCTGGGAGCCCCTGTCACCAGGTGGGGCCAAGGGATGCTGCGGCCCGCCCTCGGCTGGGAGGCCACACAGAGCCTCCTGTGATGGCTCCTGGAGGTCCCTTCCTGAGGTCTGGGTTCTGTCCCCCTGGGCTGAGTGCAGAGAGAAGACCAAGGAGGCCCTGCTGGAGCTGAAGGCCATGCTGGAGGCCAACCCCAAGGTGGTGGCCCACTATCCGGTGGAGGTGCGCTTCGCCCGGGGGGACGACATCCTGCTGAGCCCCTGCTTCCAGAGGGACAGCTGCTACATGAACATCATCATGTACAGGTGACCGCTCACTGAGGGGCGGGGCGGGGGGGAGGGCAGCCCCTCAGCTCTGAAAGGACCCTCTCCGTCCCCGTCTTCCTTTCAAGGCCAATTCAAATGCCACCTGCTGCAGGGAGACTTCCCTGACCCTGGCAGCAGCAAATACATAGTCCCTCGCTCTCCTTCGAGTTCCAGCCTCTATTATGTTAATGCAATAATTAATATTGATAATAAGTACTGTTAATATGAGTAGCTACCATTTGTGAAGCTGATATTATGGAATGACAAATGTGTGCTACTTCACGTGCCTCCTCTTGTCAATGATTCTGAGAGCCTGCAATGCTGTGTTGAGAGAAGGATTCTGAGGCCAGGCTTAAGATCAGCAGAAAAGAAGACCACGCTTGAGGCGAGGTGTCTGCCGGCTGCGTTTGCCCTCCTGACCTGCTCCGCCGGGCGCTATGCCGACACCTTGCGCTCCTGACAGCATTGTCTTATTCCTAGCTGGTTCCGCAGCGGTCTCCAGTATGACATGGCTTATGGATAGGCATAGTTTAAGAAGCTCATCTTTTCTGCGATGTCCTGTTCAAGATGTGTCTCCCTCTGCCTCTTCTTGCCCATCTCTCATTGACAAAAGCCCTTCTCTGACTTTGCAAAAGAAAAACATACCTGTCACCCAGCCTCCACCTCACTATGGTGCATTCCTGCAGCATGCAAAAGCCCCAGACTTGCAGGATGCCCAGGGGACAATTCAGGGAGGCACTGCTCTGGACGGGAGTCCCAGAAAGCCAGAAAAGAGAGTTCCTGAAAGACATATTGAAGGAGGGGCAGCTTATTTCACGTGGGGACAAACTTGTGGCAAGGCTCAGACTTGTCTGTCCATCCGTCTGTCTGTCTTCTCCCTACCTGTGAATGCAGATTCAGAAGTGGGAAAGTTGCCATGGATGCATCATAACGTGTTTGTTTGCATTTTAAGAAGTTCTGACTTGGACTTTTTCAGTCAGGAAGTCTGACTTGGAGAGGACGGACCACCTAGGTTGTATGGCTGTGCTTTCCATACGTCGAGTGAGGCAATTCCGAAATCCCTAGGCTTTGTCAAAAAGATATCATCTATATATATTATTTTTAAATGTTTATGTGTGTGTATATATGTACACAAATCTGTAAAATTATTTAAATTCACGATAAATTTCAGATGCCAACTGAAAAATATGTGAGAGAATGCAAATGTTTTCCAAATCCTCCTGGGGTTGAGCACTGAGCAAAAGCCCTCAGGTTGCTGGTCACTGCTGTCCGTGTCCTGAGGGCACAGCCACGTCTTGCTCTCCATGCCTCGTGCCAAGTGCAGGGCATCGCCGGGAGAAGTGCCAGATGACTATGGGAGGGACGGCAAGGAGCGAGGGGGCCTCACCTCCTTCTGCCCCCGCCCCAGGCCCTACGGCAAGGACGTGCCGCGGCTGGACTACTGGCTGGCCTACGAGACCATCATGAAGAAGGTCGGGGGCAGGCCCCACTGGGCCAAGGTAGGACTCGCCAGTCGGAGCCCCCAGGGGGCGAGTCAGTCGGGGAGCTGCTATGGGCCGCGGTTCCACCAGAGGGCACCTCTTTCCCCTGTTCCTCTGCCTGCCAGGGCCTGGGATGTGCAGAAATGTGGGGCTGAGCAAGTCCAGGGAAGGAGGGGCTCCCCTGGCCCACCCAGACCCCAGCTTCCCTCTGCATTCACGTTCCAATAGCCCAGTGACTGTGAGTCCCTCCAAGTTTTCCGAGAAATTCCTCATCTTTCATTTCATTTGATTCTCATGGAACCCTACAAGCAGGATAAAGCAGGAGTCAGTGAGCTCATTCAACAGATGGGAAACTGAGGGTGTCCTGGAGATGATGGGACTGACTTACTGATTAGCAGTAGAATTGGGGCCAGAGCCCTCTCCACTGTCACACTGCCAGGTGGCAAAGGGAATGGGGAGTTTAATGCCACATTTTAACACCTTCCTTCTTTACTTTTCGAGAACTTCGTTCCTCCTGTTTGGATTTCTGCGTTACGTGTGTAAGTGCATGTGTGCATAAGTGTACATGAATGTGTATGTGTGCGTGCATACAGGTGTGGGTGTGTGTATGTGCATTCGTATGCATGCATGCATGTGTGTGCACGCATACATGTGCGGTGTGTCTGCCTCGGGATAGGGATGTCACACATGCAGGCACAAGGACTCAGGGGTGCCTGTTTGCAGCCCTGCTGAAATGCCAGCTCCAGGGAATGAGGACTGTTGTATCTGGTTGCTTCCACAGGCCCACAACTGTACCCGGAAGGACTTTGAGAAAATGTATCCTGCCTTTGCGAAGTTCTGTGCCATCCGAGAAAAGCTGGACCCCACTGGGATGTTCCTGAATGCGTATCTGGAGAAGGTGTTCTACTGAAGCAGAAACAGAAAATAAGTCCAACCCGCCCCATCCCGTCCCCCAGGCCCGTCTCCAGTGAGCTTGCAGGCTCAGTGTCCCACCGGCCTGACGGGGAGAGACCTCTCCCCGACCCCGGGCCCTCTGCTGCCACACTGCAGCTGCTCCGACCCACGGGGATGAGCCTGGATCTGGGCAAGCTCCTTCCCCCCTCCTTTGTCCTCACAGCAAACCATGCAAGGAAGAGTGCCCACATCCCTGTGTACCTCTCCATGTGGCACCCCCTTTTCCTGAGCCTACGATCACCACATCCTGTTTTCCCAGGAGATAGAGAAGCCCCAAAATGTTGTGTGTGTCTAGGAGGTTGGGAATTCAGTCGTTCGTAGGTTCCACCTGCCAGCTGGATGTCTGTGGCTCCAGAGGTCCCCTCTCCAGTCCTCTTAGGCAGGGGCCCCCTTGGCATGTGTTTGGGCACAGAAGTCGTGTGTACTGTGCTCTCCTTTCTTTCACTCTTGTGGGTCTTTCAAATGCTCAGGTGAGTGGCCCCTGCCCTGGGACTGCCATCTTCCAGGTGGTTCCCCCTGTCTGTCTGACCTCCCATAGCCTGACCCTAGGCGTGTCTATTTCAGGGGGTGTTTGAGGAGTGGGACTCTCCCTGTCTTCTCTTTAATAAACGGCAAGAACTGACTCACTCTCTGCCCCCCTCTTCCCCTCTGAGGCAGTCCTCTGGGAGCAGGAGGCTCTCTGATGCCTGGCTTCCCTCTGGACGTAATGGCCCTTGGACTTTTCTGGAAGATGCTCCTCATATTCCTTTTGCAAACTTAGTTTCAATTTGTGTCTGACATACCACGCTTTGTGGTTCTTCTTTCACGGAGCTTTTGTTGAACGTCTACTAGGGGCCAAGTGCTTTGGAGGAATTAAAAGAGCCCAAAGCAGGTTCCTGGCCTCAAGAAATTTATATTCTAATCACATATCTCATAACAGGTTACTATCTAGAATATATTAAGAACTCCTACAACTCAACAACAAAAAAACCAAACAACCCATCAAAAATTGGGCAAAGGACTTGAATAGACATTTTTCCAAAGATATACAGTTGGTCAATAAGCACATGAAAAGATGCTCCATGTCACCAACCATAAAGGAAATGCAAATAAACCACAATGAGATACCACTTCTCACCCAATAGGATCACTATTATCCAAAAAACAGAGAAACAAACAGAAAATGCCAAGTGTTGTTGAGGACGTGGAGAAATTGGAATCCTTGTGCATTGCTGGTGGGAATGTAATAAAATGATGCAGCCACTGTGGAAAATGCTATGGTGGTTCCTCAGAAACATTAAACATAGAACAACCACACGATCCAGGAGTTCCACTTCTGGGCGTGTACCCAGCAGAACTGAAAGCGGGGACTTGAACAGCTACTTGAACACCCAGGCTCATAGCAGCTTGTTCACCGTGGCCAAGAGGTGGAAGCAATACAAGTGTCCGCTGATGGGTGAATGGGTAAACAAAACATGGTATATACACACAGTGGAATATTACTCAGCCTTAAAAAGGGAGGGAATTTTGATACATGCTACAGCATGGAGGAACCTTGAGAATGAATGCTAAGTGAATTAAGCCAAACACAAAAGGACAAATACTTTATGATTCCACTTATATGAGGCACCTGGAGTTGTCAGATTCCTAGGGACAGAAAGTGGAGTGGTGGTTGCCAGGGCTGGGGGAGGGGGAATAGGGAGTGAGTGTTTAACTGGCACGGAGTTTCAGTTTGGGAAAATGAAAAAGCTCTGGAGATGGATGGTGGCGATGGTTTCACAGCAATGTGAATGTACTTAATGCCGCTGAACTATACACTGAAAAATGGTTAAAATGGTGACTTTTATGTTATATATTTTTTGTCCCAATAAAAATAAGGAAATTTATATTCTTGTTCAGGGAAGCAAGACTAACTCGCATAGGACATTAAATAGCCATACCAGGGAGAATATGATGAAGTACTGTGAAGGCCCGGCCAGCCCACCTGGATGAGACCCCCTCAGGAAGCCTGGCTCAGCCAGAAGACCCACATCCATGGCCGTGAGAGCAAGAACTAACCCTCGACAGGACCGGCTACGTAATTTGCAGGGCCCAGTCCAAAACAATTAAGAATTTCAAGAGGGTGACAGCAGAGCATTAAACCAGGCACAGGGTCCTCTGAGCACTACACAAGTCGTGCTCCCATGAAACTGGCCCTGCTGGCCACTGCAAGGCATGGCAGTCAGCTCACTAGACTGGAGCACTGAGCGACTTCATCAAACACAATCTAGGTGTTGCTCTGAAGGTATTTTGTAGGTGTGGTCAACGTCTATAATCCATTGAATTTACGTAAAGGAGATTACTGTCGGTAATGTAGGTGAGCCTCATCCAATCAGTTAAAAGGCCTTCAAAGCCAAAATTGAGGTTTCTGGGGAAGACTAAATTCTGCCTCAGGAGCTCCTGACTGAGTTTCCAGCCCATGGAGCTGCCCTCCAGATTTCAGTCTTGGGAAATCATGTGAGCCAATTCCTTGAAATAAACCTAATATAAATATACACTTTGGTTCCGTTTCTCAGGAGGACCCTCACTAACACATAAGGAAAGAGATGGATTGCTGAAGTTAACACAAAGAAAGCACAGCAGGCTAAACCCTGAGGCTTTGGAAATCATGGAGTCCAAATCATTCCCATGTTCTACAGATGAGGAAACCAAGGCTCAGAGTGGTGAAGAAACTTGTCCAATGTCACACAGCCAGTTAGGAAATGCAGTGGCTTCAAACTTTTCAAACAAAGTATGTCTCACGGCCCTATATTTTCCATAGCTTGAATTCAACTTTTAAAAGCTATGAGTTTTGCATTCTGTTCTTTTCTATAATTGTGTTTTAAACTTTTGAATAATAATTTATTTTCCGAATCTGTAAATGACACTTCTACTCTTGGAGGGAGTGCCATGCTGGTTCTGTGGTCTTCTGGCACCCATGGGAGAAGTACAGATGTGAAGGGACACAGCCCAATGGCCTAAGTCTGAACAACCTCAGGGCTCAGTAAAACTTCAATTCCTGGAATGCTGAGGCAAAAGGATGTTCTGGAAATCGACTTTATAATTCATTACCAGGGAACCCAGGTGCCCTTTCCGATTCAGGCTTTGATGAATATCATTTGCTCTTCCTTTGATGTGGGATCTTCTGCAGCCTGAAGGTCATCCTTCCCAAAGAGTTCTCATTGCAGAGTCCTCTTGATCTCAAGTGGTGTGCTCCGAGCCTGTAAATGGGGCTCTTGAGGGCATGGCTGGTACAGACCCACTTTTCTTCTCCTTCCTCTCTTCCTCCTTGCTACTTCTCTCCCAGGTCCCACTGGCGGCGCTGCCCTGATTGTCAAGCCTCAGGCAGCATGTCTGCAAACTGCGGCCCAGCCTGCTGGTCTCAGGAGACTTGGAAGATCGTGGGCACTGAGGCTCGGAGCCCGGTGCTGGAAGACTGGGCTCCCAACAGCGGACAGCGATTACCAGCAGCATCTCAGAAGACACAGGATGGGAGGATGAGCAACGGTGTCTCCCAGAGCCAGAGTGAAACTAAACCGTATCACAGCAACGAGCTGTTGGGCCATGAGCAGCATCAAAGCTGATCTGGGGTGAGAGGTTGCCCTCCAAAAGGAAACCTGCAAATGTCACCAAGTAGAGAGTGAATTGTGGGCAGCTTCTGCCCTCAGGGCGGCCACCTGGCCCCTACACTCTGAGGAAAGGAGGGGGCCAGTGAGCTCCGAGGGTCCCAGAAGGATGCACCACCGCTCGGAAAGCCTCCCAAAATGCACAGAGGTGGGACATTTAAAGACCCAAGACAGATGTCCCCTCACATCACTTCACCTGTAGGTGTCTCTGCATGGGGATAACCCCAAATCGGTCGAGTCAACCTGGCCACTTACGTGGGGTTGGGGGGGGGTGGGGGGAGCGCAGAGGATAGATAAAGGGAGGGGGCGGGTCGAGCTGACTCGGGGGAGGGCCAGCAAAGCCCACCATCAGAGGGGCAGCAGCACAACTCTGTTCCTTCTCTCAGGGTGGGCAGCCGCGGTCAGCCTCGGAACAGGGTCTCTAGGCGCCCCCTGGTGGCAGCTGTCGGGACACAGCCGAGGTACACAGAGGAAACCAGCCCCCTCTGACCTAAACCCTGCTAGTCCCAAACTGTAAAGTGACGAGGAATGCCACAGAGAAGAGAGCCACGCCGAGGGAGGCACTGGGGGGAAGCTGAGAGGGAGGAGTGCTACAACACAGTCGCTTTCAAATTCAGAAGGGGTTTCTCTGGGTCCCCTCCAAGGAAGGTCTTACCTGTAGGTCTCCTGTTACTAAAATGAGGCCGAAGGCGCAGCTGTTCCAAGGCAGGGAGAGTGGAAGCTGGAGAAGGAGCTTCGGGGACCCTAATCCCAAGGTCCTCGAGGAGCCCACGAACTAAAGAGGAGCAGATACAAGGTGGTGTCTGGGCGAAGCTGCAGCAGGTGCCCGAGCCTGGCTCATGCTGGTGTCTACCCTGGATCTCTTCCCCATGTGACAGGGCCTTTCAGATGTCTAGAGAGGCCCAGACATTTCCAGAAAATTCCCAAAGAGAATTATCAGAACTTGGGTGGGTTTTAATTTTCGACAGCCACAAACGAATGCCTTTACACACGCAGAGTGAGAGGACGTCGTGCTGTGCCCCGGAGAACTGCAGGATAGCGTTTTAAAGACCAACGCCCCCTCATGCATCGGGGCAGCCGGGCTGGGGACGGGGGACAGGTTTGGATCTGGAGCACAAACACCTTCTTTTGATGCCATCAGCACCTCTCTGTGAGTTTATGTACGTGAGGTCATCCACAGAGGTCAAAGTCCCCTTATGAACATGAGGCTGGCATGAGTGGTCACCCCACCCCTGTGATGTGCCGTCTTTGGCGTAATGCTGGGTCAGGTGCTGGGTTTTATTGGATCGGGCACTGGAGATCGAGTGGAGGACCTAACAGGATTACGTGAAGCCACTGGCCCAGGTGGTGGAGCACTTTGGTTGGCCCAAAGCTGCTGGTTACAGTGGTGCAAGGTGCACACTGCACAACTCTGGTGTCATTTCACCTGGTAGTCATGAGAAATTATATCTTGTATTTTCTGGCAGAGGGCCGTCAAGTGTCAATGTAGGGGCTAACGGCAGGGTTGGTGCCGCCCCCTTGCCAGGTAGATGCCAATCCCTCTCTTCTCAGAACGCAAACCCTGCTCCCACCTGGCCACAAGAACCCTAGAAGCCCGAAACCGAGGACTCATTCTCCACACCTCCCCAGCCAGAATTACCCACCTCTCATCCCCACACCTTGGTGATCTGCTGTGCTGCCTCAGTCTTTCTAGTGCCTCAGGCTGGAACTTTGGTCAGGGATGGAGGGACATCGAAGGACCCTCACACCAGGCCACTGTGCAGAGGGGGAGAGATGAGGGAGGGAAGGGCTCCCAGGGAACCACAAGTCAGCTGTAGGCTCTGTCCATTAAGGTGCTGGTCTAGGAGAGTTTAAAGTGAGTTGCATAAAAAAGAAGCAACCACTGGGGCCAGCTCGGTGGCCTAGCGGTTGAGTCTGCGTGCTCCGCTTTGGAGGCCTGGGGCTCGCTGGTTCAGATCCTGGGTGTGGACCTAGTACCTTACTCATTAAGCCATGTTGTGGCAGCGTCCCACATACAAAATAGAGGAAGATGAGCACAGATGTTAGCTCAGAGACAATCTTCCTTAAGCAAAAAGAGGAAGATTGGCAATAGATGTTAGCTCAGGGCCAATCTTCCTCACCAAAAAAAAAAAAGAAGAAGAAAAAGAAGCAGCAACCGCTGGATATAGTAACTGCCAGAATCTGCCAACATGATGGAAAGCAGAAAATAAATTTTGAAACATAATGTGTGACATTGATGTAACATACAATTTACAATTATGGTCATTTTAGCAAATGCCTTCCGAACCCATCTCTCTAATGTGTATCTTTAAGTGAATCGTACTAACTTCATTCTGCGTGTCCTTGATAGCAATGCTAAAATACCAGCTTCTTTGGACACAAGCCAAGCCCTGGAGTCTGTGGCTTGTGTGGTGGAGGTGCCTGTGACTTGGATGAGAGACATGGAACAGCAACATAAGAATATTCTAAGCTTTTCATTGCACGTGGACTTTGCTACAAACATGAAATGAGGCAGAGGTTTTTTCCCCCCATTTGAAGTGTATTTGATGAACAGAATTCTATAACTAGGGGCTATTCATTAAGTGGAAAGGCTGGCTGACAATGTTGAGATAAGAACCACAGTTAGTCAGCGCCCCCTGCTGGCAGCACAGGGCACTGCAGCCCAGCGATACTGCAGACTGAGCTGTGAAGGGTGGGCAGGAAGGACCCGGAAGAGGAGAAAGTCCTGTGGCGGGGGAGACAGAAAGGCTGCAGGACTGACAGTGGACAAGCAGCGCCGCTGTCAAGAAGGCGCCACAGGGATCCCAAGCTCTTGCAACTAGAAAGAAAATGGCCTCCTTTTGCCTTTTGGGGATTACAGTTTCCATAAGGAAAATATCAGCTATGTCTTAAAATACTCATATGCCTTATTTTCACCCCTTCTTCACTCTAATTTTCAAGGTATTCCTTTGGGAGACCCCCCTCCCCCAATCAGAATATGTCAACAGTTTTATAATGGAATGGAAAAGATTCACTTTTCAGAAACTTATTTAAGCTGGTTGTTGGAACACATTTCTCTTCCTAAAAACAAGAAATCTTTGAATTGGATCAACTTCATCACTACCCTCCTTTTAGTCTCAACTATATGATACTCCCCATACCATCTTAGCCACTGCTTTTTCATTTCTCATGCTTTTTTTTTTTTTTTTGGTGAGGAAGATGGGCCCTGAGCTAACATCTGTTGCCAATCTTTCTTCCTTTTTTTTCCCTCCCCAAAGCCCCAGTGTGTAGTTTCCTATCCCAGTTGTAAGTCATTCTAGTTCTTCTATGTGGGACACCACCACAGTGTGGCTGGATGAGCAGTGTGTAGGTCCATGCTCGGGATCCGAACCGGCAAACCCCAGGCTGCCAAAGCGGAGCTCGCAAACTTAACTACTCGGCCATGGAGCAGCCCCAGGCACTGCTTTTTCTTTTCTACTTCTTTTTCTTTTTTATTTCCATACCAAGACAAAGGCGTGTGGGAGGGAGAAGAGCCCAGCGTAAAAAGAGGACACCCCAGCACACCCAGATTACAAGGCCGTTTTATTGAGTTAGTGGCGTGTGGGGCTTCTTCCCGTGATCAGCAAACGCAGGCATTAGAGGCGGGATCGGAGGGCGGCTGGGAGGCTCAGGGGGCCTCGAGGCTGGGCCGGGCGCTTGTGACATGCAGAGCTCTCTCTAGGGCTTGTGGCTCATCTCGGGGGCAACTGGATTCAGAGGCCCCCATACTTGGAGGAGCAACATTCACATCTCATTCCTCCCTGAAAAAAAGGGGAGAAAGGGAAGGTGAGGGCTCGATACTCACTGAGCGGCAGCAGCCAACACTCAAACTCTTATCGCTCCAGAAAGAACCCCCTCCAACGGAGAACTAAAGTTCCCAGTGATGCCCTGCTTCGTGCTGGGCTCTGGCTGCAGGGCCAGCGCTCCTACGCTGGGTGCTCTGCTCTCTGTTCAGCTCCCAGGAGCCTGCGGGGCCCGGAAGGACCACAGGTGGGGCCTGCACACTCACCGGTTCTTCTGGCGGTACTCCTGCAGAGCCTTTTCCGCCACCGTCTCCATAAACTTAGGATTGTTCCTGGAGACTACTTCTGGCACCGTCACCGTGATGGGGTAGGAATCAAAGAGCTTCACAACCACCCTAGTGAGGCCAGAGGGAACCTCGGAGTCGGAATTGTGGGAAGACACCTAGAAGGAGACAAGGTAAGAGAAGGGTTGAAACATGGCTCAAAAGGAACTCATTTCGCAAGAAAAGTCAGGCTTAAAACTGGACAGTTGACTCCTTTGCAGAGCATGCAAACTTAACCACTCGGCCGCTGGGCCAGTCCCCCCTTTCCTTTGATTGTCCCTGAGCTAACAACTGTGCCAGTCTTCCTCTATTTTGTATGTGGGACACTGCCCACATGGCTTGACAAGCAGTGTGTAGGTCCCGCCCAGGATCCAAACTCGCGAATCCTGGGACACAGAAGTGGAGCACGTGAACCCAACCACTAGGCCAAGGGGCTGGCACCATCCCCTTTGCTTGTCACTACTCTTGACATCTGTGCAACTCGGTGAGCAGAAATGCCCTCCTTCAGACACGCGTGGTACAGGTGTAAACACCACCCACAAGCGAGCAGCCAAGGGAGCCCCACAGAGTAAGAATGGTCTCCAAGCCGCCACGTTTTCTGCGGGCGGCCACTGGCCAGGTGCTGGTAGGAAAGGAATCAGGGGAAGAAAACAAAAAGGCTCCCAGTGCCAGTGAGAAGCTTGTCGTCACTGGTGGAGAACGATGCACTGATTCTCGAGCCATCCTACGTGGTGTGGGGCAGCAAGGCAGCTCTGTGGAAAGAGGACAGGCTCCACAGCCAGGTAGACAGGCTCCAACGCCCGGGAGCGGCCCCTGTCAGTTATCTGACCACAGGCAAGCGGTTGAACCTCTCCACCTTCGTCATCTGTAAAATGGGGTCGTGATATTCCACCTCACTGGGTACGGAGGCTCCCAGTCAACAACCTACATAAAGTTGCTACGTTTCCCGCCATGTGACAAATGCTCGGTGGAAAGCATAAGTGCCCCCTCTAATATCTTCATCCCGTTTCAGCGCCAGGGCAGGGGAGGTTCACATCACCTCCAGACCCCACCCTGGGCCCCCAGCGTCAGTGTGCGGTCGACACGACTCACCGTGGTGACCTGGAGATAGTACTGGTCCTCGCCCTGCGTGAGGTTCGCCAGCTGGGACACCCAGCTGAACTGCTCGTTGAGCTGCTTCAGCAGGGAGGAGGTGTTGAGCATCTTCTCCTGGTAGGACTGCAGCAGCTCGTCGTACAGCTTGGTGAACTTCTCAGCGAGCTGGAGGGAGTTGTTCAGCTCCTGCCGCAGCTGCATCTGCGAGGGGTTGTTGGTCGAACAGTCTGCCCAGAGGTGACAAATACAAAAGGCAGAAATGTGAAGGGAAAGCCAAAAAGGGATGAGAACACGAATGGAGATCGGCGCACGCAGCCAGGACCTAAAGCAGGGCTGCTCTAAGAGCCGGTCGGTCCCCAGGCCGTTTGTTGTCTGTCCTCGCCAAAATAAAGAGCTCACCCCAGGATGTAAGGCGATATGCGGCTTCCTCCATCCTGACAGTCGTGCTCTGGAAAACCATGTCAGCTGGCCTGCACAGCGCACTTAGTGACGTCACTGATTTATCTTTGGGTGCAAGACCCTTATTTCTCTGGAGACTGGTGATGAACGCACTGAGCATGCTCTCAGAAGACAGGTCTCAGGCCCCGGGTGCTCAGACCTGGTGCTACTCTCGCTGCCCCAGTCCCCCACGGGGGAATCATTTCTAGAGGGGGAATGTCACTTAGAGCTACCGTCTGCATGGCACCTACCACATACCACGCACCACATAAGTGCTTTGGAAACCAATTATTTCTAACAAGATGTATTCTGACTTAAGTACTGCTGATAATGATTTTTTTTTTTTTTTACCAATAATGAAACTGAGGCCTGCAGAAGTAAATCACCGTCTAAAGTCATAGAGTGAAGAATTCATGGCGTCAGGATTGAACCCAGGGCTTTAACTCCTAAACTTAGGTTCTTCCAACTCTGAGGCTGCGCCTCTGGAAAATTCTCTAAGCTTGTCTTTTGAGCAGATCTGCAGAGTTGGAAATTCTGGCCCCAACAGCCCCTGTGACAGAAGAGCCGGCCAAGATCCTCGGGCCACAGAGCACAGCAGCCTGGTGGCTGGGGGTCCTGGCTTGCCGACCTGTTCATCATGGCTGGTCCCCAGGCTCACCAGGGAGCAGGGGATAGAGGTCAGGGAGCAGGGATCCTTTTGATCCCTGACTGCCCACTGCAGGTTGTCAGATAGATATGAGCTGGCAACCACCCACTAGCTCTTTAAAAACTACTGTTTTTCTCAGATAAACACCGTATGATTTCACTCACACATGGAAGATAAACACACACGTGGGTAAGGAGAACGGATTGGTGGTTCCAGACGGGAAGGGGGTGGGGGGAGGGTGAAAGGGGTAAAGGGACACATGTGTATGGTGACATAAAATCTAGACCATTTGTGGCCAACAGGATGCAGTCTATACAGAAACTGAAATATAATAATGTACACCTGGAATCACACAATGTTATAAGACAGTATGACCTCAATAAAATAATTTTATTAAAATCCTACTGTTTTTCTCTTTCTAAATTTTTTAAAAATATCCCAAGGAGGGCACAGCAGACCAAGCAGGTCAGGGGAAGGGGTATGTCAGCACACTGCAGAGCGGTGATCATTTATATAAACCATTTACATCAAATGATTGCATTAAATGTAATCATTTGTATTAAAATAAAATGTTAGGTGGGGCAAGAAATAGAATTACTAACAAGAAGCCAAGTTGAAAAAGATATATAATAAATAAACTTAAATCTTCTGCCGGAGAACCATGAAAAGATAAGAAAAGTCGCTGAGCCTCGAGCCTCAGTCTGGAGCAGTGGGTCTCACCTGGGGGCGATGCTGCCCCTGGGGATATTTGGCAAAGTCAGAGCACATTTTGGTTGTCACACTGGTGGGGATCTACTGACATCCAGCGGGCAGAGGCCAGGGATGTTGCTAAACACGCTGCAGTGCACAGGACAGCCCCCACGATACGAATGACCCAGTCCGAAGTGTGAGTAGTGTCCAGGTTGAAAAACCCTGGTCTGGAGTCCCAGGCGGTGCACACTCATACAGTTGTGAGCACCGTAAATACGAGGTTGTGGGTCTTCCTCACTGGAGGGAAGGAGCCTGTGTGGGTAAGCTGCGACAGTGACCGTGAAGATCAGTGCTACGCTGCCAGTGCGAGCCGGGGCATCTGCATGGCTCTTCTTCCCGCCCCAACGTGACTTTCTTGTGCTGAGGTGCTACATAATTTATGACATTCTAACGATGATATTTTACGGGAAAAGCCCAAAAGGCTCGGTTATGCACTCCTCTTCACTTCATACATCAGCCCCGTTTGGCACTTGTATTTATTTTGCAGTGGCTTCTAAAATTACAGGAATGAGGCTAGGAATATTTAACTAGACTCTGAAGGCTGCCCTGACAAACCCAAATGTATTAAGTAAGAGCAAAGCCACAAGGTCGATCGGCTGTGTACAAGGGAAACAGTTAACCCTTTCTGAGCATAGACTGTTGCGTGCCAGGAACTTTTCCAGGTGCTTTATAGCTGTTATCTCAAAGTAGGAAGAAACTAGTCAATGACCAACCAAAGGGGATGTTGCTGGGAAGCTAAGGCCCCACTCCCAGTGACCCATGTGTTCTGGGGAGAGAACAAAAGCAACGGCTAAGGACACGCCCCGAACACGTGGCTTCCCCATACAGGGGAGTCCTGTAACCCTGGGAAGTTGCTTAACCGTTCTGTGATGGAGCTTATGCCTCTGTAAGACAGGGACAGTCATTGTACCCAACTCAGGGTCATTCTGAGGAAATGAGTAAATGTTTGCAAAGTGTTTAGAACAGTGCCTGGCACAGGGTAAGTGGTGTTAGAATACATACTATCTAAAATTTCATGATCTGCGGGGAAAAATGAGGATGCCTTCTATGCTTGGCCCTTGGGAAAAGAATAACTGGGGAAAATCAAAGGATGATGGGCTTTAAAAAAAGCATAGCTGCCCCCTCCCACGGATTGCCTGTTGACCACGTGCTGGATGAAGTGGTAGGCACTTTATATACTATCTCCTGACTTCAAGGACAACCCTATGTCTTAACCCTTGACTACAGATGAGGGGCCCAGGTGGAGCAGAGCCAAGGACCCCCTCCCCGTGCCACAGCTGGCAGGCAGCAGAGCTAGAATCTGAACTCTTTTCTGCCTAACCCCATAAAGGCAGCCTCAGTGAGGTACCAGGGACCCAAGGCTCCCCGACTCACCCACTGATAAGATCTCCTGGCACTTCTCACACTGGTCCTTCATCTTCAGGCATCCCGTGGAGTTGTGACGAATCTCCTTGCAGACGGTGCGGTCATGGTTGTCTCCTGGAGACACACAAGAGGGAGTCATGCTGAGGGACCATACAGAGCAGTACAGTGATTGATGGGCCACCTCCTTTTCTCTGACGCCTTCCACACTAGCTTGAGATGGTTCTATAGGCAGAGCAGTTGGAATTTGGTGGTTTGCCTGCAGGCACATGCCTCTGATCAGGGCTCCCTGCAGAGGGACCAGGAGGTGGTTCCTGGAGCTCCCTCAGCTGGGCATCCCCGCCTACCGTCTCCATCTGATGAGACCTCTCCTGCCTCCACGCTGCATTAACTGTTTGCACTGCTTTTTGGCATCATAACCCATTTTGCTCTGCATTCTATCTGGCTATTTCTCCCCCTAGCCAGTTGGCAAGCCCCCTGAAGGCAGGCATGGGATCCTTTCTAGAACCTCCTCATAACATGGGGCTCCCCCTACTACGGTTATGTGGTAGATGCTTATTCAATTCATGCCCTCCTATATTTCCAATCCATTTCAAGCCAAACCCTGGTGCCAGTCAAACCACAGCATTTAGGAGATGGTGTTGGCCCACAGGTTTATTGGTTCAGTGAAGGAAATCACTTCAAAAAGTACTGGCTTTTCATATCCACATGAGACTTCATTCATTCAAAACTATTCATGGTGCACCCATTCTGTACCAGGCACTCAGGTTACAGCCAAGAACAGCTGTCTTAACTGTAATATGGGCTGATTATGTAATTTGTCACCAATGTATGCATGGTGTCCATCTAAAGCCACCTGAGCTCCCGAGAGAAAGGGGTCTGGTTCTCTAGAGGGAGCAGTCAGTGTCATGCCCACCAGTTGCTGGAAGGAGCACGGTAAACTTGAGAGAACACAGATGCCCACTCCTGCAGGGCTCAATTTCATCGGGACCCACTTTATCAGCCGTGAAACCTGGGACACACCCCTTTACCTCTGGCATAGTTTTCTCCTCCTTAAATGGGGATGATGTCACACTCACGGTGGTGTACCTCCCCTTGCTAGGGGGAAATCAAGGTGACAGGGGGAAATCGAGGTGACATGTACCAAGCCTTGGCATAGTTCTCAGCATCTAATGGGTTTCTCAATAACGTGTTAGTTCCCACCCCTTCTTAGGAACAATGAGAAAGCTTTCTAACCTTCTGAGAATTCCGTCATGGGGAGCTGGTCGGGAAGTCTGTGGAGGTGCAGATTCATGGCCTGTTGGGCCTGGTGGATCATGTCAAAGAAAGGCTGGAACATGTCGTTGAAGTTCAGGTGGCGGTACATGGGGAAATGCATTATGTTCCGGGCGAAGCGGGACTTGGGGTTGAATAAGAGAGAGGACCTCCTGTGGGGTGAGCTGAAGGGCGAGTAGTAGTAAGTATCTTGGGGCTCGCGGGTGAAGAATCTGTCCTGGAAAAGTTCGTCCATGATGCTGGACGCCCGGTCGAAGCTGTCCTGCATGACGTCCAGTACGTGGGTCTGCTGCCGGTCGTTCTCCAGCAGGGAGTCGATGCGGTCACCGTTGATCCAGAAGTAGAAGGGAGAGCTCTGGTTCAGGAACTCCTCAAGCTGTGACAGGCAGCACGGGGACAGTTAGGAGAAGCTCTCCACAGGCCCAGCCTCCTGTGCCTCCTCCCTGTCGAGACGGGCCAGCCCGTTCCCTCGCTGCATCTCGGTCTCCTCAGAGTCACACAGCGTGTAACCGAAGGCCCCCCGGGACTGTCCCCTGGTCTCTGAACTGTCAGGCAACGCCCTTCATTCTACCGACACCAAGGGGAAGAGTTTAGTAAGACCTGTGAAGGCCTGTCACTTCAGACTAGTCTGCTGTCCTCTTCAGCCACCAAGGATCCCCACCCCTGCTCAGCCAAGGGCCAACCGATATGTCTTCAGGGAATGGCAAAATTCAGGAGTCCCAACTGAGCGAGGCCCACAGAGGAGGATGATATCAATATTAACATACTAAAAATTTTAATTTCTTCTGCCTAAGTGGACCCAGGGATCTGCCATACCATGAAGCTATGTGTTATGTTATCCAGCTAATAACTGCTGGATAAGAGTCTTCTAAGAGATGGCAAACACCTAGCACAGGCGCATTTTATGACTGCACGTTTCTGCACTCAGAGCAGGCTTTACCAATCTATCATGGCACTCCGCGCCCAAATGCAGCCAGAGCTAATTAATTGCATCTGGAATACGAAATAAAGCAGTGATATTGTGATTCATAATGGGAAATATATATTTGGTCTTTGTCTAGTTCCTGATGAAAAGCTCTTAAAACCCTTGGAATTTGCTGTGAGGACAGCAATAAAGGTGTTATGTTAATGAGGTGGATTGTGGAAAGAACCTAAGGATGGGGGTTGGTTGCCGGGGGAACCAACCATGATTAGAGGGTTGGAACTTTCAGTCCCACCCCTTGGTTTCCAGGGAGGGGAGAGGGGCTGGAGGTTGACTCAATCACCAATAGCCAATGATTTAATCAATCATGTCTAGGTAATGAAGCCTCCATAAAAACCCAAAGGGATGGGCTTGGGGAGCTTCTGAATTGGTGAGCACGTGCAAGTGCTGGGAGAGAGATGTGCTCAGAGAGAGCATGGAAGCTCCACGTCCTTCCCACGGCCCTTGCCCGGTGCATCTTCCCACCTGGCTGTTCCTGAGTTACATTCTGTCATAATGAACCAATAATCTAGTAAGTAAAATGTTTCTCAGAGTTCTGTGAACCGCTCTAGCAAATTAACTGAACCCAAGGAGGGTGTCATGGGAACCTCCAATCTAAAGCCAGTTGCTCAGAAACATAGGTGACAACCCAGACTTGCGATTGGTGTCTGAAGTGGGGGTGGCAGGGAGGGGCAGTCTTGTGGGACTGAGCCCTTAACATGTGGGATCTGATACTATCTCTGGGTAGATAGTATCTGAATTAATTTGAATTGTAGGACACGCAGCTGGTGTTGGAGAATTGCTTGGTGTGGGGACCCCCCACACACACTGGAACCGGGTGTAGAATGACAGAAGCATATTTCATTCTGTTCTCCTCATTCCCCACTCAGAGCCCAGGCAGCTTTCCAGGAGAGCTTCCCCTTTTCACCTGGTGGCCAACCAGCCCCGAGCCGCTTCTGCAGACACGTGCGTAGAACTTCATGCAGGTCTGCTTCAGGCAGGGCTTGCACTCCTCCCAGAGGGCTGTCATGGTCTCATTGCACACCCCCTGGGACTCCTTCAGCTTCATTTCAGAATCCTTAGTATCATTTAAGGCACCCTGCAGAAGGACACGGGGCCAGGTTAGCCACACAGAAACCACAGGCTTCCCCCTTCCCCAGCGGGCACGGTGGTGCAGGGCCCTCCACCACCCAGGCTGGCTTCCCACCTTGGCCACACAGCAAGCTTATTTCCACCCCTGCTCTTGCTCACGCGTTCCCTCATGCACCTACCTGGAAAGCCCTCCCCACCTAGCTGTAAACATCCTCTCCTCTTCAAGACCCAGCTGTTCCTTAGTCCTTCCCGGCCACTAGACCCCATGGGGACATCTCCTTTTCCCAGCACTGCACTTACAGGCTTCATCCCAGCATTTACCTCCCACTTATACCTCATCTTCTATGCTCAACTTCTGATGCTTAAATGTCGTCTTCCAAAGCTTCCAGCGGCTCCCTGACTCTTAGGTTTCTATCGTAACCATGGTCCTTGGCATGCACCAGGAAGGAGCAAGCGTTCAAAAACAAAGTCACAACCCCCCAAACTCTCTCATGTGCCCCTGTCATTTGACCCAATAATTCCATAAGAATCTATGCCAAGGAATCCCTGCCCTAAAGGGAAAATCCATATGCCTAAAGATATTTGTTACAGTATTCGTTTATGGGGAAAAAAAAATACTGGAATCAACACAGATGCTCAAAACTAGAGGACAAATTAAGCAAATTGTGGTCCATACAAAGGGTTGATAAGCATTATACAAGGCATGTTTATAAGTGTTAAATATTACTTAAACATGATTTGAAATCATGCTAAAAACTTATGATTTTGAATATAGCCAAAAAAGTACAGAGGAAGAAATAGATCAAATGTTAACAGTGAATGGTCCATAGGTAAAAGGGTTATGGAAAAACCTTTCCTCTTCTACTTTTCTATATTAAAATCTTGATGAAGGAGTGCATTACTCTTCAGAGAAGAATTAAGAAGACCGTCCACACTCTGAAGCAAAGTTACACTATGAACGTCTTGGCCAAGAGCAGTTCGAGTGATGCATCTTCTGCTCTCCTGTCCCCGCTCTCTGTCCCCTGCTCCACGCTGGGGAGAGACAAGTGGCCACAGCTCCTACTGAGCCAGTCCAGAAGCATCAACTATACCACTCACTGCCTTTCTCTTAGGTTCACACATTCCTCAACTGACAAGTAAGGGAGTCTTTTTCCAAATTTGAGGTGCTTTATCATAAAACCTGGATTGTCAAATATCAAACTCCAATGACAACTATAAATGTGTGAGAACAAGACTTGCCCCACCTACAGTGAGCTATTTGAGGATTCTCATGGAATAGAGAGAAGTAATACTGATGCCAAGAAGGGGCATTAAGTTTCAAAGAAAGTTAGAGCCATATCTAGGCCAGCATTTCCTTAAGTGGCTTCCATGGAATTGTGCTAAAAGTTATCAGGAAAAAACAAAAAAGGATTCCTTGGTCAACTGGACTTGGAAAACACAGGGTTAAATGAAGTTACATGGGTTTCTTCATTGTAGAACTTCTCAGAGCCTTTAAAATGCTTTTATTATGCATTACAGATCACAAATGCAGCAGGTGGCCCCATCTAGCGTCTCCTTCTTTAGCGGTAGGGTGACAATGGGTGTAGGTTTTTAGGATACCCTTAAGGAGACTACTGATTTTTAAAATAAGTTGTTCATTGAATTATAGTGTTTTAGTTTTGTTGATCACTAAGCACAGGCTAGACCCAGCGTGTTCACATGGGACTTAGGTGTCTCTGGATGAAGTAGTCCAGAACTCTAGAAAGAATGGGGCAGGACAGTGTGAGCCTGCCTGAACCCCAAAAGTATAGCCCCTCCTGGATAAGCTTTCTGAAGGTAGTGTGCCTCCCCCTGCAACCCAACAGACCCTACCCAAAGCCTACCTTGGAGCTTGCACACAGCCACGGTTTAGAAAAGTCTATTGAAGTGAATGCGGGCAGCAGGCCCTGGGCTGGGCTTGTAACAAAACCAGATCCAGGATCTCACCCTTTGAAGCTTTCAAAAGCAAATAAATCCTCCCTATTTCCTGACTAAAGCCTCAGCATCAGCTGATCTAGTCCAGGAAGGACTCTGGGTCACCATGGCAACCCAGCAGGGCACCCAAAGCGACGAACCCTTCCCGCCCTCCCTTCCAGCAGGGGTCAAGGCAGGGAGGGGTCACCTGACTCTCACCTCTTTCTTCTTCTTGGCTTCCTCTAAGGTGCCCAGCAGCGACTTGCGCTCTTCGTTTGTTTGTTCTATTAGGTTCTTTATCTGTTTCACCCCCTTGAGGGCATTTTTAATTTCCTTATTAATGTAGTTACTCCCCTGCGTGGACATTTCTGCAGGAGAAGGGCAGGGAGGTAGAATGAGGGGAGAGGAAGAGATGGCGAAGTGGAAATAACCCTGGGACCAGCTGGAATGGTCAGAAAGGCCAGCTGGGTGGAGGGGCTGCTGAGGCTGGGAGGCCCCTGGCAGGCAGCCTTTGGGCCCCAGCTTTGCCCTTACAAGGTTCCCATCACAGGGCTCATTGTGGACCCAGAGCCAAGAATCAGCTACACGCAGCTGCTCAGAAGCACAGACCACAGGAGCGGGCACACCCAGAGGAGGGACAGCAGCACCATGCCCCTGGGGCTCTGGAGAACGAGCTTGCCCAGCTGCAGAAGAAAATATTCAAGGAAAAAAAATCCTGGAAGTATGACCATTTAGGTTTCAAAATACAAACTATTATTATTTTGGATACAAGTGTTTTTGGAATTCAATTTAACCAAACATCTGAACTTCTTTGGTCCCATGCACAGTACCAGGTGATGGGGACACACAAAGATGAATTAACTAGCACCGTTCCTCACGGAGACTGTGATCAAGACACAACACCCTGTGCCAAATGCAATGAGACAATGTCACCGAAGTACCGAAGGAGAAACAGCTAAATCTTCCGTGATACTGATCCCCGGCCAGGCGCTGAGCAGGACACCTCATGGGCATTTTATTTAATCCTCCCAGCACTGTCATCATCCCCATTGCACAAAAGAGGACAAACAAGCGTAGTGAGATCAAGAGCCTTGCCCAGAGATATAGCTGGGGAGTGGGGGTCCCGAACCCTACCCAGCTCTGATCTCGAAGTTTGGGCTTTTAATTCTACTCCAGAGAACTGGTCGGCTAGTAGGACAAGAGTGGAGTGGAGAGAGGTCAGGTGTCAGGAAAGGCTTGGCAGCGGAGGGGACCACCAGTTGGGCTCTGAAGGATGACCAGCCCTCATAGTGAATGCTATTTGGTTTTCTAGGTGGAAAGGGGGAGGGTACATGTAGTAAGTGCCATGGAAATGCAGACAGGGGAGACCCACAAGGCTCAAATGGTCCAGCCCTCCTGGGCCTCCATGGAGGAGGTATGGGCGCCAGGTGAGCAGACTGGGAAGGGGACAGCCAAACAAGATGCAGCAAAAAAAGAAAAGGCTTAGGAAACACCTGAAAATGCCTAGAGGCCACCCAGACCACAGAGAGCCTAGGCCACGCAGCCTGGGTGAGGAGGCTCAGAGAGGAGCCTGGGCAGAGCCAATCGGATCCGATGCACAGGATAAAAATGGTCTTTAACCCTTGGGGCCTGACGGAGGAAGTGTGCTAAGAGGGGTACACCTGGTCCACTTACCCTGGAGCTCTCTGTCTGACACTGCCTTGTCTCCCAGCACCTGTCCATTCTCCAAGGTCAGCAGCAGCCCCACCAACAGCAGGAGAGTCTTCATCTTGCCTCCTCCTCCAATTCTGGAATCCTAGCACGATTCTGTTTGTAAAGAACAGAAGACTGTCATGGTAACAGCTAGACAGCCTGCTGGTTTCCGGCCAGGCTGCTGCCTGCAGCAGCTTCCCAGGGGCCCTGCAGAGGCCTTGCCCCAGGCTACCCCTTCAGCTGGCATCGCTGCATTTTTATCCCCTGAGAAATTGGAAGAAAAGATTAGACTTGCCATTGGACATCTTCAAAAGAAAGTGGAGGCAGTGGGTACAGGGAGGACCCACAGGACAGCGACCCAATACAGAGAAACAAGAACTCTGCAGTCAGAACTGCAGGGCTCGGGTCCAGGCCCTCCTCCACCACCGCCTCCATAACAGCTGACTATGCCTTAGCAAGCCGCAGAGCGATCTGCATCCAGAAAAGGCGTCTAGCTGATGATACCTGCTCGTATCAAACCTCTCTCGGATCCCTCATCCGGCCCCCTCCTGTCCCCATAAAGTGAGCACTGCATCCCGGAACTCAGACAGCACCCTGCTGTGTGCATCACTAATCCTCCTGCCCACAGCAGGCATGACCAATCAATCACGGCACTTTCCTCCCCTCGGAGCCTCAAGACCTAAAACTACTTTTCAAGAGTCTAAGGCAGTGACAGCCAACCCTTTGGGTCAGCACAGGAAGATAAATCTGTTTGCCATCCCTAGCGTGAGACTTGAGCCAGGCTGCATGGATTTGGGGGTATAAAAAAAGAGTAGAGTGAGGAGAGGTGGACAATTGTCTTCAGGAAGTAGACAGGGAGGAGCAGAGTGAAAGGGTTAACAGTGGGCCCAAGGAGCAGCTGGGCCCTGATGTCTCCCCAGGAGACGTCCCTCTGTCCCTCCAGGAGGACAGAGGATGGGAGACTGGGAAGACTGGAGGACGTGAGCCTCTGCTCTGCCAGGTCCCTTTCACATGGCCTGTTCCCTCTAAGCCTACACCAGGGTGCCCTGCCAAGGGGCTCCTGCCACCACTGGGCTGGCTGCCCTGAGCCCTGATGGCCTGGTCTTACACAACAGCCCCTTTCCCAGAAGCTGAAATTGTTGCATAAAACAGAAACCCCTCCCACTGCAACCTGCTCTCCCCCAACTGCTTGTCGGAACTCACCCATTTCCCACAGCGGGATGGGGAGGGGAGGCCCCCCTTCCTGAAATTGTGCACTTCCAAAAACTGCTCTCCGCCCAGCGGGCCCATCTGGACTCTTGGCAGAGGACCAACAGGGCAAGCCTCTCCCGAAAGGTATCAGTGAGGCAGCTGAGCTATGGTTCCTGAACCAGCCACACGGAGCGAGGAGCAGAGTGGGAGAGACAGTGGGTCGTCGCCTTCCCCAGAGGCAGGGTGGGCGGCTGAGCCAGGGTGCTATTTTGGGCCCACCAGAAGGCCCGCTCTAACGGGCTCTGCCCTGGCTGCTCACTGAGGCGTGAAACAGGGACAGATCCTTCGTCATGCCAGAGAGAGAAAGCCAGAAAGGAACACCTCTCCGAGAGAGGCCCCTGATAGCAATGACTTCTGAGAAATCCAGAAGACAGGGTGTTGGGCCCTGAAGAAAGGGGAGACAGGGCAGCCAATGGCAAGAGCACTGGATGAGGAGTCCAGAAACCTAGCAGCAGCATACAGTCTCCCACCAGGTGCCTGGGGTGCATCGGGAGCCATCGAGCTCAGAGCTGGGAAAGAGACCAGTGTCCTGCCCAATTCCTCCACCTCAGAGAGGAGGCCCAACCCAGAGACAGGACAGAGCTCCCAAGGCCCGCAGCAAGCTCGTGGCACCCCAAGAGGAGAACCCAGCTGTCCCAACTCCCAGTGCCGTGTTCTCTCCTTGACACCAAGTCACTTAAAACTCTGGGCCTTTGCTTCTTCATCTGTGAAATGGACCTAATACAGACCTCGGAGATGTGAATGTGTTCTGGGAACACAAGGGTCTTATACAATCACAGTAAATTCTGACTCCTTAAAAAATCGATACAGGACCAATAGTGGGCATTGGCAATGTCTATCCGGAAAGTGGGAGGAGGGCCTATATTTGGAGAGGGGCAGGGGAACTGAAACAGGCACACAGAGGCCACCTGTGGTCCCTCCCTGCCCATGTGGCTTTGCCTTAAGCGAAATGATGCTGCCATAAAGTGCCTGTGAATCACCCGGAGGTCTTGTTGTAATGCTGATTCTGATTCAGAATCTGCTTTTCTAACAAGCTTGCAGGTGATATTGATACTGGTGGTCCAAGGATGGCACCAGAACAGTGGCTGCACAGCCACAGTGCCCTGCCCTCCCTTCCACTGACTCGCCTCCTGTCTCATCTCATCTCTTGGCTGGAGGCCTAGCTGCCAATCCCTCCTATTGGACTGGCCCCGCCAAGGGCCTCCTTTCCCCACCACTACCAAGCAGGCTCTCACCCCGAGGGAGCCATGAGGATGAGATGACAGAGGCTGAAACGAAGCAGTCCCACGACTAGTGATCTGCTCGGTTTAAAGCCCAAGGTCCAGGCTCCTATCGCACCCCCTCTGCCAAACGGAGGAAACTAAACCAAAAGGGAGAATGAGAAAATAATCCCCCTGCAGTTCTCACCATCCACAGGCAAAGATGAGCACTGAGGGAAACTTCCTTGTATTTGCTATGCACTTGTATACAATCAGATCCTTCACATCCACTGTCTTCAAATATTCTTTAAAAGCAGACTTTCGTGGCTATATAATAGTCTGTTTTCTGATGTACTCTATTTTGCCATCCCACAAGGTTAGGCATTTGAATTATCTGTAATTTCCCACTACAATTATAGTGAACGCTCTCACGAGCATCCTTTTATAGTATCCGTACCTACTCTTAAATTCCTGACCTCTCTCAAAAAAAAATAATCAGCTCTTTTTTACATTAGGTCCAGAAATTCTGCAAGGTCAAGAGGCTTCAGTTCTAACCCCAATTCTGACACCATTTGCTGTTTATCGTTGGAGACGGTCCTAAACCTCTCCAGGTCTCAGATTCTCATCTGTAAAATGAGCCAGTTGAATCAGCTGCCTGAGGTCTGATGTGGGCTGTGGTCTGATGGATTTTTCTCTGACGGATACTGGTGCATTAGGAAGCAAAACAAGTAGGATTTAAGTGATTGCAACATATACTTAAATCAAAACATCCTACTTATAAACACACTATCAAGAGAGCTAGAGAATTCAGGAGCAAACAAGATGACTCCCGCAGCAGCGGACAGCCGCCCCTGAGAGCAGCACCTTCTCCGGAGGATGCTGCGGGAGGGCCCCGCGCCAGGCCGGCTCTGCCTCTCACCAGCCTGGGCCTCCGGCAATAGGCGTCAGATCTCCAAGTTTCAGTTTCCCCCGCCCCTTTGCAAAAGGAGGGTCATTACATCTGTCTTATTTACCCCACAGAATTGTGGTTGGAGCTAAGGGGCACAGGGAGTGCTAAGTAGCAGCCTGGGCGCCGCCCTAGGCAATTCATCCACCGACTCCGCTGCCTGGCGACCGGGCTCCGGCCACCTCCCTTCCCCGGCTCCCCGACTCCATCCAAAGCGCAGCCCTGACAGCCCTGTGACTACCAGCGACCGTCCTCTCCTCGCCTGGCTGCCACCCCCGCCCGCCATCGGCGCCGGTGGGGCTCTGCGCGGGGGTGGGGAAGGTGGGGGAAGAACCTCACCGGTCCGCGGCCCGGCGCCGGTGAGCTCCTGCTGGCGACGCCGCGTGGGGAGCGCGGAGAGGCGCCGGGCTTTATAAGCGCTCTGCCTCGTACACACCCCCTTGGGGGCTGGCTCCAAACCTGAGTGACTCACGCCCAAAGAATGCCGCGGAATGAACCGGGAGCTTTCTGGAAGCGGGCGCGGGAGGGGGTGCGGGGATCCGGTGCCGCACCCGGCGCGGGGCGCGGGGGGCGCAGGGGGCGCGGGCGGCGGGCATCAGCCCGGCGAAAGGCCGCGCGGGCTGCAGGGAGACAGGCCCGGGATGCCGCCACTCCCCGCTGCCTAGGGGCGCAGAGCCGGGACGGCGCCCCCAGGAGGGGAGAGCCTGAGTCGACGCGCGCAGCTGGGCGCCCCTCTCCTTAGGGTTCCAGGGCTCAGCTGCGCTCCTGGCCGCTCCCAGCCCCAAATAAAATCTCACGGTTCTGCTGCCCTAAGGAACGGGAATCTTTCACATTAAACAGCCACCACTATCAGAAATAATGAGGTGGGAAGGAGAAGGATGTTGCGCTAGAAAAGAAAACATACGAAGAATGAAATACCAACTTCTCGAACCATCACAGCAACCCACCCGGTGGTCCCTTGGCAGACCTGCTAGCCAGGAGGGAACAGAAACATGTTTATGGGGATGAACAGAGTACATACGAGAGGAAAAAGAAGGCCTCCCTGGCTCCTTGATTCCGGGACCTAAGCAATTGTTGCCCCCATCCGCTTGAGACCCAGCCAAGCAGGGTGGGTTTCATGGGTGTGAGACCCTGCAGGGCATTTTCATTTTGTACCTGGCCTTGCAAATTATGCCCCCGGTGCTGTTTGCAAGGGGTCTTGCTCATCTCTAACTGCCCCAAGTTCCCTCTGCTGACAGGAGGACTTGTTTCTGGACTCCCTTTGGCTGGAGGCTTTGATGTGACAGAGGGATGGGAGCTGTCACACCACTGCCTGGCAGCTATACCAGAAGCCCCTCGGGTATAGCTACTTCTTGAGGAAGAAGCTGAGCCACCCACTCCGGACCCTTAGGACCAGGAGAAAAGTCAAGCCCCAAGAAGATGGTTCTCACACTGACTGGGGGAGATGCATGGACAGGCAGGTGTAAGCAGCCTGGACTGGGTGGCAGCCTTGGAAAACCACACGAGCTGAAAGAGCTTAGAGGAGAGCTGTATGGTCAGGGGCTCAGCTTTCCTGTTCTAACTTCCACAGCTTGATGCCCAGTCCCTGGTTGCCCAAGGCACAGGGGCAACCAGGACCCCACTCCTTTCCAGGAGGAAGCCTGGGGGAAGCTTCCAGGCCTGTGAAGAAGCAGGGGAACCTGAGCTGGGTGCATGGAATTCTCACTCCAGTCTCAGCTCTGCCCCAGGCGCTGGGTGACCTCGGAGCAGTCGCTTTGCCCGGTGGGCTTCAGCTTCTTCATTTTGGACTAGGAAGAATCTAGTATGTATCATCTCTAAGACCCTCTTGAGCCTAACCGGAGACAATGCCAAGTCTGAGAAGATGATCGCCCAGAAGAAAAAAACAAATTCAGCTAACATTTAGAGCAATATTTCTCCCCCAGGCTTCACTTTAAAAAACAAAAAAGTCTAATTATCAGTAACAGCTACATTTTCTATGGTGACTGCCTCCTCTCCAGCATATCGATCCCCGAGGTCAGAAGAATTGTCTTTGAGCACGCTCCATGTAACTTTTCTGTTCTGTGGCTCCCCCAGCATCCGGCACAGGAGGCACAAATCGGTGATAATTTTATTTTTAAAAATCGGACTTTGGAGGAGAGTCAAGGAGAGTGTCTGAGTCAGCTGATGTAGGGGGAGGGAAGAGAGGAAGAAGGGATTTAGGAGAAAAATAACATGATTCACGGCCACAACTGTGGGTTCCTGGGAATGATTATTTGATTACTCCAGCTACTAAGCAAACAAGGCTCAGAGGATTTAACTTTAAGGAAAAAAGTGCAAGTTTTGAAAGTGCCATAAATGCATCACTGGATTTTGAGTATTCTAAATAAATCAGAGGTCAACTGGTTCAGGCCTCACATAATACTTGATTCCTAACCTCCCAGCCCCAACCAACATCCCGACTAGGTGGTCATCCTGCCTTTGTTTGAATGCCCCCAATAACTGGGAGCTCACTACCTCAATGCATGCCGTTCTGTAGTAAAGCTGTTTATGGAGTCAGATTCTTCTTTTGTTGAGTCAAATTCTGGCTCCTGTGAAGCTAGCCCCAAGCCCAGTTCTGTCTTCTGGAATCACAGAGGGAAGCCCAATCCATCTCTCCCCTGCTAGCCCTTCAGACATTTGAAGGCAGCTAGTTGGCTTCTCCTAGTGACCCCCCAGGCTCATGGCTGCCAGCCCTGTCAGTGTTGGCAGGTTCGTCCCCAGCCCTTTGGCCTCTGGACCTGGCCTCTCTTGAAGCCTTGTGCCCAGCCCTGGGCCTGCTAATACCAGGGAAGATGACCACAGAGCAGAGCAGGACCACCCCTTCCCTCGTCCAAACACTCCAGATAAGCTTTTATTTAGCTGCTGAGTCACTTTGCTGATTCATATAAAATTCATCATATTTTGGCAGATGCTGCTGTTTAATCATTCTCCTCCCACTGGGGACTTAATGCATTCGGGTTTGGGGTTTTTAGCTTGATTTCTTTTCTTGGAATGGGGGACCATCTCTTGGAAGGGGGAAGGGGAAAAGTAAAAAGTCCACCTCTTTACGCTTTGCCCACTATCTCTCTCCTGATATAATATCTTTGCTCTGCGCCCCTACCACCACCACCATTGTTGGGCTCAACGCCATCCGCATGACAGCTCAACCATCACTGATGTAACTGGAACAAACTAAAAATGGACAAGAGCAATACCCTGTAGCCTGTCATTAAGAATCACTTTCCAGGCTCTAATTATTTTAATGGGTATACTCAGTCAATTACAGGTCCCTGAAAAACTCAAGGATAATAAAATCATATACAATAAAATCAGCCCATAGCTGATGCAGAGGCATCCCAAGTGCTTTTTCAGGGCCTCCGTAAAGTCCAGAACAATTCACCCCATCAGGTGTATTCTCATCTTCCCCTCCAGGATCTTTTTGGGAAAGGATGTGAGGCTAGCCTCTCCTCAGTTGCTCATCATAGACCTATTATTAGACGAATATTACTTAAACTCTCCTCACTGTTAGTCATGCTATTCACCGGCTATGTGGTCTATAGCTCACTCCAGAGTTGGTCAACTCCAACCTTTAGCTCCAATTCTTAGATTAACGGGCTTTACTTTTTTTTTTTAATTGGACTCCAGATCTGCCTCAGGCCAAATCTACTTTTTCCACAACCACCTGGAATCCAGCTAATAATTATTTTGGATCAGTGGTTCTCAATGGAACTATACAATGGAATTATCTGGGAGCTATAAAAATTACCAAGGCCTGAGTCCCACCTCCAGAGATTATGAGTGAATTAATCTGGGGTGCAGCCAGAGAGAGCATCAGGATTTTTTCAACTCTCCAAGTAGTTTCAATGCGCAGCCACAGTTGAGGACCACTGCTCCCAACTTTACGAACTCCTGGCTTGCACTCCGTCCCAGTGCATCCTCACTGCGTCTCTACCTCATGGTTGGAGTACATGGTATTATTCTCACTTTGGGGACGAGAAGACGACGGGGGTCAAAGGAGTCTTCGTTTGCAGGTATTTGCGTACGCTGAGCTGAAATCTGCCTCCTTGTAACTTCTGCTCTGTCCTTTCTCCCTTCTAAGGCGCTGTGTAAGTCGCCCCCTCCGCTACAGGACAGCCCTTCAGACATTTGAAAACAAACACTGTATCTCAACCAAAATGTATTTCTTTAAACAGGTGCTTCGGCCCCTTCTGGTGGAGTGAGAATACCAGATACCTCTCTCTGCTCATCCCTCTCCCTAGGGTGCTCCATTTTGTCGTTGTCCCTCTTGTGTGGGTTTAGGAACAAACACAAGACACCAACTTTGGCCAGGAGAGAGGGCGGGAAGACACTTAGTACCGGGGATGCAATAGGAAGCTCTCTGCGCCCCCAGGGCACTCTCTACTTACTTTTATATTGTGTTATAACACACTGTGCTTCTCAACTGGTTTACTCTGACCCCTGGGACAGGCTGTGCTGTGCGGGAGTACACAACACACAAGCAACTGGCTGCAGTTCGACTCAAAGATTTAGGAAGAAAAGTTAATATTTAGTGAGTAATCAATTTTCCTCCTCTTTCTTTCTTTCTTTCTTTCTTTCTTCCTTCCTTCCTGCCTGCCTTTCTTTCTTTCGTCTTTCTCTCTCTCTCTCTCCCCACCTCCCTCTGTCCCCCTCTCCCCCTCTCTCTTTCTCTCTCTTTCACTTCCTCTCTAAATCTCATGCGTCTAAAGTAATGGGTGTCTGTTTATGAATACATTTATATTTAGAAGGTGTGTGTATATATACTATGTGTATGCATGATATGTATTACATATAGAAACGTATAAGGGATTTTGCCTTTTCTTTTTAAAAATTCTATAATCATATTACACATATTGCTTTGCAACTTGTTCTTTTCCACTTAAAATATTATGGACAGCCCTCCAAGTCAATAACAGATAGTCTAACCATGCTTTTCAGTAGCTACATATTTTATTCAGCCATTCCCCTGTTCCAACATTTCTGTCATTGTAAGCTGTGACACAATAAACAGCCTTCTGTATGCATCCTAATATGTTGGTGCCTTTATTGGAATAAGGTGGATTCTCAAATTGGGAGTGCTGGATAAACGAGAACGTGTAGTTTTAGTGTTAATAGATACTGTCTTGTGATTTTCCCAGAAGGGAGCAGCGCCTTCCTCTCTCCCAGAGAACGCCCATTTCCCATGGATCACTGGCTACATATTGTCGTCCTTTTGAACTTTGGCCAGTCTGGAGGGTGAAAGCGACATTTTCCTACCTTAATCTCTTCATCTGTTTGTTTTCACTATTCATTTTAAAATAAACTTTCCTCTTCTGTGACTTGCCTATTCATTTTGTTTGCTCATTATAGTGAGTTCATCC